CGTGCGGGCAGCCGGGCAGGGAAGTGCGTGGGCTGCAGGGCAGGGCAGTGCGCGGGCTGCAGGGCAGGGCGGCACGCGGGCTGCAGGGCAGGGCGGCAAGTGGGCAGGTCGCAGGTAGCTGCGCGCGCAGGTAGCGCCTAGGGCAGCTCGCAAGCCAGGGCAGGGCAGCGAGCAGGACGCTGTGAGGGCAGGGCAGTTACGATCGGGCAGGGCAGGGCAGGAAAGACGGGCATTTGTACAGTTGGTGGGCCCTAACGGAGTGGTCCTACGGATGGACCTGCTCTGAATACCATGTCAGAATCAGCAGGCAAGAATGATGGACTAGTAGCATTAGATGAGTACAAGTACTAGGTCTAACCCTAAAGTGTTGTACTCAGTAGAGGCTACCCCACTACAGCCTACAGATATACAAACACAATTTGACAGGTGGTTCGAGCAACCTACCATAATCCCCTGCATAAAGGACCTGGGGGATTTTCTTCGGATTCCAAAAAAAGGCAGGGTGGGCATTGTAATGGCATGGATTAAGGACCGCGTACAGCTATTCACCAACCAACAAAACGTGTTAAACCGCGTATACATGAATTTAGGTGGGGGGAGGGGGAGGGGGGGGAGGGGGGGAGAGGGGGGGAGGGGGAGTGGTGTGGTCCCTTATTAGTGCCATGCAAATCCCCTTTTCCTGCAAAACTCGCGAGGGTGTCGCGTCAGATTTTGAAAGTTAAGTATCCTCTTTAATCTGACGTGCGAGCACAAAAAAGAGTGCGGCAACAGTGCGATATACAGCTAAGGGGCGTCCTGAAAATAATTCCTACCAAAAGGGATGTTTTTTCAGGTTATACCACTACAAGAGAGCCTCTTCCACATAAGATCCCGAAGGACCATCTTTCCGGGAAGTCCTTTATGTGGGAGATAACGACAATGGTGATTGAGAAGGAAACTTGCACTGACCCATGTTTTGCATGCATGACAGTCCATATGGGGTATGGATGGTAATTATATAAGCCCATGTGGTGCATGGAGCTCGGAAACGAAAATATGGGGCACACATGGTGCTTGGAGCAACCGCATTGAGAAATAAAGCTTGCACCAGCCCATGTTCTGCATGCATGGTAGCCCATATGGGCCGTCCATGGTGCTTGCACCTGCCCATATGGGGTATAGATGTTATTTAAATAATTTCATGCGGTGCATGGAGCTCGGACCCGAAAATATGGGGCATGCATGGTGCTTGGAGCAACCTCATTGGAAAATTGAGCTTGCACTAGCCCATGTTTTGCATGTATGGTAGCCTATATGGGCCATGCATGGTGCTTGCACCTGCCCTTATGGAGTATGGATGGTTTTTAGATAATACCATGTGGTGCATGGAGCTTGGACCTAAAATTATGGGGCATGGATGGTGCTTGGGACAACCTAATGGAGAAAGAAAGCTTGCACTAGCCCATATGTGGCATGCATGGTGCTTGCACAGGCCTATGTGGGGCATGTATGGTGTGTGGTGCTTGTAACAAGCCATATGGGGGATGTATGCTGCTTGCAACAGCCCGTACAGGGCATGCATGGAGCTTGCACAAGCCTGTTTGAGAAATAGAGCGTGCAGTCGACCATATGGGGCATGCGTGTTGCTTGCACCATCGCATGTATGGTATGCATGGTCTTTGAACCAGCCCATATGGGGCATGCATGGTGCTTGGACCTTCCTAAGAAAGGAACGGAGTTTGCGATAACAGGCCATATGGGGTATGCAAAGTGCTTGCACCAGCACATATGGGGCATGCATGTTGTTTGAACCTTCTCATACAAGGAACGGAGCGTAGTACTCATGGCGCTTGCACCAGCCCATATGGGGCAAGCATGGCGCTTGGTCCAGCCCATACGGGGCATGAATGCTGTTTTGACCTTCTCATGCAAGGAATGGGGCCTGGTATTTATGGTGCTTGCACAATCTCATATGGGGCATGCATGGTGCGTGCACCAGCCCATATAGGGCAAACACGGTACTTGCGTAGTTGATAAGGAGCGGAGCTTGCAACAGCCCAGATGCGGCGCATGTGTTGCTTGCACATCCCATATGGGGCATGCATGGTGATTGCACCCCCCTCCCCGCCTCCACCTCCCCGTCCTTTTTTGTTTGTTTTTTTTTTTTGTTTTGTTTTTTTTTTGTTTTTTTGCCAACTCACAAGAGTATTAAGAAACGAGCCTGTTTGGGGCATGAGTGGTGCTTGAACCAGCCCATATGCAGCATGGTGTTTGCAAAATGGAAAACTGTGCATGGTTCTTGGGTCTTGCAACAAACCCATATGGGGCATGTGTGATGTTTTCACCAGCTTATATGATGCATGGTGTTTGCACCAACCCATATGGGACACCCATGGTGCTTGCACAATCCCATATAGGGTATGCATGGTGCTTGCACGAGCCCACAAGGGGCATGCATGGTGCATGCACCAACCCATACGAGACATGCATCGTGCTTGCACGAGCCCATATGGGGCATGCATGGTGCATGCACGAGCCATGCATGGTGCTTGAACCATCCATATGGGGCATGCATGGTGCTTGCACCAGCCATATGGGGCACGCATGGTGCTTGCACGAGCATATATGGGGCATGCATGGTGCAAACACCAACCCATATGAGGCATTCATCATGCTTGCACGAGCCCATATGGGGATGCATGGTCCTTGCACCAACCCATATGAGGCATGCATCATCCTTGCACAAGCAATATGGGGCATGCATGGTGCTTGCCTGAGCCCATATGGAGAATGCATGGCGCTTGCACCAACCCACATAAGAATTGCATGCTGCTTGCACGATCCCATATGGGTCATGCATGGTGCTTGCATGATCCCATAAGGCTCATTCATGTTGCTTGCAAAAACGAATGGGCCAAGTGTGGTCCTTGCACCAGCTCATATGCTAAAACGGTGCTTGGAACATTTCACATGGGGAGTGGTGCTTGCACCAGCCCATATGGGACATGAATACTGGTTGCACCATCTCATGTGGGGCATAAAATTTGCAGCAGCCCATGTTCTGCTGCTTGCACCATGCAATAAGGAACATGCTGCTTGTACCAGCCCATATGGGACATGAGTGGTGCCTAAACCCTCACACTTCAGAAACGGAGCTTGCACCAGCCCATATGGGCAAAGGTTCTATTCGATGCACACACACACACACACACACACACCCACACACACACCCACACACACACCCACACACACACACACACACATACACACACACACACCCCAGACAACTCAGGTTTGACAGTAAATTGTTTGCAACATGCATGAACCTTGTGCCAACCTGTATGTGGCATGGACAGTACTCAGACCATCTCATGTGGGGCATGGTGTTTTCACATCTCTTAGCACCGCATCACGTGGCACACGCATGGCGCCTGGACCAACTTACATGTGGAGAGGAGCTTGAACCAGCCCATAAGGGCAAATTGTTGTTGACAAAAATCAATACTGAAACAGTTGTATGGTGCTTGCACCAGCCATACAGGGCAGGTGCCGGCCCATATGGAGCATAAATTGTGCTTGAAACAGACCATATAGGATATGCATGGTGTGTGCACCAAGCTTTCCCAAGAATAGACCTTGTACCACCTTTGTGAGAGATGATCTTGAATCAAGCCATATGGGACAGGCATGGTGCTTGCACCATCTCATATGGGGTATGGATTTTGCACCAACTCATGTGGGGCATGGAGATTGCACCATCTCATTTAAAGCTCAAGGCCCAAATTGCGCAAGGTTAGTAATCTTGCGCAAGGGTTTGGGCTGGTCAAGAAAGTGTTGGGAGGGTGGGGTTGACTTATTTCGCACAAGCTCTCGCAACACTCGCTGAGTCAGCAAACCCCAAGGCAAACATTCTGTTTGGGTCCGAGAGTCCCAAATTGAGAAATACTGAAAGTTGAAGTTTCTGCAGTGAGATTGGCCTCGACCAATCAGATTCATTCGTACCTATCGTAACCCAACATTCGCTGAACCACAGCACCAAAACAACAGCTGCGCAAGATTAGTAATATTGCCCAGCGCGGCCCGCAATTTGGGCCTTGAGCTTTAAAGTACGGAGCTTGCACCATCTCATATTGGGTATGGAGCTTGCACCATGCTATATGCTGGGTGGTGCATGGACCTGCACATCTGGGGCATGGGATTATGGATCAGGCACCAGCCTATATGAAGCATAGATGGTGTTGAAACTGCCCATGTGAGGCATGCAACATGGGCATGGTACATTGAGCAGCCCATGTGAGGCATGCAACACGGGCAGGCATTGAGCAGCCAATGTGGTATATTGAGAAGCCAATGTGAGGCATGCAACATGGGCATGGTACATTGAGCAGCCAATGTGAGGCATGCACCATGGGCATGGTACATTGACCAGCCAATGTGAGGCATGCACCATGGGCATGGTACATTGACCAGCCAATGTGAGGCATGCACCATGGGCATGGTACACTGACCAGCCAATGTGGTATATTGAGAAGCCAATGTAAGGCATGCAACATGGGCATGGTACATTAAGCAGCCAATGTGAGGCATGCAACATGGGCATGGTACACTGACCAGCCCATGTGGCATGGAGCAGGCACCAGCCCATGTGGTTCTTGCATGGAGCTTGCACCACCCACGCTGATTTTACCACTTAAACAGTACCAGCTTGATCCGCAACAACAAAACCATAATTCATTTTCGGGTGAAAACTTCTCTCTTCCTCCCTCTTCCTTCCCTCTCCTTCCTTCCCCCCCTTCTTCTTCGCCATCCGTTGCTCCCCATACCAGATATCATACTTCTGTCACTCATTTTCCAGAATCATCTCTAACCCTCCCTCCTCTCCCCTTCCTTTTCCTTCTACCCTCCTTGCACCCAATCATTCGACTCTCCCATCAGTTTCCTTCTCATGCCCTCATTCTGCTTCTTCACCCTTATTTCAGTTCCCATCCCATTCAGATGTGTCATGACCGTAGTATGGATGATTAACTGAGCATCTTACCATGTCACAAAAAGTACATATCAACATGAGCACGGACAAGATGCATCGTACTGTTACATATGATATAGAGTGGAGCACTTTCATTACCATTTCCTTGCCATACCTCTAAACTAGATACTCTTGGGCTTAAAAACCTGGATATCATCCAGAATATCCGTTGTGAGCCATTTCCACTTGGGCTCAAACATGTTCCCCACACAGAAATGTGTGCACTGTGGCTGGTTTGTGTCCTCATCTGGTGTCTTGCACCTAGGAGGCCAAACATCCGGCTTCTGTTTCGAGCGAACTGAGTTGTTCTCCACGTCATCTTGGATAAGACGAGTCTCGCACTGGTACGTGTCCGGGCGAACGACTTGGCTGGGGTGTTCCATAGCGCTGGCTGCATACTTGACCAGTAGAATCGCCCAGTAGAGGCGACGGCTTTCCCACGTGCACACCTCGCCCGCAAGCTGATTGGCCTGCTTCACGATTTGCTGCGCTTCCTGGTCGTGGTCCCGTGCCCATTCGATCTGCTGGTACAGATTGGAGAAGTATCGGTGTGTGGGGACAAAGTGCTGGTTGGGACACAGTAGGGGGTCAAAGTACTGAGAGTACTCGCTCATCTGCTTGATCATCATCTGTTTGCTTGACAGGATCTTGCACACGCGTCCGCTGCCGGTCCCCCCATCAACATCCAGCTCATACTTGTACCCCAGCTGCTGCGACGGATCGAGGCGTTCGCCCATCTCGATCCCATCCTGCCGCAAGCTCTCTAGAAGCTCCCCATTCACAGCCGCGTTCAGGTGGTTCTCAACAACCTTTGCGTCGAGGATGTCGGGACGCAATTGAGACATCCGATGCACGCGGAACCGAGGGCTGGCTCGCCACTGCGTGTCGTAGCTGACGTGGAAGTTGGTCATCCCGCCGCGAAAGACGGCCCGGCTCTGCTTCTGTTCCCACGGCACAGCATCCTCCCCGGTATGGAAATAACTCTTGCTTAGATCCACCGGGTCGGGGTAGAGTATGTCGATGCTGCCAGGCGCGCCGTGCGGGCTGAAAATGGGGAGGCCGGCGCAACGATCGGCGATGGAAGAGGCTTTGCTGACGTGCATGTCGCAGGTGCTGATGAAGAACTCGGCGCTGAGAGAGTGCAGGTTGTACTTTGCAATGGCCTCCTTGATCATGAGGATTGAAAAGACGAAGCGGCGCATGCGGTACCAAAAGAACTCGAAGCCACCGAGGCGGAAGAAGATCTCCCCGTTGACTATGCGCACGTGTCCGGAGCACGAGAGCACCTGCGTGTTCACAGTCCAATAGAGGGGAATGAAGGGAAGAATTATTACCCCGCTTCAAATGGTTTAGGCACCTGAACGTTCATGAGTACACCGGGAGTCATGCTGGGTCAGCCAAACGGAAGGAGGCGGCATTGTGGGAAAACTCTTCCGTGAAAGGGGATGGCATAAGCTCACCTACCTCTTTACAGACTACTAGTACTACTAGGAATGAGTAGGAGATGAGTGGGAGTTACTCACGCTGGCCATGCGTCCCATCCGATTGAGAAGACGCGGGCTGATCATTCCTCGCGCCCCCATGCCCTTTTTCACCCCGGGGATGCCCATCCACGGGCGCAGATAGGTGTGCGCCAGGCACGCCAAGCGGCGCACGGTGGGGGAACCGCTATGCACATTCAGCTCGGGGTAGGCTGCGAGATCTGCTACGCACTCTCTGTCGTCAGCAATATCTGGAAAGCCGCATGACCCGAATCCAGCCTCGTATAGCCGCTCCACTGATTCCCGTGGCGGGCTGTTAGGAGTCTCGGATGAGTTGGTAGTAGTCAATGCATGATCACCGCTGCCGCCACGGAATTGGAGGTTATGGGAGTTCTCGAGGTGCGTCCACTCAGGAGTCTGAGACTTGCTGGGCCTGGCATCAACCTGTCACAAAAAGACAGACAAACGTTTTAAGTATACACGGGAAATTACATATGAAAGGTAAAGAAAGAGGAGGAAGAGGAAAATTGAGAACGAACAAAAGGGCAGAGAAACGCGACAAAATGATGTGCCGCGGTATTACCAATATCAGCGGTGCAATATCATAAGCGGTACTAGATAGCTCCATAGTCTTGACCTTACCAATAAGTGGGGAACGATGGTGACGGCGAGCCAAATCAACAGCCATTGGCAACGCGTGTGGGTTGCTTCCTCCATCAGCGTGGTGCTTACAGAGACTGCCTGTTCAGTGAAGTGCTACCAGGCTGACTGTTGAACTACTAGTGACGGAGGGGCAGGGGTGTGGATTGGGAACGCTAATAATTGATGCCAGCCAAGACTGTTTGGTCTGCCGAACCTGATAGAGAGGGCCAGTAATAGCTTATTTGAAATGTCAATGTCTACACTTAAAGCTTTCGTATACATTTGAAAAAGGGAGGTTCAAAAGTTTTGAAATCTGAAAGATTGGTAACCCAGCAACAGCTAGTTTCACTCGCTTCACAAGGGAGGTGATCTCCCCGACACCCAGGGCTCACTGGTGATTCAAAATTTTTGGAATAACAAAAGTATACGAAATCCAGTCTATGTGAGATCTACGCCACTACGCTCAACAGGCAGCATAAATCGTAGCAAAGCACATCGCGACAACAGCCAGCGCAAATCACTCCCGTTTCCGACACAAACTTAGACGCGTGGGGCAGTTTAGTGTAATTACACGTCCGAGCACTCGTCAGTTCGCCCTCTAACACGGCGAGCCCGCCGGACCCCTTCTCACAGCCTCGCCTCGTCGTCCGTCGCGTCGCCTCACCACGCGGCCTCTTCACGCCACCGTGAACGCGCACGCAGCGTCTCAAACTGCCGAACACGCACGATCACAGTCGCTTCCCAATCGCGCGGCCTCGCTACCACGTTTCCGCAGTAGCGGCGGCAGCCGCAATTGAGGTCGCGAGGGTAATCAGAAACAACTGCTCCCCATTACCTCTTCCCGCCTCCCCGTTTTCCCTTCCCGCTCCCCACTACCCCTTCGCGCCTCCCCGTTTCCCCTTCCCGCCACCCCATTTCCTCTTCCCGCTCCCCATTACCCCTTCCCGCCTCCCCGTTTCCCCTTCCCGCTCCCCATTACCCCTTCCCGCCTCCCCGTTTCCCCTTCCCGCCTCCCCGTTACCCCTTCCCGCCTCCCCGTTTCCCCTTCCCGCCTCCCCGTTTTCCCTTCTCGCTCCCCATTACCCCTTCGCACCTCTCCGTTCTCCCCAATTCCCCTTCCCGCCACCCCATTTCCTCTTCCCGCTCCCCATTATCCCTTCCCGCCTCCCCGTTTCCCCTTCCCACTCCCCATTACCCCTTCCCGCCTCCCCAATTCCCCTTCCCGCTCCCCATTACCCCTTCCCTCCTCCCCGTTACCCCTTCCCGCTTCCCCATTACCCCTTCCCCGCCTCCCCGTTTCCCCTTCCCGCCTCCCCGCTTCCCCTTCCCACTCCCGATTATCCCTTCCCGCCTCCCGATTACCCCATTTTCCCCCCATGCTCTCCCTCATTCCCCCCCCCCTTCTCCCTCTCATTCCCCCCATGAAGCCCCTCATCCCCCCCTTTCTCCCTCTCATCTCCCCCCCTGCTCCCTGTCATGTCCCCACCTTCTCTCTCTCATGTCCCCCCCTTCTCCCCCTCATTTACCCCCATTCTCCCTCTCATTTCTTCCCCTTCCCCCTCTTATATCTCCCCCTTCTCCCTCTCATTCCCCCCATGAAGCCCCTCATTCCCCCCCTTTCTCCCTCTCATTCCCCCCTCTGCTCCCTGTCATGTCCCCCCTTCTCTCGCTCATGTACCCCCCTTCTTCCTCTCATTTCCCCCCCTTATCCCTCTCATTCTCCCCCCTGCTCCCTCTCATTCCCCCCTTAACCACTCAGTTAAATGCCACGTAATCTCCCTCTCATTTCCCCTCATCCCCCCCACCTTCCCCTCTCGTTTCCCCCCATCTCCCTCTCCTTTCCCCACGTGCTCCTTCTCATTCCCCCCCCTTCTCCATCTCGTTTCCCCCCCGCTCATTTCCCCCCATCTCCTCTCATTTTCCCCCTCTTCCCCTCTCATACGCTTCTAACCCCTACCGTACCCTTGGATGGTCGCATGCCATACTCATCCATCCGCTGCCATACACTGCCACACCCTTCCATCTCCTCCCATACCCTTCCATACGCCAGCCAAGCCCGTCCCTCATTCTGCCATACCTTGCCATACTCTGCCATACCTTTCCTTCCATACCCTGCCATTCCCTTCCATTCCCTGCATTCGTGCAAGGGCATATGACTAGTCACGTGATTGGTATCGAGGAATCCAGGGTTGGGTGATAAAGGTTATGTATTTAGTGATACAATTGTAAGGACTCGTTTTATAAAACATGTTGTGAGGCTACGAGCTTGATTTTGGCCCTGAAGTGCCAAAAATGTACTAAATTTGGGAGTGTATGCATGCTTCTTGAATCACAAATGCATAGTAATAAATACGCAGGGAGCTGCCGCACAAGTTGCCGGCTGCTGTTGCGTGCCTGGCGTTGGTGTGCAGCAGAGGGGAGCGATGCATTGTGTGCTGCTTGGTGGACCTGCCGGTGAGAGGAGTGGGGGGGTCGGGGCTGAGAAAGGGACGAGGAAGGGGAAAAAGAAGGCACATATCAGGGTGAGCTCAAGCAAAGCCTGGAGAGAGTGCCCTTAGTCATCCAAGTGGCGTGAAAACGGTTGTCTAGGCAAGTCCCAAGGCATGCGACGGGACGCGCACAGTACCTGAGAGGCGTGAACGATGGGACAAAACTTGAGATGAGTCGAGCCCGCTTGCACCATCTGCCGCAGCAGCCTCGCCAACTCCTCCTCCTCCCTCTCCCTCCGCCTCGCTTCCTCATCGAGCCTCGCCTGCACCTCCTGTTGCTGCTTCAGTGCTACCTGATCACATATTGAAAAGGGAAGTGGTGACGCGAGGTTTGAAATGAGCGGTAGCAGTGCACATCAAACTAAGATTCACATCAAACAGCCGGCAATGGACTTATCCGCCCGCCCCACACTTGACCCCGCCCTCACCTGCATGTCATATGCAGGGGCACCAGAGGTTCAGCCCATGTTCCCCATCACAAACCCAATGTTCCCGATGCTGTAGCTGCCGCTGACGCAGCAGTGACAGCAGGGGCAACTGAAACCTTGGCAACTGGATCCAGTTGCCTGCACCTGCCATTACTCCTCCCCATTCACCCTCACACCCTGCTCGCTCCCCCGTCCACTGCTGACATGGCTGCTCAATCCGCAGGAGCAGAAGGATGGTCAGCACCGGGGCAGTTGCAGAAACACACGGGTTGGGGCCAACAGCCTGCGTCGGCAGTCCAAAGTCAAAGGAGTGGGGCGAACACTCCTTCCCACTGACTGCTCCTCGCCTCATGTCTCATACCCTCCTCCACCATGCCTTCCCCTCCTTTCCTGAGCTACCCCCTGCTCCGGGGGGAACACCAAAGGAAGGAACACTGGGTGTGGCAGCAGGGGCAGCTCCGGCAAAGGCAGCAGCAGCGGCAGTATGGGCAGGGACTGAAGGAGCGAGTGGGATCTCATGGGAGGTGAGATGACCCTGGAAGGAGGGGGGATGAGAAATTAAGGCATGGCGATGGGAGAGCGTGGAAGGGAGAATGAAAGGGAGGGAGTGGGGGGCAGTATTTTGCAAGGGATCCACCCTGTAAGGGAGGGAAGATGAAAAGGACGGGAGGGCAGTGGGGCTATGCCAGAGCTGGGAGGGAAATGAAGGGGAGCAAGGTGGGGAAAATAAGCGGAGAAGGGGGGGAAATGAAGGGGAGCAAGGTGGGGAAAATTAGGGGAGAAGCGGGGGAAATGAAGGGGAGCAAGGTGGGGAAAATAAGGGGAGAAGGGGGGGAAATGAAGGGGTGAAGGAGGGAAATGAGAGGGAAGCGGGGAAGCGAGAGTGAGCAAGGGTGGAAGTGAGAGGGAAGCGGGGAAGCGAGAGAGCAAGGGTGGAAGTGAGAGGGAAGCGGGGAAGCGAGAGTGAGCAAGGGTGGAAGTGAGAGGGAAGCGGGGAAGCGAGAGTGAGCAAGGGTGGAAGTGAGAGGCGGCAAGGGGGGAAATGAGAGGGAGAAGGGGGGGAGATGAGAGGAGTAAGGGGGGAAATGAGAGGGAGGAGGGGGGGAGATGAGAGGAGCAAGGGGGGAAATGAGAGGGAGAAAGGGGGGAGATGAGAGGAGCAAGGGGGGAAATGAGAGGGAGAAGGGGGGGAGATGAGAGGAGCAAGGGGGGAAATGATTGGGAGAAGGGCTGGAATGAGGGTGAGCAGGGGGCGAAGTGAGAGGGAGAAGGGGAATATGTCAGTGAGAGCAGGGGGCGAAATGAGATGGAACAAGGGGGGAAATGAGAGTGAGCAAGGTCGGAAGTGAGAGGCGGCAAGGGTGGAAATGAGGGGAACCAGTGGGGGAAGTGAGAAGGAGCAGGAGGGGAAATGAAGGGGAGCAGTGGGGCAAATGAGAGGGAGAAGGGGGGGAAATGAGGGCGAGAAGGGGGGGGGGGGGGCTGAGGGGAAGAAGGGGGGGGGATGAGGGGGAAGAATGGGGGGAATGAGGAGAAGGTTGGGATCTGAGGGGAAGAATGGGGGGAATGAGGGGGTGAAGGGTGGGAACTGAGAGGGAGAAGGGGGGGAAATGAGGGGGAGAAGGGTGGGAACTGAGAGGGAGAAGGGGGGGAAATGAGGGAGAGAAGGGGGGAAAAAGAGGGGGAGAAGGGGGGGAAATGAGGGGGAGAAGGGAGGCATAAGGAGAGGGAGTAGGGGGGGTAGTGAGGGGGAGAAGGGGGGAGGGGGGGTAATTAGAAGAGGATGCGCTTAGCGGGAGAGGCGCCACGCGGGCGCTAAGCGGGAAAGGTGCGCAGCGGGTGCGGCGCTAAGCGGGAGAGGGTGAGGCGACACGCGGGAAAGGCGCGCAGGAGGTGAGGCGCTACGCGAGAGAGGTGCGCAGCGGGTGATTCGTTGCGCGGGAGAGGCGCGCAGCGGTTGCGGAGCTAAGCGGGAGAGGCGCGCAGCGGGTCAGGCGCTAAGCGGGAAAGGCGCGCAGAGTGATACGCTAAGCGGCATGGCGCGCAGAGGGTGAGGCGCTAAGCGGGAGAGGCTCCCAGCATTGGAGGCGGTAAGCGGGAGACCCGCACAGTGGGTGAGGCGCTAAGCGGGAAATGCCTACCGAGCGGGTGTTGAGAGTGGCCGCGTGGCCAACGCATGGACGATGCGATCCCGCCGTCGGCCCCGTAATTTTCAATCGCTTTACGGCTTACTCGATCGCACCGACCCAGCGTGGTGATGCAACCCGTCGAGGCGCCCTTGACAGGGCTTCGACGGGGCCCATCAATACAGCACGACGCGCTCGACGAATGCAGAGCCTTTCCCTCTCCGATTGCCGCTGAACGGCGCAGCAGTGGAAAGGAGCTGGCGGGCAAGCTAGATGTATTTTCCCACTCGCACAAGCCTATAATGTACCTAAACTCATCTCACATGAGAATATCTGAGCGGTTTCGATGCTCCGCATGTTCTTTGTCGCGCCCCGGTTCCTCTATCTATGCTTAGCGTACATTAGTCGCTTATCATGGTTCCTAGTGGAAGTGTGACTGCAAGGTTGGGTGACGGGGGAGTTTCCCGTGTTTGGAACTCCTCAAAGCTGCAATGTTTCGCCAAACCTCTCGCCACGCTCAGTTGTTTCGTTCTGGCGATTTTTTCCCTGGCTACAGTGCAAGTCCAAACAGTACTTGCAAATGTATACTTCAGCTTTAATGCCGCTGAACTGCCAGTTGTTAATTCAACAGTCTCATAGTTGACTACTTACGGGGAACTATCCAAATCATTAGAAACGTGATTCAACGCTAAAAGCACTGTTCCGCTGAAACGCGAGTAGGTTTCTCATAATTCTCACGCAAAACACGCTGGTAAACAAATTTTAGAGACTGTAGTCGAAATGGTAACGCTGTTGAGCCCTTTTAAGAACGAATCCAAAAACGATGAGAGTGTAGAGAGCGCTACAAAAACTGACTGGAAAGGACAACAGGTGTAGATTGCTGGTCTGTTGCCGACGATTCGGCAGGTTCGACGAACTGGCTGCTCTCCCGGCGTTCGAGTCCAAAAATGAGAGTGAATGCTCCTAAACATAACAAGTAACTCCTGCTTGGATTCACAATAAGAAGTACATTTGATGGTTAAAACCCTAGTCTATAGTGGTAAAGTTCTAAACAACTAACTTGACAGCATGTCGGCGATATTTACAAATGACCAACTCGTCGTAGGGGGTGCTAAACCCTGAATTCAGCTTGCAAAGTTTGGCGAGAAACCAAACTCACGAACAGGTGTTACAACGTAGAAGTGACTTGTTTTAGGGAGTCAAGTACTTTCTGAAACGACTGCTATTTTTAATTCTTTTTTTAAAACCGGGGTGCACATTCAGCTGAATGTGCATCAAAGGTTATCCCTTGACTGAGTGGGTTACGATGTGTGCTTTCAACCCCTTCAAGTCGAAATTCGTTTCCCCCCTCCCCCGCAATTTCGTTTCCCCACGCCCCCGCAATTTCATTTCCCCCTCCCCGTCGAAATTCGTTTCCCCCCTCCCCCGCAATTTTGTTTCCCCCCTCCCCCGCAATTTCGTTTCCCCCCCCTCCCGCCAATCTGTTTCATCCCTCCCGCCATTCGGTTTCACCCACTCCCGCCATTTCACCCCCTCCCGCCACCTACGAAATGCCCGAAGCTCTAGCGGAATCATTTTTTTGTCGCCCCTCGTGAGCCAATCACTGTTTTTCTCCAAACCCCCTTCCCAACATCTTAAGCCGAACCGCGTTGAATGTGCACCCTGGTTTTAAGCTTCAATCCTCTGTGCGGTTGTGCCCTACCACCCCCAGCTCAGCTCTTCCCCGAACATCACGCACCTGGATATGTGGCACGGCATGTGCGGTCCATCCACGTGGCCGCGGGAACACGGAACCTCCAAGACCTGACCTGCGGGAACACCTGACCACGGAACACGAAACCTCCAGCACCTGACAGGGGGGAAAATGAGAAATTAAACCCGCATGGGAGCACGCAACCTCCAACACGGGTTGATGCCTCCTCAAGAGCATGCCTTCCTTGTGTATTTTATGTTTTTTCGCCTACGGGCAGCTCACGTGAACGGACGCCAGCTGACCCGTTGTCGGCCCTTGAAATGCAGTACACACGCTGATCAGACGCACGCAAGACGGAAGCGAGCGCATGCTCTACGCCTGCCTCGTCAACTTCGCGACGGAAAAAATTGTATAGATGGCAATTTTACGGGCAGGGGCTGATGAGCATCATGTCTAAACTGCATCTGGGCTGTGGAGGGACGACTTTCCCCTGGTTGGTTGGTTGTTTGGTTGGTTGGTTGGTTGGATTTTAGAACGAAACGGAAAGCCCACACATTGGTGCCGTCCCCCTCCAAATTGCTGGTCCCCTGATGAAACCTCCCCACGCCAAACCTCGATGTGAACACGCAAATTGGACATAGTGGCAGGAAAATAAATCGGACTGTACAGTTATTCGTTTGCATGTGTCAAAACTACCAAATCCCATCTCATGAGGGTGGATTCTTATTGCATTATATTGTGTTATAGCTATTGACTTTATAAGATAAACATCAGATTGCCCACAACCCAGCTCTATCAAAAATCACAAAATTATTTTGCCAAAGCTGGGGTGCAAATTGCAAGGCATGCATGTTGCCTTGCCTATAATGGGTCTCCATAATACGGGTGGGAGAAGTTTCAATTCAAGTTTACCATCGTGATCATTGTCGGCTCGTTTCACGAACGCATATTAAGGGGTTTTGGTTTTTGAGGGTGTGCAAGAGGAGAGTTGCGTTGAATGTACACTGCTATTTCAAAAAGATGGTACGGTAATTTGTGGCTGAATGTGTTTCCAAGGTCAGTCGTCATGAGCGAAAAAAGCAAAGTTGCTTTCCTGCAAGGCAGATCAGGCAGCAAGAGGCAGGGTCAGGAAACGGAGAGGCAGAGAGAAGTGAGAGGAGAGGGAAGCGATGCAAGGAGGGCAGGAAAAGGAGTGGCACAACCAGGAGGGCAGAAAACAAAACTGTTATTGTATATTGGTAAACAAGAGAGTATAATTGGTTCATTGACCAGCGTTAACTTGAACTGACCTGTGCTGCAATTCAGCTGCGCCTGACCTGAATTGACCAGCGTTGACTTGAATTGACCAGCATTGACTGGAGCGTGCTGCAATTCGGCTGCGCCTGACCTGAATTGACCAGCATTGACTGGAGCTGGCCTGCGCTGCGAGACGGCTGCGCCTGACCTGACTTGATCTTCATTGACTTGCACTGACCAGCGTTGACTTGGACTGACCTGTGCTGCGAGACGGCTGCGCCTGCGAGCCACGGAGCGGTTACGGCTGGCCTCAGAGTTGGGAGAGAGGATCATACGCTGAGGGAAAGGGAGGGGAGGGGGGGCACAAGTAGGGAAAAAGGGAGGAAGGTGTGGAGTGAGGGGAGGATATGGAGGTGGGGGGGGTGTGGAGGGAGGGGAGGATTGGGGGAGGATGCAATTTAACTCAGCTTTGGCACAGCTTTTGAAGATTCGAGAACATCACCTCCCACTTTGGCCACTGCACCCCCCTCCCCTCCCTCCCTCACCTTCTACACGGCGGTTTGGAAAACCTCCTCCACGCAAGGCTGGTAACTGTGCAGAGCTGTGCTTTGTCACCACTACCCACCACTGCCCACCACTGCCCATCTCTGCCCGCCACTGCCCGCCACTGCCCACCACTGCCCACCACTGCCCGCCACTGCCCGCCACTGCCCGCCACTGCCCGCCACTGCCCGCCACTGCCCGCCACTGCCCGCCACTGCCCGCCACTGCCCGCCACTGCCCGCCACTGCCCGCCACTGCCTGCCACTGCCCGCCACTGCCCGCCACTGCCCGCCACTGCCCGCCACTGCCCGCCACTGCCCACCACTGCCCATCTCTGCCCGCCACTGCCCGCCACTGCCCGCCACTGCCCACCACTGCCCATCTCTGCCCGCCACTGCCCGCCACTGCCCGCCACTGCCCGCCACTGCCCGCCACTGCCCGCCACTGCCCGCCACTACCCATCTCTGCCCGCCACTGCCCGCCACTGCCCACCACTGCCCATCTCTGCCCGCCACTGCCCGCCACTGCCCGCCACTGCCCGCCACTGCCCGCCACTGCCCGCCACTGCCCGCCACTGCCCGCCACTGCCCGCCACTGCCCACCACTGCCCGCCACTGCCCGCCACTGCCCGCCACTGCCCGCCACTGCCCACCACTGCCCGCCACTGCCCGCCACTGCCCGCCACTGCCCGCCACTGCCCGCCACTGCCCGCCACTGCCCGCCACTGCCCGCCACTGCCCGCCACTGCCCGCCACTGCCCGCCACTGCCCGCCACTGCCCGCCACTGCCCACCACTGCCCGCCACTGCCCGCCACTGCCCACCACTGCCCATCTCTGCCCGCCACTGCCCGCCACTGCCCGCCACTGCCCGCCACTGCCCGCCACTGCCCGCCACTGCCCGCCACTGCCCGCCACTGCCCGCCACTGCCCACCACTGCCTGCCACTGCCCGCCATTGCCCACCGCTCACTCACCTTCTGCACGGCAGTTTGGAAGACCTCCTTCTTCTCCATGCGAGGCTGGTAGCTGAAGACCTGGTGCAGCAACTCGTTCTCCTGGCGGAAGTGGGACGGGGGAGGGCGGAAGGGGGGCGGGGGCGCAGGGGGAGAGGGGAGGGAGGGGGGGGGGGAAGGGTGGGTTTGGAAAACCTCCTTATCCTCCATGCAACACCTGGTGCAGCAACTTGTTCTCCTGGTGCAAGTGTGTGAGGGGGGTGGAGGGATGGAATGGGGTTGGGAGGGAGGGGATGAAGCGGACTCATGTGCCAGAGGTAGCTGGTAACTCAACAGCTGGTGCAGCAACTCGTTCTCCTGGCAGGGGCGTGTGTGAGTGTGACTCAGAGTGTCTATCGGCGGTGTGGGTGGGAGTCTGGCATCAGCAGCCACAGACACACGTGGGTGGACTCATGTAGGTGGACTCATGTAGGTGGACTCATGGACTCATGGAGCCATGGCCTACACCATAAGTGCTGCTGCCAACGAATTCAGCCCAGCCTCGGGGCTGCCACAGCTGCTGCACTAGTGTGTTTCAGACCCTAAAGACATGTGGGTGGGAGTCTGGCATCAGCAGCTACAGACGCGTTGACTCATGGACTCATGGAGCCATGGCCCACACATGCTGCTGCCAACGAATTCAGCCCAGCCTAGGAAACCGCCACAGCTGCCCTCAGAACTGCAAAGGTGGTTCATAAAATCAGCCAGGACAGTCTGAAGAACCGCCTGGGCAGTTCGTAAAAACTGCCAAGGCAGTCCAAAAAAACCGTCAAGGCAGTTTAAGAACTACAGAGGCAGTCCTAAGGAGCAGTGCAGCGGACCCCATTAGTGTTGGCACCGCAGTGACAGCACCACAAGGATGAGGTCACTGGGAGGGATGGGGAGCATCGGAGCCTTCCCATCCCTGCTGCTGGTGCCGATGAGACGAGAACATGTGCTGCGGGTGGAATAGAGGATTGAGGTGAACTGAGTGTGAGGATTGAGATGGTTCACAAAAAACGAGCTGTTAATGCCCAGAACTGTGTGATTCACGAGCGAGGGCAGGAGAGGGCAGGAGAGGGCAGGAGAGGGCAGGAGAGGGCAGGAGAGGGCAGGAGAGGGCAGGAGAGGGCAGGAGAGAAGAAGGGAGGGAGGGAGAGAGCGCAAATGGGCGATAAATTTAGACATGAGTAGTGCAAATGGTAGCTGGTAGCGGCAGGGCTGATGAAGGCGTAATGAAGACCATCCCTTTCGCAGGCCCAACGAGACCATCTCGTTGCATTGATGGGATGGGGGAATGGGCGCTATCCTGAACCATCCCAAGGCATGTGGGTGGGAGTCTGGCATCAGCAGCTACAGACGCGTTGACTCATTGGCCACAAGGACCCATGGTCAACACGTGCTGCTGCCAACGAATTCAGCCCAGCCTACGGCCCCCCACAGCCGCCCTCATAACCGCCAGAAGCAGTCTCAAGAACCGCAAAGATAGTTTGAAAACCCGCCGAGGCAGCTTAGAAAAACCACCAAAGCGGCTTGAAAAACTGTCAATGCAGTCTCACGAAACCGGTCCAGCAGCCTCAGGGAGCAGTGCAGCTGACCCAGTCAATGTTGGCACCGCAGTCACAGTGACTGTGAGAGACAGGGAGGATGGGCACCCCCCCATCCCTGTTGCTGGTGCCGAAAATATGCGTTGATTTGACTGTGTGAAGCCCTGTAAGAGCAAGAGACTGTTTGTGTAACGAATCGATCGTGCCAGGAACTTTGATGAAGGAGCAGTAGGAGGAAGAGCGGGATGAGGAGGGCAGGGAGGGAGGAGGGATGGGAAGGAGGAGGCATGCAGGGAGGGAGGAGGAGGGCGCTCTCACCTGCAGGTGGCGTTGGAAGCTGTCTGCTAGGAACCTCCGAAGAGCATTTGGCCGGTCAAGGGATGGAGGGCAGGAGGGAAGACCAGATGAGGGCAGGAGGGAAGACCAGATGAGGGCAGGAGGGAAGACCAGATGAGGGCAGGAGGGAGGAGAGCAGGAGGGAGGAGAGCAGGAGGGAGGAGGGCTGGGGGGAGGAGAGCAGGAGGAGGGGTCGCACCTGCAAATGGCGTTGGAAGCCGTCTGCTAGGAACCTCCGGAGAGCATTCAGCTGGACAAGGGACGGGGAATGGGACGGGAAGAAGCAGGGCAGAAGGTGAGACGGAATGAAGATACAGAGTCAGAGAGCAAGGCGTCAGAAAGAGGAGTGGGGATGCCAAAATCGGGTTAGAAGCACAACATGATAAAGGGCAGGTAATACCATCTGTCGAGCACACGCCTTTCTTTATGGCATCGTGCACGTGTCGACCGCTCACCTGCACTGTCAGCGTCCACGTGTCGACGCGCAGTGAGTCGCCGTGCTTCAGCCTGATGACAGTCTCTGAGCATCGCCCGTTGTCCTGATGAGGATGAGAGGGGTGGAAAAGGGTGGACGGACGTGGAGCTTTGAGAAGATATTCAGAAGAAGCCCCGCATTCCTTTCAAGAGGACGTCCAGCTTGATCACCGTCTCGGAGCAACGCCCGCTGTCTTGATGAGGACGAGAGGGGGCGGGAGGAGGTGGGAGAGGGTGGGAGGGGGTGGGAAGGGGTGGGAAGGTGTGGATGGGAGGGAAGCAGGGTTGCCGTGCTTCAGCCTGATGATTGTCCCAAAGCAACGCCCGTTGCCCTGATGAGGGGCGAAGGGGGGGGAAGGAGCAGTTCAGAGCAGCAGACGTTCATGCTGGGAAGCGTTAACTGCTACCCTCTCCCTCACACTGCTATAGGGACAGCGAGTATCCTGTTGAATCTGAAAATCTCTCGAAGTGACTTTTGAGTCGACTCAAAAGCCATCTCTCCCTCACACTGCTATAGGGACAGCAAGCATCCGAGACTCATCCGGATGGATCCGAGGAACTCTCGAAACGCCAGGCGCGGGGAAAGTCGGTCCTTCTTGCTCATCTGCTTGCTGCCGCCCACTGTCATCTGCTGCATCTCACTGACTGTTCCACCCCCCCATGCACCCACGCACCCATGCACCAGTGCACCCGTGCAATCAGGATCATCCAGAAAGCATCACAGAGAGTGACTCACCCGAATGGACCCGAGGATCTCCCGGAACGCCAGGCGCTGGGACAGGCGGTCCTTCTTGGTCATCTGCTTGCTGCTGCCCACCGTCAGCTGCTGCACCTCGTTGACTGTTGCGCTCCCCCCCATGCACCCATGCAACCCCCCATGCACCAATGCACCCATGCACCCAAGCTGATCAAGAACGGCATCACAGCTACTCACTCACCCTGATAGACCCTAAAATCTCCCGGAACGCCAGGCGCTGGGACAGGCGGTCCTTCTTGGTCATCTGCTTGCTGCTGCCCACCGTCAGCTGCTGCATCTGCTCCACCGCCCTCTGTACCGTCGCACTGCCCTGACGCCCTCCTGTGAGCGACAGACGGGCACAAGTGGTATGGGGTATGGGGTATGGGTTGTGAATTGCATAACGTTCACCCCATCTGCTTGCTGCCCACCGTGAGCTGCTGCATCTGCTCCACCGCCCTCTGTACCGTCGCACTGCCCTGACGCCCACCTGTGAAGGACAGAAGAGCACAAGAAACATGGGGTACCGGGTATGAATTGTGAATTGCATCAACAGTCACCCCATCTGCTTGCTGCTGCCCACCGTCAGCTGCTGCATCTGCTCCACCGCCCTCTGCACCGTCGCACTGCCCTGACGCCCACCTGTTTTACAAGGCACGGGGCAAGGCGCATGGGGCATAGGGGAGCAGGATGCGAATCAAATTGGAAGTCACCCCATCTGCTTGCTGCTGCCCACCGTCAGCTGCTGCATCTGCTCCACCGCCCTCTGTACCGTCGCACTGCCCTGACGCCCACCTGTTGTACGAAGCACCGGGCATGGGGCATAGGCCATAGGGCAGCGGGATGCGAATTAAATCGGAAGTCACCCCATCTGCTTGATGCTGGCCGTCGTCAGCTGATGCATCTGCTCCACCGCTCTTTGCACCACTTTACAGCACATCACCGCCGTGCACAGGACGGCACCACACCGCACCGCACAGCACAACACAGCACTGCACCATGCACCACTGCCAATACCTGCAAGCACCACCCACCCTCGGGTAACTGCTACCTCCTCCCACGGGTTTATCAGGCCGCACGACCCCATCCACGATAGAGTCATCCACATCGCTGCTCTCCACTGCACCAGACTGTACCACACAGCACCACACAGCAAAGCACTGCGCCATGTGCCACTGCCAACATGCATTATACAGATTACATTTGCCAGGGGCAGGACCGATTCACCTCCCACGGGCTTATCAGGCAGCACCACCCCATCCACGATAGAGTCATCCGAGTCAGTGCTCTCCACTGCACCGCACAGTACCGCACAGCACAGCACAGCACAGCACCGCTACATCAGGCGGCCTGGGTCTACTCACCGCCCACGGGTTTATCAGGCAGCACCACCCCATCCACGATAGAGTCATCCGAGTCACTGCTCTCCACACCACCGTTTGCCAAGCCATTCGCCGAACCTCCTCCCGAGCCTGCACCGCTCTCCTCTATAGCGTCTGCAGGGCAGTGCTCGTGCACGAGGGCTATGGCCTCGCCTGCCGCCCCCCTCACGCTCAAGTCCGCGTCTTGCAGACAGCGGGATAGAACTTCCAGCTCACTGGTTGGGGGGGTGTGAGGGAGGAAGGGAGGGGAGCGAGACGAGTAGGGGATAGTGAGCGGGGGAGGGAGGGAGGGAGGGAGGGAGGGAGGGAGGGAGGGAGGGAGGGAGGGAGGGAGGGAGGGAGGGAGGGAGCGAGCACAAGGGCTGTGACACCCAGGTCCGCGTCTTGAAGGAAGTGGGGTAGAACCTCCGGTACACTCTGTGTGGGGGGTGCAGTTGGCAAGAGCTGAGCCAGGAGATACGATAAGGGCCAGAGGCACAGTCTAGTAGCACACCAGGCCAAGGAGCTGACGAATCTATGGTCGCAGAGTTGACACACCTGCGAGTGTGGAACTGCGAGAGCTGCGAGGAGGGCAGTGTGGAGAGCAGCAGGGTCCAGTTGCTGATGGCTGATCCCCTCACTGCTGCTGGTACCACCGCCTTGCTGGCGCCCTGAGAACAGAAAGCACCCAGGGGTTTGGGGGGTGTGTGTGGGGTGTTGAGAGTGGGTTGAGTGTGTTGAGTAAGACAGAGAGCAGCAGGGTCCAGTTGCTGATGGCTGATCCCCTCACTGCTGCTGGCACCACCGCCTTGCTGGCGCCCTGAGGAAAGGCACGAGAAGAGTGGGCAGGGGGAGTTGCGAGTGAGTTGGTTGTGTTGGCTAAGATGGAAGCGAGCAGGGACCAAATGCTGATGGTCCCTTCACTGCTGCCGGCAGCACTACTGCCTTGCTGTTGCCCTGAGTTTTGAGACGTCTCAAAAGTCTGATGGCTGAACCCTTCAGTGCTGCCGGCAGCACTACTGCCTTGCTGTTGCCCTGAGGACGGAAAGCAAGAACGGGGTGGGGAATGGGGGTGTTGGGTGCCTTGGGTTGGAAAGAAGGGCTCACTTATCCAATGGGTGAATGACAGCAGATCTCTTCCCCAGCCAAGGTAGGCCCATGCTCTCCTTTGAGGCATGGTCGTTCCTTCATTCCCAAACAACACCGGTCCAACAAAGTCACCTCGTCCCCAAATAACACGACTAGCCAAATCAGTCGCCTCCCCTGGTGGTTAACCACGAGCTATACAGCAAGCTCATGCTCTCCCCTGCAGCATGCGCGATAGCTATTGAACCCTAAAACCTCACGCTGAAATCAAACCCTGACTGAACCTCATTTGGGGGTTGGCGACGAGCCATGGCAGGTTCATGCTCTCCCCTGCAGCATGCGCGAGCTAGTAAACGCCAGACTTCAGACCCCAAACCCCTCACCTGGGGGTTGGCGAGGAGCCACACCACAGCAGGCTCATGCTCTCCCCCGTGACATGTGCAAATGCTAGCAAGCCCCTGGCTCTCGTACCCAGAACCTTGAGCTCTGAAACCTAAACCTCACCTGAGGGTTCGCAACGAGCCACAGAAGGCTCATGCTTTCCTCTGTGGCGTGTGCGTCCATGGCCCCCACGAACGTGATGATGGCCATGGCGTCTAGACACTGCGGGGTGGTGGGGGGTGATGAGAGGAGGGGAGGTGACAAGGCAAGGGACGGGAGGGAAAGGGGCGGTGCATCAATGAGTCCGTTCTCTCCTCTGTGGCATGGGCATCCATGGCCCCCACGAACGTGATGATGGCCATAGCGTCTAGACACTGGATGGGGGAAGGTGATCAGGGCGGTGGGAAACAGAGGGAGGAGGGAGAGGGGATATCGTGAGATGAACCAGAAAGAATACATTCTCTCACGATATCCCCTCTCCTCGGTGGCATTCTTTCTGGTTCATGGCCCCCACGAACGTGATGATGGCCATGGCGTCTAGACACTGCAGGAGGGGGAGAGGAGGAGGGGACGGGGCAGAGGTGAGGAAACAAGGCGATGGAGAAGAGGGGAGGGGACACTATGAGGTGCACCAGAGTGTGATGATGGCAACGGCGCGCGTCTAGGTACTAGAGAAGAGAAGGTGATAAGAGATAGGGGAGGAGGGGGGGGAGGGAGGGGGATTCCGGCAACGGAAGGGAGAGGATGGGAAGGGGCGTGAGGTGCATCAGAACGAATCCTTCTTCTGTAACATGTGCAGCCTTCCCTCCCTCCCCCCCACTCCATCCCCCCCTCCCTCCCTCCCTCCCCCCACTCCATCCCCCCTCCCTCCCTCCCTCCCTCCTTCCCCCCACTCCCTCCCCCCCCTCTCTCCCTCCTTCCCTCCCTCTCTCCTCCCCTCGTTTTCCCCCCTTACCTCCCTCTCGGTCCCCTTCTTTTGGACATCCCACTCACAGCAACGCGGGTGGCGGCACAGCCAGCAGCGCGAGCCAGCTTGCTCAGATGTGGCAGCGACGAGGAGAGCAGCTCCTCGCACGAGTCAGACGCCCCTAGGGTGAGCGCCAGCAGACCTGGAGGGTGGGGGGGGGCGGGTGGGGGAGGGGGAGAAGAAGGGTGGGGGTGGATAAGAAGGGAAAAGAGAAAGAAGAGCCATTTGAGGAGAACAGATGGGTTGGGAATCGAGAGGCGAGCGAGGTGGCGAGGTAAGGGGAAAGAGAGGGAAAGGAGGGGGGGAGGAGGGGGGAGGGCGGGGGAGGTTCGGTGGAAGGGGAGGGGGGGGAGAGAAGGAGGGTGGTGAGGAGAGGAGAGGGAAGGGAGGAACAGACAAGGCAGGGACGAGGAGAGCAGCTCTTTGCATGAGTCAGAAGCACCAAAGATAAGCGCCAGCCGACGTGTGGTTGGAACGGGAGACAGAGAAAGGAGAACCATCTTCGGAAGGAAGAGGGAGAAGGTGAGGGTGAATAGACGAGGCAGGGGCGAGGAGAGGAGCTAGCGCAGAGGGTATTGGTAGTACGTAGTACGTAGTACAAGAGCAGGGGGCTCTCACCAAGGCATCGGGCAGCGAGAACTTGCTCGGGCGCCTTGCCCTTTCTAAGGCACGAGAGAAAACCCTGCGTGAGAGTGTCGAACCTGCGGGCATTGAACGGGAGAGAGGGAGGGAAGAGTGTGCTAAGCTGGTGAGGTACGAGTCAGCGACAGGCGAGTACAGCCTGGGAGAGGGTGACAAACGCGCACACACACGCGCACACACGCGCACGCACACGCACACTCACCTGCCCACACCACAAGCGCGCACACACACACCCACACTCGCCCATGCACATGCACACACACAAACCACCTCCCCTTTTTTTCCCCATGCAAACACCCGCTTCAGAAGCCTTACTTGTCCTGCACCAGCTCCTCGTGCACTTGCGACGCCAGAGTGGTCGCCAGGCCCTTGAGCACCCAGCAGAACAATTCCTCGACCCGCATAGAAACCCCGAGGATGCCACACATGTCCCCCCTTATTAGAAGCCTTACTTGTCCTGCACCAGCTCCTCGTGCACTTGCGACGCCAGAGTCGTCACCAGGCCCTTGAGCACCCCCGCACAGGACAGCCTTTCAAACACACAGCCTACGGCCCCCTTTTAAAAGCCTTACTTGTCCTGCACCAGCTCCCCGTGCACTTGCGACGCCAGAGTCGTCGCCAGCCCTTTGAGCGCCGCCTCGCGAGTTGTCGACCTGGCAGGGGCGCACACGCGGAGGAGGAAGGAGGGGAGGAAGGGTGGATTGGATGGATTGGGACGCCAGAATGATCGCCAGCAACTTGGCAGGGGCGCACACACGCGGAGGGAAGAGAAAGTGAAGGGAAGGGAGAGGAAGGGGGGGAGAGGGGGGAAGGGGGGGGGAGGCGGGGGGGGGGGGATGGGGGGAACGGGAGGGGAGCGGAGGGGGAAGGGCAACGTAAGGATTCGCAGGAAGAACGTCAACAACATAACATCCTCACCACAGGTCGCCGTACCCACTCACCGCTTCTCCTGCAGCGCGTCTAGAAGCGCTTCCGTGGCCGTCGCCGCGCAGTAGACGTCGTCGCGCGCGCCGGAGTACACGGCGGGAAGGTCGCTCGACGACGACGCGGTGCTCGCCGTGTCGTCGTCGTCCGCGTCGCCGCCGTTGCGCGACGACCCGCGAGAACTCTTTTCTGCGGAAATCAAGAGCGGAAAGACCCAGGGGTGGCATTGGGGAAGAAATGGGGGAGAGGATGGTGTCGGGAAGGAAGGAGCGGAAAGAGAGAAGAGAGGAGAGGAGGGAGACGCATTAGCAGAGGAAGGAACCCCGTTCCAGTCATTCGGGCGCCGTTCCTCGCCGTATCGTCGCCGTCCGCGTCGTAGGCGTGGTTCGCATCGTCTGCGTCGTCCGCGTCGTCCGCGTCGTCCGCATTTGCCGCGTCGTCCGCGTGGTCGCTGCGACCAAATTCGCAGGAACTTTAATCTGCAAGAGCGGAAGCAGGATCTTCGGCCACTGTACAGGCAGAGCAGGCAGCACAGGGAACAACTTTTGAGGCGCCAAAAATCGCGGCGTGGCAGCAGAGCAGGCAGTCGGTTCGAAAAGTCGCGGTTGCTCGCCGTGCCGTCCGCGCTCAGATCCCGCAAGAAACATATAACGAAGGAACAGGGACTAAAACGCGGGAAGCGAAGTTGATGGACGAAATCCGAGGAGAACAACAGCAGTGCACAATGGAAGTTAAGAGATCCGTGTGCATGTTGCCTTGCTTCCTGGCCCATTAACCGGGTGAGATCACACGGCAAGCGAGCACACAGACGTTGTGCGAGAGTGACTGCGAGGGAAAAGACGGATGCGATATCCTCGACCACAACGTTTCTAGCTTCCCTTACACGAGCGAGATGCAATTGGGGAGATCAAGATCTTGCAGGAGACGCGTGAAAATTCCTTTGTAAGAGAAAGAACAAAAGCAAGAACAAAAGCGTAAGAGCAGGGTATAACGGTAGACTTACTCTTTCCCATTTGTCGCTAAATCTGGTCGGCGATACGCTTTAGACGAGGCTAACGGAAGCACTAGGCCCGAGGATTCAAATGGAGAGTCTCTGTTGCAATATCTCCAGAGAAAACGCCTGAAGGGACGGCTGAGGAGGCGCCTGAGGAGCAAAGCTATTCTGGTAGGCAGGTGGCCCAACCGAATCTGCAGCAGTAGGTGCTATCCCGGTAACACTTATTTTATTATTTTACCAATGCGGCCGTCTGGTGCAATAAATGCGGAACAACGAGTAAGGAAGCAATGTGCGAATGCGAAAAAGGTGCGCGAGTCCTAAGGTTCCTAATAATTCTAAGATCCAAGACGGATTCAATATGCTCAATTCGGAGGCTTTTAGAAACTAGACCCGCTACCGCCGTGATCAGGAGGAGCCTGAAATCGGTAGAGCTGGGAGGAGGAGGAGCTGGGAGCGCGAATGACGGTCACGGAACGGAAGGAGAAGCTAAGGCACGCCATGGATGGTCAATGGGGAACAGAAGAAATCCTGTGAGCTGTTCTACCAGAGGGAGAAAAGAGGGTTTGGGCATGGCAATGATTCCTGCTTTATTCCATGTTCGCTTGCCAACAGCTTTCTTGTGAGGATGGCTGTCCTTGGGATTTGCGGCGAGTTCCGTTGCGGGAAATCCGACAGCGCGTTTCCAAAAGCGATAACTATTGGACAACAAGGCTGCAAGTTGACCCAGTTTCCACTAAAGAGCGAGGGTGATATTGCTTTATCGTCCAGCACATCATGGTCCAGGAAATATCACAAGATATTGTCTGCAACAAAGATGCGCAATTGCGATTGCAACAGGTTGACGAAGGAATCCAATATCCAATAGCGAGTACGTTAACTCGATATAGTGGATGCAATACAGACCTTGTATCACCCCATGTGGGAGTGATTTACACCAACAAACCAAGCATGCACAAAAGCAAAATCAAACTCAAAATCAGGAGGTATCACAATGTCTATGGAACACACCAGCATTACTCGTCAATACGGTACAATCATTGCGCAACACATATTCACAGAATCACTACTGCAAACTCCCATTATAAAAAATTTCACCATTCTCATCCCATAGTCAAAACCAGCTGCCAGCACCAATTTCTCCTCCCTGCACCTCATCATACTGTTACCTTCCACAATCATCACCAGAAACATCACTGCCGCCCGCGTCGCCACCACCACTACCTACAGCAGCACCAGCAGCATCAGCGGAACCAGCACCGGCAGGAGCACTGTTTCCGAAGCCCATCTCCCCTTCACTTGATTGCAAGGCCTGCTGGGACACCCCTTGCTGTTGCACGCTCTGCTGCTCCCCTCCCTGTGCTTGCATGGACTGTGGCTGTGACGCTTGCGGTTGCATCGCTTGCGGTTGCAAAGCCGAGGCCATTGCCGCCTGAAACAGCAGCCGCATCAAATCCGCCTGCTGTGCTGCTTGCGAAGCACCACCAGCAGCCATGGGCGGCGTGAGCGCCCCTCCATTCGCATAAGGGTACGAGGGAAAGGCGGTGCCATTGGTGGTGGCAGCAGTGGGGATAAGGTCCTCTCCCAGGTGCGGCAGGCTGGCGCTGCTGCTGCTGCGCTTGCGCAGATAGTCAAAGGCGGCGTCTCGGGACGGGCGGGACTCGCTAAGCACTCGCAGGAAGTCCGCCCGGGCGAGGGGGCGCTGGGAGGTGGGGTCCTGTTAGGGGGAGGGGAGGAGAGTACATGACGAGGGCGATGCGTACTTGAGGATTCACAAGAGGCCTGTTCAAGGACTCGTTGAGCAAACGGGGGAACTTCGCCCGGGCGAGGGGGCGCTGTGGGAGGGAGGGGAGGAGAGAACGGGACGAGGGCAGATGCATAGTAAAAAAATCCCAAGCGGCCTATTGCCGAGGCTCGCTGAGTACGGGGAGAGGGAGAAAGAGAACGGGGGGAAGGTTAGAAACGGGGGGAAGGTTAGAAACGGGGGGGAGGGGAGAAACGGGGGGGGGTGTAAAGACCAATGAGGACATCGAGAGAGCATATTAACAGGGACTGCTCAGGAGTGTGAAATCAGTGAGACGAGTTTTGAGGCGCCGAAAAGAATGTTAACAGGGACTGCTGAGGGGAGTGAATTCAGAGCCAATGCTTGTAAGTGTAGCGAATGGAACAAACGCATCTCCCAATTATCTCCTCTCTTTTCATCCTACGGAAAATCATGCAGAGGCAGGAAGGCTGCCTGCTTGCACACCTCTGTCTGTCAGCAGCATTTCACTCTCGCACAGATCTTCCACCCACTCCCTCACCCTCTCCCGCATCGCTCACCTTCCCCTTCCCCTGCAGAGGCAGCAAGGCCGCCTGCTTGCACACCTCTGTCTGTCAACAGCATTCCACTCTCGCACGGATCTTCCGCCAGTGTCTCCCAGATCTTCCCCCCACTCCCTCACCCTCTCCCGCATCGCTCACCTTCCCCTTCCCCTGCAGCGCTCTCCGCTCCTCCTCCAGAAAGTCATGAAGAGGCAGGTACGCCGCCTGCTTGCACAGCTCTGTGAAAAACAGTTCACTCTTCCACAACCCCAGTGGCTCCGAGATCTTATATTCTACCCTCACCCCTTTCCTAACCCCTCATCCCCCCTCGTCTCACCTTCCCCTTCCCCTGCAGCGCTCTCCGCTCCTCCTCCAGAAAGTCATGAAGAGGCAGGTACGCCGCCTGCTTGCACAGCTCTGTGAGATCAGACCCGCTGTAGCCCGCGCATAGAGAGGCGATCTCCTGCAAGTCCAAGTCCTCATCCACGTCCTCGTCCTAAGGAGAGAAGGGGCAGAGAGGAATCAGGGTTAAAAACAGGAAAGCTCTGTGAGGTCTGACCCACTGTACTCAGCACAGGAGGCAATCCCTTGCAAGTCCAAGTCCTCATCCACGTCCTCGTCCTGTAGGGCGACACAGGGGAAGGAGGAGCAACTAGATTTGGGAATGTACGTACCTATATATTACATGTATTCTTGCACGCTTACCTGCCTGGCCTACCAGAAGCACCCCCTGGCTTATATGGCACTGCTGCTGCTTGTGATCGGAGGGAAGGGGCGAGATGACAAGATCACAAGCAGCAGCAGCAGCGCCATATAAGCCAGGGGTGCTTCTGGTAGGCCAGGCAGGTAAGCGTGCAAGAATAAATGCAATACATAGGTTCGTACATTCCCAAATCAAACGCAGGAAGCAACTTTTGACAGATTCAGATCATCATCCACGTCCATGTCCTGGCAGTATAAGACAAAGGAAAACAACGCAGAGAAAACATGAGATGAGAACACAACGGCTACCGTGGGGATCAATACGCTTCCCTATGCTTTCCATCCCTGGGCTTCCCTAAGCTTCCCTGAGCTTACCTGGGCTTTCCTGCCCTCTTCTTCCCCAGACTACCCTGTTCTTCCCTAGACTACCCTGTTCTTCCCTAGATAGTGTAGATCATGGTAAAACAGAGTAGAACAGGGTAATCTGGGGAAGAACGGGGTAGTCTAGAAAAGAACGGGGTAGTCTAGGGAAGAACGGGGTGGTCTAAGGAAGAACAGGGTGGTCTACGGAATAACGGGGTGGTCTAGAGAAGAACAGGGTAGTATAGGGAAGAACGGGGTGGTTAAGGGAAGAACGGGGTGGTCAAGGGAGGAACAGGGTGGTCAAGGGAAGAACGGGGTGGTCAAGGGAAGGACGGGGTGGTCAAGGGAAGAACGGGGTGGTCAAGGGAAGAACGGGGTGGTCAAGGGAAGAACGGGGTGGTCAAGGGAAGAACGGGGTGGTCAAGGGAAGGACGGGGTGGTCAAGGGAAGAACGGGGTGGTCAAGGGAAGAACGGGGTGGTCAAGGGAAGAACGGGGTGGTCAAGGGAAGAACGGGGTGGTCAAGGGAAGAACGGGGTGGTCAAGGGAAGAACGGGGTGGTCAAGGGACGAACGGGGTGGTCAAGGGAAGAACGGGGTGGTCAAGGGAAGAACGGGGTGGTCAAGGGAAGAACGGGGTGGTCAAGGGAAGAACGGGGTGGTCTAGGGAAGAACAGGGTAGTCTAGAGAAGAATGGTGTAGTCTAGGGAAAAACGGGGCAGGAAAGCCCAGGTAAGCTCAGGAAGCCTAGGAAAGCCCAGGGATGGGACACACAGGGAAACGAATTGATCCCCACCGGAGCCCAGAATAACCCCAGGCAGCTCTCACATACCCGAGGAATCACTTCAAGAATGCTGGTCTGGCCAGCCAGTTTACGCGGGGGGATCTCAAAGTGCCTGAGCGGCTGAGAATAGCCTCGTGTTGTACCAGCCTCACAGCCGACAATCGCCACTATACCTGACCTCACACATCACATGCCCGAAGACCCACTTGCAGGATACTGGTGCGACTGGCTACATCCGGCAGGGAAATCTCAAAGAGGCGAGGCAGGTGCCTGAGAACCCATCTGCCGCACCCAGCCTCACAACTCACATTCATCACAATGCTTACCCTCACACCACACATACCCGCAGGATCACTTCCAGGATGCTGGTGCGGCCGGCTAAATCCGGCAGGGGAATCTCAAAGTGGCGGGGCAGGCGCCTGAGAATGGCCTCGTCCAGCTCCCAGGGGCGGTTGGTGGCTGCTAGTACCATCACCCGTGCCGTGTCTGATTGGGGGGGAAGACAGGGGGTGGCAGGGGGGTGCAGGGGGGTGCAGGCCGGGCAGGAGGGTGCAGGAGGGCAATGAAGCGGGTTGTGATGGCAGGCGCCTGAGAATGGCATCGTCCCGCTCCCAGGGGCGGTTGGTGGCTGCTAATACCGTCACCCGCGCCGTGTCTGCAAGAAGGGGGGTGCAATGCAGGCAGGGGGGTTCAATGGTGGGGTGCAGGGGAGTGCAGTGAGGGAAGGCGCCTGAGAATGAATAAAGCACACACCACTCACCCAGCCATTCACCAGACCAGCTGACTTTTGAGTCGACTCAAAAGTCACCACTCACCCAGCCATTCACCAGCCCAGCCACCCACTCATCGTCAGTGCTGAAGCTGTCCCACAGGGACATGAACTCGGTCTTCATGCTGGTCACCGCCTTGTGTCATCACTCACTCACTGCTCCTTGCACAAAATGCCTTGTCAATACCCACCCACCCTCTCACCCACCATCAGTGATGAATCCTTCCCACAGCGATATAAACTCCGTCTTCATGCTGGTAACTGCTTCGTGCTCCGCCTGGCTCCTCGGCCTCATGTCACTCACTCATACTACGTGCACCCACACCCTCCTAACTCACCATCCGTGCTGAAGCCGTCCCACAGAGGCATGAATTCGGTCTTCATGCTCGTCACTGCCTCGTGCTCCGCGTTCCTCCGCTGCCCCGTGTCACTCACATACCCACCCACCCAACCACCCACCCAACCACCCACCCACCCACCCACCATCGGTGCTGAGGCCATCCCACATGGACATAAACTCCGTCTTCATGCTCGTCACTGCCTCGTGCTCTGTATGCCCTCTTGCCTCGTGTCACTCTCTCACCCACCACTGCATGCACTGAAGCCAATACTGACAACACTCTTGCTTACCGTCAGTGCTGAAGCCGTCCCACAGCGACATGAACTCCGTCTTCATGCTGGTAACCGCCTCGTGCTCCGTGTTCCGCCGCTGCCCCAGGAAGGACTCCACCTCGTCGATGAAAATAATGGCTGGCTGCAGCTTGTGGGCTAGCGTAAACACCGCTGTGACTGTAACGAGGCAAAGGAAAAGAGAATGTAGGAGGAGGGAAGGGAAGGGAGGGAATAAGGTGCTCCGTGTTCCGCCTCTGTCCCAGGAAGGACTCCACCTCGTCAATGAAGATGATGGCTGGCTGCAGGTCGCGGGCTATTGTAAACACCGCTGTGACTCTAACGAGGGACGCAGCGAAGAGAAGAGAGTGCCTCGCTCCCCTCCCCACCACCCCAAACGCTCCTAGCTTCTGCGCGTCCCCAAACCACTTCATGAGGTTGGGACGAACTGAGACTAACAACGTGAACACACGGAGAGGCGGAACGCACACCCTTGTTCCCTCCCAACACCCTGTGAGCAACGCACCTAGCTTCTGAGTGTCCCCGAACCACTCGCTCATGAGGTTGGCGATTCCGACGTTGATGAACACCGCTCTGCACTCCTTGGCAATCGCCCCTTCTTGCACACACACTCTTCTTCCTCACAACCCACCCCCAACGCACCTAGCTTCTGAGCATCCCCAAACCATTTGCTCATGAGGTTGGCGATCCGCACGTTGATGAACACCGCTCTGCACTCCTTGGCAATCGCCTTCGCCAGCAGCGTCTTACCAGTGCCTGGCGGGCCGAAGAGCAGCACACCCTTCTGTGGTCTGCATGCATGCATGCACATGCGGACACAGAGAAAGAATGGCGAGAAAACTCTGACGTTGATGAAAACCGCTCTGCACTCCTTGGCAATCGCCTTCACCAAGAGCGTCTTGCCGGTGCCTGGCGGGCCAAAGAGCAGCACACCCTTCTGTGGTCTGCATGCATGCATGGGCAGAGAAGGGAGGGAGGGAGGGGGTGCAAAACAGAACAGACATCCCTGGGTTGGAAAAGGAAGTCAAGGATTTCATCAGACAAGGTCATGCAGGGACTCGTTGTACCAAACAGGGGGAAACTCCTTGACATGCTGCACTGCAGGCCACCTGTAAATCTCACCTCACATAACGCATCCTGTACCGAACAGGGGACTCTCTACACAGTGCACTGCACCGCAGCATGCGGGGTTTGAGCAAAGAGCGCCAGTCATTGAAGAAAAAAATGAAGAGACCAAGTGGGCTGTTTGTCGTGCGGAGACTCCTTGACGTGCTGCAGGCTGCCAATGGACCTCATCCGAATGTCTCGCCTTTTCTATTAGCACCACTCTGAACCCACACTCACCGCAGCAGCCGCCCTTGGGCAAAAATCTCTGGGCGCTGGAGAGGCAGAAGAACGAGATCGTGAAGGGAGTAAGTGACGTGATGTGGTGCAGGCCGCCTATGGAGTCCCAAACGTACAAGCCCTCACCTATCCCTCACCTATCCCTCACCTATCCCTCACCTGTCCTATAACGCATTTCTTCAAAGTCACGCAAACACTCACCGCAACAGGCGGCCGGCCTTGAGCAAAAAGCTCCGGTCACTGGAAGGGCAGTAGTAAGACGAGGTCGTGGAGAGACTCCTTGGTGTGCTGCAAAGAACACTACCGCACCCCTCCCCACCCACCCACACCACCTACCGCAACAGGCGCCCCTGTGCAAAGAGCTCGGGTCGCTGCAGGGGCAAAATGACAAGGTCGTGAAGAGACTCCTTCACGTGCTGCAAAGAACGCTACAGCACCCCTCCCCACCCACGCTCACCGCAGCAATCGGCCTTGTGCAAAGAGCTCGGGTCGCTGCAGGGGCAAAATGACAAGGTCGTGCAATGACTCCTTCACGCGACGTGCTGCAAAGAACGATACAGCACCCCTCCCCACCCAGACCACCTACCGCAACAGGCGCCCCTGTGCAAAGAGCTCGGGTCGCTGCAGGGGCAAAATGACAAGGTCGTGAAGAGACGCCTTCACGTGCTGCAGGCCGCCTATTGAGTCAAATGTGACGTGGATGTCCTGTGGGTTGATCACATCGTTTGCTATCACGTCCTGATGGGGAGGGGTTTCGAGGAATAGAGAGAGATAGAGAGGGGTAGAGGGGGGGACAGAGACAAAGGTGACGTGGATGTCCTGTGGGTTGATCACATCGTTCGTTGGCGATTAAGCCCTGATCGGTTCAGAGGGATGGACAGGCGTGGAGAGGGATAGAGAGGGAAAGAGAGGGCTAAAGAGGGAATGGGAGGGACAGAGGGAGACGTGAATGTCCTGTCGATTGCTATCGAATCCTGATGGGAAGGGTTAAGAGGGATGGAGAAGGATAGAGAACGATAGAGGGAGATAAAGAGATGAGAGGATTTAAACATGACGTGGATGTTGTCGAAGTTTCCTCCGCTTCCTCCCCGTTTTGCTCTCCCCTGCACTGTCAGACTCTGTTACTCCTCATGTCCTGCCTTGTTCCTACAACCTCAGCCCCTTTTATCCCCTTGCTGCACTGCACTCTTCTCTTCTCTCTTCCTCTTTGAGTAATGCCTTGAGGTGTGAGTGTTACGTTGTGGGCCTATCCTCTCAAAACAAACTCTAATCCTTTTGAGTCGACTCAAAAGTCAGCTCGTGTTACGTTGTGGGCCTATCCTCTCAAAAAAACCCTCTAATCCTCCGACTGGTTCCCGCATCGGGACAGTACTGCTAGGAAGATAGCCCGGACACGAACTCCACTAAAGCAGGAAACAAACAAACAAACAAGCACAGAACAGATAGGCCTAGGCTACTATGTACATTGAAGATTCAGCCTAGCCTAGTATCCATGGTGTCTGATGGCATGGGGTCCCACCACCTCGCACCGGACCAGACCTATCTCTCACTCACACGCATCCGACATGGCACACGAATCCAAAGGTCCTCAGCCCACCTATTTACATGATAGGATCTCCACCCTCCGTTCTACAACCACACCCTCCCCTCGCGCCCGTACAGCTGGCCCGTACCCTCTTGGTTCCTTACTTCGTGATTGAAGAAGGGTTTTGAGACGTCTCAAAACCCTCGCGCCCGTACAGCTGGCCCGTACCCTCTTGGTTCCTTTCTTCCGCCGCCTCGTTTTCAAGCTACCTTGCTTTTCACGCCTTGCTCTCGCAAGCCTGCCGACCTTGGTGACGCTGCCGCAGCTCTGCCGAGCCATCAAGCTAGCCTCGCTGCCCAGGCCTACGGTCTTACTCCGCTGCAATCCTCTCCGCTGCTACACTGCCACTGCATAACAGCGTAATTGCTCTATTGAGTATATCTCTAACCGTCATTAGTGACATGCGCGACAACGTTCTGTGGGTTTATCACGTCATTTGTTATCACATCCTGATGGGGACGAGGAGAGGGATGGAGAGGAATAAACGGGGGATAGAGAGAGGAGAGAGATGGAGTCAAAGATTACTTACCTAAGAGGATAACCAACCAACTCATACCAGCGGAATTGAAAATCGACTAACTCGCAGGCACACCTCGTATGTGTTCGTCTGGATGTACCGGCTGTAAGGACCAACACAATCTCTTTGCAATCTCCTTTTTTCCGCTGCGCGACGAGCTTGGCCTGCCTGCGCGTGATTAGGGGTTCTTACGCGTCGACTCAAAAGTCATCCTGACATGACATGTGACTTCACACCCACCCACCTCATACGTGTTGGTTTCGATGTACGGCCGACCCAGTCGCTTGGCGATCTCCCTTTTCCGCTGCTTGGCGAGCTTAGCCTGCGCGCGGTTGGGGTCCAGCTGGCGGAACGTGAAGAGCAGCACGAGCGCGCTGATCCCCGCGCTGCACACGTACAGCAGCAGCTCTTGCGCCAGCGCGGACCCCCCGCGCGCGGACCCTCCGCGCCCCCCCGCTCCGCCGCCAGCAGCGCCAGCCATGCTCGTGTGTGTGGGTCTGTTGGGAAGGAGACTGTCGCCGATGATCTTGAATATGTTGTTGCTGCTGCTGCCGCTGCTGTTGTTGCTGTTGCTACTGATGATGATGCTACTGTTTCTATTGTTGATGGTGCTGCCACTGCTACTGTTGCTGTTGTTGCTCCCGCTGCTGCTGCTATCACTGTTGCGGCTATGTCTGCTCCAGGGCAGCTGAAATTCTTTCCCGCCAAAGAGCATGAGCTCTCATTGGACGAAGATTCAGCACGCGACAACTTCACGCGGCAAATCAGGTGTGAAGATTCAAAACCTCGACTAAGAAGCAGCTGAACTGAGACCGCAAATGGGAAGCTGGACTGAGGCAGGGTGCGACGAAACTAGCGAGAGGTTACTGGTCGGCTCGCGAAAACTTTCGGAGAGGGTCTGTTCGCGAAAGAAGGTAACATGGCTACGATATCATCGCGGAGAGCCAGAAACGAGCCATTATACGTCAACGACAGCAGATAATCCTGCACACGACAAAGCAACCTATCACCAAATCTGAGACCTAATCCGAAGCGCCTCACTTTAACTCCGATCGCAAGCCAGAACAGCCAGCCACTAGTTATTACGAACCAGTCCCCCTAACTAGTTAACTGCTCCGTAAGTTTCCCGTAAGTGCTCTGTAAGTGCTCTGTAAGTGCTCCAAAAGGAATCGATTTCGTTGCAGTAACTACGGCGGGTCTGATCTGGGTTGATGGCTGCTGCAAGAGCGTGCTACGTGTCGCTAGGCGTGTTCGTCGAGGTAAGGAGAGAAGCACAGTGCGAAGCGCGACCAAGTGACGTCATGATAACGTGAAAGAAACTTTAGGAGCACCCTTGATCTCTCCGCATGCGATATAAGACACCAGCGGCCTTGAATAACACGCAACCTAATGGAAAATACATAATTGCACACTTTTTGAGCTTCGAATTAATACACATAAAGATAATCATAAAAGAATGTTTTGGCATAACTCCCCAATTCGTTTTACTTTGCATACAGCAAATACCTGACAGGAAACAGAATTTTATAGAATTATAATGCCCCGCGTTCCAAACAATTGCTGCTAGTCCATATGAGGGGCCATTCCCTCCACCTTCTCACTTGCTCACTTCATCTACTCTCTCCCTCCCAAACATCACAGTCAGCACCGCATGATCTGACAGCGTATAATCCTCAGGCCACTTCCCTTCCTCCATTTCAGGCGGGAACAGCGATGCCTTCACCACGGCCAGACTCAGCCCCCCATTGCTCACGTCTATTTCACACTCCTCCACGTCTTCGTCTCCTGCCTGAACACTTGCTGCACCACCAGTAACTTCCTTAGCTGCATCTGCACCGGCAGCATCAACAGAAACACCAACAGCAGCACCACCAGCATCAGCAGCACCAGCAGCACCGCTGCCATCTCTACAGCAATTCTTCCCCTGGCCCGCCTCGCCCTCCACATTGAGCCCTCTGCGGCTCTCCCAATACGGCTGCTCCCCTTGCAACACCGCCTGCTCCTTCTCCTCCCACCGCCGCTGCTTCTGCTGCTCTTGTGAGGATGCAGCAGACGGGCTAGCAGCCGAAGGTGCAGCACCGGCAGAGACAGCAGCAGTGCCAACAGCAGCAGCAGTGACGGAAGGAGAGGCGGCAGAACCAGGGGCAGCAGCAGCAGCAGCAGCAGCAGCAGCAGCAGCAGAGGCAGTGGCGAGGGAGGCAGCAAGCGAAGCAGCCATGGATTGTTTGAGGGTATCAACCCGCGAGTCCCACGTGGGCTGTTGGAACATGTCCTGGAACTCGTTGAAATCCACCCACCCATCGCCATCCGTGTCCGCCCCTTGCATCAGCTCTGCCACTTCGACCTCTGTCAGCCCTATTGAATTGTCTCCTGTCAAACCAAGCTGCATGGGAGAGAGAGGGGCAGAAGGGAAGGCGGAGGGATGGGTGAAGAGAGGGGAATGTTAGTCCCAAGGAGCACTTTGAAACATGTCGTGAAGCTCGTTGAAGTCCACCCACCCGTCCCCATCCATGTCCGCCCCTTGCATTAACTCTGCCACCTCCACCTGTGTCACCTAGATGGTCAAGGCAGTGATGCAGCACTCCTGCCTCTCCATCCCCTCCTTGTCACTGCCGGAATAGTCCTACCTGCCCCAGCTCAACCCTGCCTCCAGGCCCGGTTCCATTCCCAGGTAGCATCTGCCCCAGTCGCACCCACCTGAGCCACGGCCAGTTGAAAGTCTTCAATGGTGAAAGCAGTGATGCAGCACTCCTGCCTCTCCATCCCCTCCTCATCACTGTCGTAATACCTCCACGCCTCCTCATCCTCCTCCTCCTCCTCCTCCTCCTCCTCCTCCTCCTCCTCCTCCTCCTCCTCCTCCTCCTCCTCCTCCTCCTCCTCCTCCTCCTCCTCCTCCTCCACCACCTCCTCCTCCTCGGTCGCTGGGTCATCATTCTGCTGTTGCCCGAAATCCATGCTGACGTCAGCAGCGTCGGTGGCGTTCGGGTCCGAGGTGAAACACACGGTGTGTTCAAACGGGGACGTGTCACCTGCTGTCGCAAAGAACTGGAACGCGTGACGTGCGTCCGTAATGCCTGCTGCTAGCAGCTTGGACTGGGAGGGATGGGGTACGGACGGAGAGTAGGGCGGGGGAGAGGGTGGGATGGAGGAGAGGGGAATGGGGGAGAGGGGGACGGGAGAGGGGATGGGGGATGGGCATGGGGGAGAGGGGGGTGGAAAGGGGAGGAAAGGATACTAATATTAACGCAGTGGGTGTGTAGATGCATCTCTTAAATGCATCAAAGAATTAAAATGCGAATAACTGAGTATATCTGACTGGCTGTGATGCTTCTCACTCACCTTGATAAGCGCAAACACGGCCTTGCGCCAGTTCAAGGCGGGGTTGCTGAGGGTGTGTGGCGTTGAGCATGCACACATAGCAGCAGAGGGGACTGCACCTTGATACCGTACCATACCTCACGGTCTATGCCAGCTCACCTTGATCAGCCCGAACACGGCCTTGCGCCAGTTCAAGACGGGATTGCTCATGGGCGTGCGGGCGTTGAGCATCCACACATAGTCCACTCCGCACACGTCCCCTCTGTGGCTGCGATGGCTCACCCACTGAGACAAGAGAGACGGGGAGTAGGGGAGAGGAGAGAGAAGGAGAGCATGCGATGCAATCAACACTGAGCATCCACACATAGTCCACTCCGCACACGTCCCCCCTGTGACTGCGATGGCTCACCCACTGGAAGCAAGGGGAGAAGGCAGAGTATATAAGGAAAGAGGCACAGCAGTAAGACAACGGAAGTGCAACCAGCTCTGAGCAGCATCCACACATAGTCCACCCCGCACACGTCCCCCCTGTGACTGCGATGTCTCACCCACTGTGGAAAGAGAGATGGGGGGCGGGGGGGGGAGAAGGGAGAGAAGGAGAGCTTGCGATGCAAGCAGCACAGAGCATCCACACATAGTCCACCCCACACACGTCCCCCCTGTGACTGCGATGACTCACCACTGCGAGAAATGGCACAAGTGGAGGGGAAACGGCGCAGGGAGAATGAAGAAAGAAGAGACAGGGAGGGGATAAGGAGACAGCAATACCAGTTGCAGCTACCAGCACACATAGTCCACCCCGCACACGTCGCCCCACTGCCTGCCATGACTCAGCTACCTTGTAATCCACGTCACCTACCGTCTCGTCCACATCATTGAGGTGATGCGCCGTGTCATAAGAGGAAAGAAAGCCCTGTGAGCGCAGCAGCTTGTACACGTTGCCCTCCTTGGTGCCATTGAGATCGCTGATGGGAGGGAAGAATACATGAGGGAAGAGAGGGAGCACATGGGGAAAGGAGAGCAAGAGAGAGAGGAACCAGTGGGCATGTGAAGCGAGCCACACATTGATCATAGCAACTTGTACACGTTGCCCTCCGCGGTGCCGTTCAGGTTGCTGGGAGGGACGAAGGGGAAAGATGTGGGAACGGGGTTGTGAGATCGAAACACTTCAGACGTCCCAGAAGCGGCTGAATTTTTAGAGGTGAAGAAACACTCTATCGTGGCAGGATTGGGCAGCACGTTCAAGAATTCAAGAGCATGTGAGAGGGCAAGCATGGGCACGGCAAAGGGCACGTGCGGAGAATGGGAGCTGTGGAAGAAGGGGAGCAGGTGGTTTGGGGCAAAGAGCACGGGCGGGGCACAAGCGGACGAGATTGAAGGACACGGAGAGGCCAACATAAGAGAGCCCAACATACCCGCACAGGATGACAGGGGCGGGTCTGCCAGCCTGCTCTGTCCGACACTGCTCCACCCGCTCCAAGAGCTTGTACACCTGGCGGGATGATGACAGAGCACAGAGCAACGGACACACACACGCATGCATGCACAAAGATGAAGGAACCGAATGCTGTCACACTGCTCTGCTCTGACCGACACTGCTCCACTCGTTCCAACAGCTTGTACACCTGCCGGGACGATGACAGAGCACAGAGCAACGGACACACACACGCGCGCGCGCACAAATATGAAGGCACCGAATGCTATCACACTGCTCTGCTCTGACCGACACTGCTCCACTCCACTCGTTCCAACAGCTCTTACACCTGGTGAGGTGCAGTCGAGCAGCACTCCGGATCCATACGAAACGAATCTTATACCAAGGCAATTACATGCAGTGGTTTCAGGCAACGCTGCTTCACTCTACTTTACCCCATTCCTCCTCCTCCCCCGCCCTACCTGCAAACATAGAGCAGAGAGAGAGAGAGAGAGCAGAGAGAGAGAGAGAGAGAGAGAGAGAGAGAGAGAGAGAGAGAGAGAGAGAGAGAGAGAGAGAGAGAGAGAGAGAGAGAGAGAGCTTAGTTCGGAAAACCGTGTGTTATGTTAGTGTATGCTTGTGTTTGCATCTTCCTATGTATCACCCATCAATCAATACAAGGACCGCTCGAGAGAGAGCACTGCTGCGGGAACAGATGCATCTATTTCGATGTGGCCACTGGACCCAGCTGTACACTGACTACGTGGGGTCAATGCTCCTGGCCGAACCACCTCAGCACCAGTGGGTGACCCACTGGGAATCTGCTCACGTGCGGAGGGGTTGGTGAAACGGGGTAACCTGTGAAAGGCGTTAGCGGCCCTACAACCCTCGCCTTCAGCACCTGCGACAATTGCGACACTACAGCAGCTGGAATCGAAACACCCCCAACCCCAAAATGACCTGCCCGAGTGGGTGCATTCCTACACCACACCCACGCAATTTTCAACCACTCTGGAACGCTTTTCCGACGTCCTTGGAGAATGCCCCAGGGGAATTGGGGCTGGCCCATCGGGGTCAACTTTCGAACACTACCGCGATCCAGCGCTAAGTAACATCGAGGTACTAGGGCACCTCCACTCCGCCGTTACGCATCTTCTCTCGACAAATCTTTCCACTGAAGTCGCAGCACTACTTGCCCCGTCCCGCCTTATAGCCTTCGCCAAACCAGGGGGGGGGGGGTACGTCCCATTGCGATTGGAGAGTCATTGCTTAGGCTGGCGGCGAAGGTGGCGCTCTCAGATCTGCAAGGAGAAACGCGAATTTTTTTCCTACCTCAGCAATTTGGCGTGGCAGTCCCTGGAGGTGCAGAGCTTGTCATCCACGGTGCAGCCCTCCAGCCTAGTACTCCAGCTTGACATCGAGAACGCGTTCAACTCAATAGAGAGGAGCGCGTTCTTCAACGCACTCATCGGCTCCCCGCTAGCTCCCCTAATCGCCTTCACACGCTCTTTCTACGCAGCATCTTCACCACTACTGCTGGACCCATGCCTCAATTCCACGGCTCTCACCAGCGGAAGGGGAGTCACACAGGGGAATCCCCTCGGACCCCTGCTATTCGCAGCATCTATCCAGCAGCACCTCAGGCACGTAGCAACGGAGCACCCGGAAGTCACGGTCCTCGCGTACGCGGACGACATAACCATGATTGGACCCGCGGCGGCGACGCTAGAAGCGCTCAGGGAGCTCACGCCGCTGCTGGCACGGGACGGTCTCACCTGCAACTTTAGGAAGTCGTCGGCGTGGTCCTCCGTGCTGCTAGGAGGTGACATACTCCCCGAGGGCCTTCCCCTCACCCACGAGGGGGTACGGGTGTTGGGAAGTCCGGTGGGGTCGCAAAGCTTCTGCTCTGATTTTGTCCGCAGTACCCTGACTGACGCGGCAGCCCTCTTGGGCTCTCTGGCGTCCATCCACCCACAACACGCCCTCCTGCTACTGTCTCGTTGCATCAGCCGCAGAGTCGGCTACCTGCTGCGCACTACCCCAGCTGACGTCTTACTGCTCTCGGAATGGCACACATGGTGCGCCGAATTACTGAACACCGCCTTGACCGCCTTGACCGCCGCCAGCATTCAACCGCCACGCCGAGAAGCCGAGTTCAACTTCCTCCTCCGACAAGCAACTCTACCAGTCGCCCTGGGCGGGCTGGGCCTTACAGACCTCACAACGGAAGCAGCGCCGGCCTACCTGGCATCAATGACAGAGGCGCTACGGTTACTCCGCTCTCTTGACCTACCAGCAACGGCGGCGCTGGGGGCCAACAACAACACTCTGCAACCGTCTGCCGTGCACTCGGTAACCATCCAGGACATGGAGGGGCGCCTGCCACCGCTGGCGCTACAAATCTTACGGGAGGAGCAGCAAACCCCGTCCCAAGACCCGCTGCAACGTGCCCTGTCTCTGGAGGTGCATGCGGCAAAGGCCGACGCCCTAAGAGAGGAGTCACGCACAATACAGTCAGCCCCCGAGATGGGCCACACACTCCGCCTAGTCAGCCTGAGAGGAGAGGGAGCGGGAGCGTGGCTGCAGGCACTACCCTTGACCCGGACCTCTGCTTCTCACCGGGTCAGTTCCGAGCGGCCCTGGCCTTCCGCATGGGCATCCGACAGAATGTACCAACCGTGTGCGAGTGTGGAGAACTCGTAGCCGACTGCAGCCTACCCAACCACTTACTCCGCTGCAGCACAGGCCCCGACAGGACGCGCACATACAACCAGCTGGCCTTCGCCGTGGCTAAAATGGCGAGGGAGGCGCAGCTGGTGGCATACCTGGAGAATGCGATGTACTCACCACCAGATGACCCGAAGAAGGCAGATGTGATTGTACAAGACCCGGACAGCGGAGAGACCTGGATCACAGACACCACTGTCACTGACCCTGTGCTGCAGAACCGAGACCCCACGGCCCGCAAACCCCCAGGCTGGGCTGCAAGGGAGGCACAGAAGCGGAAGGAGAGGGACTACTACCGACACACTGAACACGTGGTGTTCTGCGCCCTGGCCGTCGAGACCTATGGAAATGAGGTATGGAGGGCGTGCGAGAGGAGGGAGAAGGGGTGTTGGAGGAGGTGTGTGTGTCTCTGTGCGCATCTGCGGAATTTAGAGTCGCGTGCCAATACGGAGGGGGAGGGGTGGCAGCTCACTGCTGATGACGAGCTGACTTTGGCTGTGCTCAAGCTCATGCAATCACTGGGGTCCACTTGTATGTGCGCGCATGCATGCATGCATGCATGTGTGCGTTCTTGGGTGTGTGTGCGTATGTGCATGCTTGCGTGTTCTCATCCATGTGCATGTGTCTGCATGTGTCTTTGTTGTGCATGTGTGAATGCATGTGTCCATGCATGTGTCCATGCATATGCATGTGCATGTGCATGTGCATGAGCGTGTGAGGGTGCGTGTGCGTGTGCGTGTGCGTGCATGCACGTGTTTGTGTGTTTTTATGTGTAATCAGGTGGCAGGTGAGCTGTTCAACCTGGTGGGCGATCAAGGCTTCGAGTTCATCCAGCAACTGCTGCAGGTACCATTGTGTTTGCATGCACGCTGATCTGGTACCAAGCTTGCCTGTTGCTACAGTTACCTGCATGTGCCTCGTGTCATCTGCAACTCCTCAGGTGCTTGTGCTTGTGCTCTCTTGGGGACACCTGTGCTGTGCTTTCAGATGTTGCCACATGCCGCACCGCCGCACCTCGCTACGGTCACCGTGCAGACCGACTCTGAGTATGAAGAAGTGTTTTGAGATGTCTCAAAACACTTCTTCATACATGTGGCACAGCCGCACCGCGCTGCGCTACGGTCACCGTGCACACCGACTCTGAGGAGCAGCTGGAGAAAGCTGGAAACACCCAGCACCTCTGTATCTTCCCTTCTCATCCCCCTTCTCCCCTTCCGCCCCCACTCCCCCCCCCCCCCCACCTCGTCACTGCTCCCTTCTTCCACCAGCATCGCAAGGTGCTGGTGTCTGCGGCTCAGTCGGCGCTCTCAGCTTTAAAAGAAGCAGTCGAGGCGGATGCAGCAAGCAGCGGCACCAGCAACAGCCACATGCGGCACGGCGCGACAGTCACCGTGCAGACCGAGTCAGAGAAACAGCTGGAGAAGCTCCGAAAGAAAGAGGACAAGAAAATTGCTCGTGCCGCCGCGAAAACTGGAGGAGGCGGGGGAGTGGGGGGAGGAGCGGGGAGAGGGGGGGTAGAGGGGGAGCTAGCATGGTTGCTAGGCGCAGGGGGGTTTTCAGCACTGGTGGAGGCTGGGGAGAATAAAGTCGGAGGGGTGATTGATGCTCTGATTGGTACAGGGGATGATGCTGTACCTGTGAGGGCGCTGCCTGTGGGGACTAAGAGGAAGGCTTATAAGGGGTATGAGGAGGTGCATGTGCCGCCGGCTGTGGCGGAGGGGGGCGCGGGGAGGGCACAGGAGAAGCTGGTGAGGGTGGGGGAGATGGAGCCGTTCGCTCAGAAGGCGTTTGAGGGGTTTCAGACTCTCAACCGTATTCAGAGCCGCATCTACCAGCGTGCTTTCTACTCCAATGAGAATCTTCTGGTAAGGGAAAGGCTTATAAGGGGTATGAGGAGGTGAATGGGATTTCAGACGCTCAACCGCATCCAGAGCCGCATCTACCAGCGTGCTTTTTACTCCAATGAGAACCTCCTGGTATGTGTTCCAAGAGAAGGCTCATAAGGTGTATGAGGATAGGAGGTGCATGGGGTTCTGAGGGAAGAGAGCACAGGAGAAGCTGGTGAGGGTGGGTGAGATGGAACCGTTCGCTCAGAAGGCGTTTGAGGGGTTTCAGACTCTCAACCGCATTTATTAACGTGCCTTCCACTCCAGTGAGAACCTCCTGGTAAGATTAGGGCTTCAAAGGGGTATGCGAAGATTCATGTGTACGGGGGGGCTTTCAGTCAGATGCTCAAGCGCGTTGAGAACCGCAAATGCCAGCGCGCCTTCTGTTCCACTGAGAATCTTCTGGCGTGTAAGTGGAAGGCCAATAACGGGTATGAGGAGGTGCATATGCATGGGCTTTCAAACGCTCAACCACATCTATTGCCGCATTTGGGGCTTCAAACCCTAAACCCAAACTTTGAACCCTTGGGTGGCATTGCTGTCAGTTTTTAGTCTAGAGAATAAAAACAAAACCTGGTCGCTTCTCACCCGTATTCACAGGTGTGTGCGCCAACCGGAGCAGGCAAGACCAACATTGTCGTGTGCCATAGTAACGAGGTGACTTTTGAGTCGACTCAAAAGCCGGTTGCTTTGATTCTCACCCGTATTCACAGGTGTGTGCGCCAACCGGAGCAGGCAAGACCAACATTGCGATGATCACAGTTCTGCATGAGGTGGGGAAATCATTAGCTGGTGTACCGAGGGGTGGTGTGGTGTTAAGTGGTGGCACTTTTCTTCGCTTTATAAGTAAGGTGAAGATTTAGGGGGGTTTAAGATGTGCTATGTGTTGAGTTTTTTTCACACTGGCTCTGTACGAGGTAGCGTTCTTCAGTGAAAACCAAAGTCTGAACTGAACTTCACTTCACATTTACATCACATCACACACTCCCGTACTGGGTGACCCAACCATCGTTGATTCGAGTGCTATAATTGACTACTTCACATTACACCACTCACTCATCCATCGTTCCTCCGTAACAGGTCGGAGCCAATTTCAAGAACGGGGTGCTGCAGAAGAATGACTTCAAGATCGTTTATGTGGCTCCCATGAAGGTGGGTGGCGGCTATGGTGTGGCAAGACTTGGCTGCTGCACGAGAGGGTTCACACATGTAATAAAAAGCATTATAAAGAACGACTTAAAGATTGTCTACGTGGCTCCTATGAAGGTGAGTGGTGGTGCTGGTGGGAAGAGGTCGTTTTTTAGGCGCCTCAAAAACGACCTCAGTGCTGGTGGGAAGAGTAGGCTCAGCGGCGAGCATGCTTTGCCTGCTTTGGTGCGCAATGGTTAGCAAGGGCTTACACATGTAGGGAGAAGGAAAAGCAAATGTTGGTGTGTTATGGACACATATCCTCTTTTCGTTCTTGACCGTGCGTGATGCATTTGTGTGTGTGGTTTCCCCTTCCCGACAGGCGCTAGCAGCAGAGATGGCAGCAGCGTTTGGGAGGCGGCTGGCCCCTCTGGGGCTGGCGGTGCGAGAGCTGACTGGCGACATGCAGCTGACCAAGAGGGAGATGGAAGAGACGCAGGTGAGGAGGGGTTGTACAGGCAGGCAGACAGACAGACAGATAGACGGACGGATAGTCAGGCGGACGGACGGACGGACAGACAGTTGGTAGTGCAGCTCACTGGCGGCATGCCAGTGTCTTGCTGAGATGCTGAGATGCTCTCCTCTTTTCCCCGCTCCTCATCCCACCTGCTTGCATCAGATGATCATGACGACGCCTGAGAAGTGGGGCATAATAGTCGACCCAAAAGTCAACTCTGATATTATCTCCTCATTCCACCCACTCCTTGTTGACTTTTGAGTCGACTCAGAAGTCAACTCTGATATTATCTCCTCATTCCACCCACTCCTTGTTGACTTTTGAGTCTGACTCAAAAGTCAACTCTGATATTATCTCCTCATTCCACCCACTCCTTGTTGACTTTTGAGTCGACTCAGAAGTCAACTCTGATATTATCTCCTCATTCCACCCACTCCTTGTTGACTTTTGAGTCGACTCAAAAGTCAACTCTGATATTATCTCCTCATTCCACCCTCTCCTTGTTGACTTTTGAGTCGACTCAAAAGTCAACTCTGATATTAACTCCTCATTCCACCCATTCCTTCTGCGCTTCAGATGATCGTGATGACACCCGAGAAGTGGGATGTGATCACGAGAAAGAGCTCAGATGTGTTGATGGCGTCGCTGGTGCGCCTACTGGTGATCGACGAGGTGCATCTGTTGAATGACGACCGAGGACCCGTGATTGAGACCCTGGTGGCGCGCACCTTGAGACAGGTGGGTTTTTGAAATTACTCGAAAGGCTGCTGCTGCCCCTCCAGTTGCGTATGCTCAGATGTGTTGGCTTGCTGGCGCTGCTGGTGCGCCTGCTGGTGATCGACGAGGTGCATCTGTTGAATGACGACCGAGGACCCGTGATTGAGACGCTGGTTGCACGCACGTTGAGACAGGTGGGTGTTAGAAATGACTCGAAAGGCTGCTGCTGCCCCTCCAGATGCAAAAGTTTAGATGTGTTGTGTGAATGGCATCGCTGGTGCAATTGCTGGTGGTCAACGAGGTGCATCTGCTGAATGACGACCGCGGGCCCGTGATTGAGACGCTAGTGGCACGCACCTTAAGGCAGGTGGGTGCTGAGTCGCACCTTATGGCGTCACTGGTGCGCCTGCTGGTGGTCGGCGAGGTGCATCTGTTGAATGACGACCGTGGGCCTGTGATTGAGACGCTAGTGGCACGCACCTTAAGGCAGGTGGGTGCTGAGTCGCTCCTTATGGCGTCACTGGTGCGCCTGCTGGTGGTCGGCGAGGTGCATCTGTTGAATGACGACCGTGGGCCTGTGATTGAGACGCTAGTGGCACGCACCTTAAGGCAGGTGGGTGCTGAGTCGCTCCTTATGGCGTCACTGGTGCGCCTGCTGGTGGTCGGCGAGGTGCATCTGTTGAATGACGACCGTGGGCCTGTGATTGAGACGCTAGTGGCACGCACCTTAAGGCAGGTGGGTGCTGAGTCGCTCCTTATGGCGTCACTGGTGCGCCTGCTGGTGGTCGGCGAGGTGCATCTGTTGAATGACGACCGTGGGCCTGTGATTGAGACGCTAGTGGCACGCACCTTAAGGCAGGTGGGTGCTGAGTCGCTCCTTATGGCGTCACTGGTGCGCCTGCTGGTGGTCGGCGAGGTGCATCTGTTGAATGACGACCGTGGGCCTGTGATTGAGACGCTAGTGGCACGCACCTTAAGGCAGGTGGGTGCTGAGTCGCTCCTTATGGCGTCACTGGTGCGCCTGCTGGTGGTCGGCGAGGTGCATCTGTTGAATGACGACCGTGGGCCTGTGATTGAGACGCTAGTGGCACGCACCAGGCAGGTGGGTGCTGAGTCGCTCCTTATGGCGTCACTGGTGCGCCTGCTGGTGGTCGGCGAGGTGCATCTGTTGAATGACGACCGTGGGCCTGTGATTGAGACGCTAGTGGCACGCACCTTAAGGCAGGTGGGTGCTGAGTCGCTCCTTATGGCGTCACTGGTGCGCCTGCTGGTGGTCGGCGAGGTGCATCTGTTGAATGACGACCGTGGGCCTGTGATTGAGACGCTAGTGGCACGCACCTTAAGGCAGGTGGGTGCTGAGTCGCTCCTTATGGCGTCACTGGTGCGCCTGCTGGTGGTCGGCGAGGTGCATCTGTTGAATGACGACCGTGGGCCTGTGATTGAGACGCTAGTGGCACGCACCTTAAGGCAGGTGGGTGCTGAGTCGCTCCTTATGGCGTCACTGGTGCGCCTGCTGGTGGTCGGCGAGGTGCATCTGTTGAATGACGACCGTGGGCCTGTGATTGAGACGCTAGTGGCACGCACCTTAAGGCAGGTGGGTGCTGAGTCGCTCCTTATGGCGTCACTGGTGCGCCTGCTGGTGGTCGGCGAGGTGCATCTGTTGAATGACGACCGTGGGCCTGTGATTGAGACGCTAGTGGCACGCACCTTAAGGCAGGTGGGTGCTGAGTCGCTCCTTATGGCGTCACTGGTGCGCCTGCTGGTGGTCGGCGAGGTGCATCTGTTGAATGACGACCGTGGGCCTGTGATTGAGACGCTAGTGGCACGCACCTTAAGGCAGGTGGGTGCTGAGTCGCTCCTTATGGCGTCACTGGTGCGCCTGCTGGTGGTCGGCGAGGTGCATCTGTTGAATGACGACCGTGGGCCTGTGATTGAGACGCTAGTGGCACGCACCTTAAGGCAGGTGGGTGCTGAGTCGCTCCTTATGGCGTCACTGGTGCGCCTGCTGGTGGTCGGCGAGGTGCATCTGTTGAATGACGACCGTGGGCCTGTGATTGAGACGCTAGTGGCACGCACCTTAAGGCAGGTGGGTGCTGAGTCGCTCCTTATGGCGTCACTGGTGCGCCTGCTGGTGGTCGGCGAGGTGCATCTGTTGAATGACGACCGTGGGCCTGTGATTGAGACGCTAGTGGCACGCACCTTAAGGCAGGTGGGTGCTGAGTCGCACCTTATGGCGTCACTGGTGCGCCTGCTGGTGGTCGGCGAGGTGCATCTGTTGAATGACGACCGTGGGCCCGTGATTGAGACGCTGGTTGCACGCACCTTGAGACAGGTGGGTGGCAGAGTGGTGGGCGGTAGAGAGATAGGTGGGTGGCAGAGTGGTGGGCGGTGGATAGAGAGATAGGTGGGTGGCAGAGTGGTGGGCGGTAGAGAGATAGGTGGGTGGCAGAGTGGTGCGCGGTAGAGAGATAGGTGGGTGGCAGAGTGGTGCGCGGTAGAGAGATAGGTGGGTGGCAGAGTGGTGGGCGGCAGAGGGTGGGCGGCAGAGGGTGGGCGGCAGAGGGTGGGCGGCAGAGGGTGAGCGGCAGAGGGTGGGCGGTAGAGAGGTGGGCGGTGGAGAGGTGGGTGGTAGAGAGATGGGCGATGCAAGCCGTGTCAGGCAGGTAGCCGCTCAGGTTGGTATTAGCAAGCGCATGGATTGCATGCTACTTGCTGCATGATCGTCCATCTTTTATACCATGCGCCTGCCGTGATTGACTTATTATGCTTGATGCGGCATGATCGATGGGGCATGGTAATCAATCGTGGACCGGCCAACATCTATGTGCCGTCGTGGTTACTTTGTGTGTGTGTGTGTGTGTGTGTGTGTGTGTGTGTGTGTGTGTGTGTGTGTGTGTCTGTGCATGTGTGTGTGTCTGTCTGTTTGTGTGTGTGTGTGTGTGTGTCTGTCTGTTTGTGTGTGTGCCTCACAATGGCTGTGGCAGGTGGAAAGCTCGCAGAGCATGATTCGCATCGTGGGCCTCTCGGCAACGCTGCCCAACTACACAGAGGTGAGCTGATGGGCTGCTTGGGGTTGATGGGCTGATGATATGGGCTGATGGTCTGATGAAAACAGTAATTGGCTGGACGAATGTAGTCCTATGATGCTGGTTCACAACCTATCTTTGTTCGTTCTCCTTTTGTCTATCTTTGCTGAAAACCTTTCTTCCCCATTGTCCCTGTCATCTCTCCTTAACCTGTTCATATGCTCATCACGTCCCCCCTCTGATCAAATTAGGAAGCATTCGTGCGTGACACTTTGCTGTGCTGTTTCCTCTCCTCCCCACTTCACACACACAAACAGGTGGCACAGTTCTTGCGGGTCAACCTCGACATGGGGCTCTTCTATTTCGACGCCTCCTACTGCCCCGTGCCGCTCTCCCAGCAGTACATTGGCGACTCCCTGTGTCTCTTAACCCTCCCTTTACCCTGCGCCATTCACACACCCACAGGTGGCACAATTCCTGCGGGTCAACCTCGACACGGGTCTATTCTATTTCGACGCCTCCTACCGCCCCGTGCCGCTCTCCCAGCAGTACATCGGCGTCTCCGAACCCAACTTCGCCCGCCGCAACACCCTCATGCACGAGATTGCGTATGAGAAGGTGTGTTTGGAGTTGACTCAAGGTGTGTCTAGGGCTGGTTCAAAGCTCTCACAGCAGTACATTGGGGTCTCTGAACCCAACTTTGCTCGCCGCAACACCCTCATGCACGAGATTGCGTATGAGAAGGTGTGTTTTGAGTTGACTCAAGGTGTGTCTAGGGCTGGTTCAAAGCTCTCACAGCAGTACATTGGGGTCTCTGAACCCAACTTTGCTCGCCGCGACACCCTCATGCACGAGATTGCGTATGAGAAGGTGTGTTTGGAGTTGACTCAAGGTGTGTCTAGGGCTGGTTCAAAGCTCTCACAGCAGTACATTGGGGCCTCTGAACCCAACTTTTCTCGCCGCAACACCCTCATGCACGAGATTGCGTATGAGAAGGTGTGTTGGAGTTGACTCAAGGTGTGTCTAGGGCTGGTTCAAAGCTCTCACAGCAGTACATTGGGGTCTCTGAACCCAACTTTTCTCGCCGCAACACCCTCATGCACGAGATTGCGTATGAGAAGGTGTGTTGGAGTTGACTCAAGGTGTGTCTAGGGCTGGTTCAAAGCTCTCACAGCAGTACATTGGGGTCTCTGAACCCAACTTTGCTCGCCGCAACACCCTCATGCATGAGATTGCGTATGAGAAGGTGTGTTTGGAGTTGACTCAAGGTGTGTCTAGGGCTGGTTCAAAGCTCTCACAGCAGTACATTGGGGTCTCTGAACCCAACTTTGCTCGCCGCAACACCCTCATGCACGAGATTGCGTATGAGAAGGTGTGTTTTGAGTTGACTCAAGGTGTGTCTAGGGCTGGTTCAAAGCTCTCACAGCAGTACATTGGGGTCTCTGAACCCAACTTTGCTCGCCGCGACACCCTCATGCACGAGATTGCGTATGAGAAGGTGTGTTTGGAGTTGACTCAAGGTGTGTCTAGGGCTGGTTCAAAGCTCTCACAGCAGTACATTGGGGTCTCTGAACCCAACTTTGCTCGCCGCGACACCCTCATGCACGAGATTGCGTATGAGAAGGTGTGTTTGGAGTTGACTCAAGGTGTGTCTAGGGCTGGTTCAAAGCTCTCACAGCAGTACATTGGGGTCTCTGAACCCAACTTTGCTCGCCGCGACACCCTCATGCACGAGATTGCGTATGAGAAGGTGTGTTTGGAGTTGACTCAAGGTGTGTCTAGGGCTGGTTCAAAGCTCTCACAGCAGTACATTGGGGTCTCTGAACCCAACTTTGCTCGCCGCGACACCCTCATGCACGAGATTGCGTATGAGAAGGTGTGTTTTGAGTTGACTCAAGGTGTGTCTAGGGCTGGTTCAAAGCTCTCACAGCAGTACATTGGGGTCTCTGAACCCAACTTTGCTCGCCGCGACACCCTCATGCACGAGATTGCGTATGAGAAGGTGTGTTTTGAGTTGACTCAAGGTGTGTCTAGGGCTGGTTCAAAGCTCTCACAGCAGTACATTGGGGTCTCTGAACCCAACTTTGCTCGCCGCGACACCCTCATGCACGAGATTGCGTATGAGAAGGTGGGTGGGTAAGCACGAGGAGTTATTACATCCATGAGTGAGAGTTTCCACGGTTGAAGACTGTAGTTAGTGCTCGTTTGAGTCTTGCTTGCATAGAGTTGGAACCCAGGCATGCACGAGACTGCAAGGTGACTTTTGAGAAGTGTGTTGTTTCTGAGGCGTTCACCCAGTCGTCCAAGGACCACTCTTTCTCACACGTACTCTTGATTACTCGAATGCTCAGGTCAGCTTCTTCACTGCATATCGGCCTTGAACCATATCGCTTTTGGCAAGCAATTAACGTGATTAAGAAGGGGAAGTAACTTCGCTGGGAGACATTCTGGAAAATGGTTCTGTAATGAGATAGATGAGATGGCTTATTATCTGCGTGGCTTTGTGTGCGTGTGACTGACTTGTTTGACCCTTATTTCGCCTTGGCAGGCAATGAATGCGGTGAAGAATGGGAAGCAGGCGATGGTGTTTGTGCATTCCAGGAAGGACACCGTTAAGACTGCGAGGATACTGGTGTGTGCTGTGCCGTGCAATCACCACGTGCATTTGAAACTGCGCTATTATCACATCCTGCTGCCATGAGTCGTGTGTTGAGTCGACTCAAAACACCATGCAATCACCACGTGCATTTGAAGCTGTGCTATTATCGCATCCTGCTGCCCTGCCATGAGCATCACTGCTGGGAACGTGTGAGCTTCCTTGCTGAGTATTTTTGAGAATTCTAAAAAATACTTGAGAATTCTCAAAAATACTCTGCTGGGAACGTGTGAGCTTCCTTGCTCATCCCTCTCATTTCAAGTCATAACCTGATCGCACCATCCGTCACCACCCATCACCACCCATCACCATCTGTCACCAATTGTCACCACCCTGTCCCTTCAGATGGAAACGGCGCAGAGGAACGGAGAGTCGGAGCTGTTCAACCCGCAGGAGCAGCCACAGTACAAACTCATGGAGGTGCGGCAGCGGAAGCGAGAGGCTGGCCCACAGGCCAGGACTTAACAGTCTCTAATACCATATTAGAATAGTAGGAGGTACAGCACCAATCCCCCCAGCAGAGGTGAAAGTGGCGCGATAGAAGAACTCGCGATCAAAGTCGTGACCGAGCCAGTTGAGTGATGAGGACCAGAAATCGTCCCTGGTGTGTGCAGCGCAGGGGCAGACCGGCACAGACGGAAAGCAAGAAAGAAACAGCGGCATTGCAGAGTTTGATAATGGAATGGAATGGGCCCTGAGAAGAACTCGCGGACAGGGTCATGACCCAGCCGTTGAGTGACGACGACCAGAAATCGTCTCTGGTGTGTGTGGTTGCAAGCATGTACGGAGGGAAGGGAAGGGAAGGAAGGAGGGAAGGAAAGGTGTCATTGCACAAATTGGGAATGGGATGGGATAGGTCTTGAGGAGAAGACCTTGCAGAAGAGAAAGTGAACTTGCAGAAAAGGGAAGCTCGCAGAAATCATCCCTGGTATGTGCGGGGACAGAGAGGCACAGAGAGGAAAGGAAAGGAGGGAATAGCAGGAAGGGCAATTGAGTCATCGCACAGATCGGGAATGGAATGGGATAGGCGGCAAGGAGCACAACTGTGCGATGACTCAACAGCCCTTGGCTTGCCGCCAAGGAGCACAACTTTGTTGATGTGAGCTATCAGACTCACGACTGAATGAGAGACTCGTTAATCATTCAGATCAACTCGTTAATCTGAATGATCCTGTTGGCCGTGCTCAATTCCCGGTCCACCACCTACATTGGAGTGACTTTTGAGAATTCTCAAAAGTAATTCCCGGTCCACCACCACCATTGCTGCCCCCGGGGCTGCCTTTTTGAGACGGGCAGTGCTGCTATTGAGACGAGGTAACTGGCACACTCACGACTGAATGAGGGACTCGTTGATCTGAAAGATCTGGTTGGCGGTGCTCTATTGCCGGTCCGTCACCTCCATTGCTGCCTCCAGCACTGCTTTTGAGACGAGCTAAGTGGCACACTCACAACTGAATGTGAGGGATTCGGTAAATTGAATCATCGCACTCACGACTGAATGAGCGATTCGTTGATCTGAATGATTTGGTTGGCAGTGCTCAGTGCCTGGTCCGTAACCACTCTTGCTGCATCCAGCGCTGCTGCCTGCTGCTGTGTCACGCTGTAGGGGTCGAATCCGTACTGCTGAGTGACGTTGATGGAGGCGAGCTGAGAGGAGGGGAAAGGGAGAGAAGGGGAAGAAGGAGGGAGCAGAGCAATGAGAAGGGGCAGTGCTGAACATTGCTTTTTGGAAAAATATAGAAGAAGCTCGGCAATAACTAACTAGTGATACAGAGAGCCTCCATTCATAACAGATGATGACCAGACAACCTAACAAAGGTTGAAAAAGAACGGGTACATGCAAAAAGTACCACACTGGTCGGACATGCATTTTAGAATTGACGTTGGATTGACATGCATGGTGAGACTGGCGGCAGCATGCTGCTGCGGATGTTGGATTGGTGAATCAGTCAGCATCAACATGCATGACCGGATGATGTTGACGCTGGCTTACCAATCCAGCATCGGCAGCAGCATGCTGCCTGCACCGCCTGCCTCACCATGTGGACGACACAGTTTTTGGTGCTGTTATTCTCATCAGCATGCTCCGCACCGGAGTACCAATCTAACCACTTGTGAGGCGCCTCAAAAGGCGCCTCAAAAGGCGCCTCAAAAGTTATTGGTGTTGCTATTCTCATCAGCATGCTCTGCACTGGCGTACCAATCTAACCACCCCACAGGATCGAGATATTCCGCCTTACCATACTCATCACCTTCCTAAGAAGCAGAACTCCTCGACCATCTCACCATGCGAACGACGCGGTTGTTGGCGCTGTTATTGACGGGTGGGTCCCGCTGAAGGCCCTCTCCTATGAGAGTCATGCGCTGCACGGGCGAGCAGGGGGGAGGGCGATGGGAGGGAGGGAGATATGCGGAGGGTGTTTTTGAGTCAACCAAAACATTTTAGGCAGGTGGGTCCCGCTGAAGGCCCTCGCCAATGAGAGTCATCCGCTGCGAAGGCGAGCAGGGGGGAGGGCGATGAGAGGGTGCGAACATTCATTCACTTGACCGGAGCAGACTGCAAGCTTGGAAAGGAACGGTTGAGGCAGGCTGTTACTGAACAAACGGAGGAAGGATTGAAGCCTGTCAAACCGTGACTATTCACACTCACCTGAAGGGGCTCCACGCATAACTAGGGAACACAAGAGTAGCTGCTGCTCACCTGGGGGGCAGTGCTCACCTGGGGGGCGGTGCTCACCTGGAGGGCAGTGCTAAACCTGGAGGGGCACTAATTGAAACGAGAGGGCAGAGGGGCCACTACTCACTCACTTGGAGAGCCTCGGAGAGGTTGGAGCTGGGGAGGGGCGGATTGGGGAGGGGCGCAACTGCAGGCCCGCCTAGCGCCTCTGAGAGTGACTGTAGCGAGACTTGACTGTAGAGGTCGAGCACTGTAGCAATGTCGTTGGACACGTTTTCTGACACGACCACTCGCATCAGCAGGAGCGCGTCGTTGGTGGGTGACTGTGGGAACAGGGGAATTGGGGGAAGAAGGGACGGGAAGAAGAGAGGGCAAGTGTGGATGGGGAGGAGGGAGGGAGACGAATGGGGAGGAACGGGGAACGGGGGAATGGGGAAGGCAAAGGTAAGCGGGAAAGACGGAGAGGAGAGAAAGGAGGAGAACGGGGAAACGACAAGAAGTGAGCAACAATGGGCAAGAAGAGAGAGGAAGGGAATAGGCTTAACGACCAGATGCACTAGCAGAAGCATCAGTAGCAAGGAAATGTGCACGTTTCAGAAGCATGGTGCAAGGAATGTATGCCTTGAATTAATAGCAATACTCTTCTCACCCGTATGACGGTGGGTGCGAGGTCAGCAGGAAGCTTTCCTGCCCAGTCGGGCCCGATAATAGTGAACGAACGTGTTGGAAACATGGGTGAAAGAAATGATGTGCATTTTGGGAGTGATATTCTCACCCGTACGACGGTGGATGCGAGGTCAGCAGGCAGTTCCCCGGCCCAGTCGGGCCCGACAACAGTGAACGTGTTGGGGCCTGGGTGCAGGTGTGTAGGAAACAACCTATGCATGTACTGACAGAAGAACCCTTCTCACCCGTATGACTGTGGGTGAGAGGTCAGCAGGAAGCTCTCCGGCCCAGTTGGGCCCGACTAGAGTGAACGTGTTGGGGCCTGGCCCGTTGGCTCGGCTGCCGTTCACACTGAAGTCCGAGTAGTAAATCTGGAAGAACCCGACGCTGCCAATGCAAGGGAAGGTTGGAGGAGAGAGAGCAGGTCAGGCGATTGTTCACACTGAAATCCGAGAAGACCTGGAAGAACCCGAAGCTGCCAACAACACAACTGAAGGGATGGAGGAAGAAAGAGGATGGAAGAGAGAGAGTATGCTATGCGATTTCTTCTACCACAAAAACATTGCGAGGTAGGCCTGAACAAAACCCATGGTACTAGCATAGCAAGTAAAGGGAATGATTAAAGAAGAAGGATTTTAAGCAGCAGAAACTCAGAACCGAAGGCGAGAAATGTCAGTAGCAGACAGGTGGGCTGCGGAGGCCTTACTTCCAAAAACTCACCTGTAGTAGCGGCCTTGACCCATGTAGGGGGTCTTCAGCACCACAGGCTGGTCTCGCAGGTTGAGGGAGTGTGACCTGCAGTGATGCACCTCCAGTCATGAACCCTCACCTGTAGTAACGGCCCTCACCTGTAGTAACGGCCCTCACCTGTAGTAACGGCCCTCACCTGTAGTAACGGCCCTCACCTGTAGTAACGGCCCTCACCTGTAGTAACGGCCCTCACCTGTAGTAACGGCCCTCACCTGTAGTAACGGCCCTCACCTGTAGTAACGGCCCTCACCTGTAGTAACGGCCCTCACCTGTAGTAACGGCCCTCACCTGTAGTAACGGCCCTCACCTGTAGTAACGGCCCTCACCTGTAGTAACGGCCCTCACCTGTAGTAACGGCCCTCACCTGTAGTAACGGCCCTCACCTGTAGTAACGGCCCTCACCTGTAGTAACGGCCCTCACCTGTAGTAACGGCCCTCACCTGTAGTAACGGCCCTCACCTGTAGTAACGGCCCTCACCTGTAGTAACGGCCCTCACCTGTAGTAACGGCCCTCACCTGTAGTAACGGCCCTCACCTGTAGTAACGGCCCTCCACCTGTAGTAACGGCCCTCACCTGTAGTAACGGCCCTCACCTGTAGTAACGGCCCTCACCTGTAGTAACGGCCCTCACCTGTAGTAACGGCCCTCACCTGTAGTAACGGCCCTCACCTGTAGTAACGGCCCTCACCTGTAGTAACGGCCCTCACCTGTAGTAACGGCCCTCACCTGTAGTAACGGCCCTCACCTGTAGTAACGGCCCTCACCTGTAGTAACGGCCCTCACCTGTAGTAACGGCCCTCACCTGTAGTAACGGCCCTCACCTGTAGTAACGGCCCTCACCTGTAGTAACGGCCCTCACCTGTAGTAACGGCCCTCACCTGTAGTAACGGCCCTCACCTGTAGTAACGGCCCTCACCTGTAGTAACGGCCCTCACCTGTAGTAACGGCCCTCACCTGTAGTAACGGCCCTCACCTGTAGTAACGGCCCTCACCTGTAGTAACGGCCCTCACCTGTAGTAACGGCCCTCACCTGTAGTAACGGCCCTCACCTGTAGTAACGGCCCTCACCTGTAGTAACGGCCCTCACCTGTAGTAACGGCCCTCACCTGTAGTAACGGCCCTCACCTGTAGTAACGGCCCTCACCTGTAGTAACGGCCCTCACCTGTAGTAACGGCCCTCACCTGTAGTAACGGCCCTCACCTGTAGTAACGGCCCTCACCTGTAGTAACGGCCCTCACCTGTAGTAACGGCCCTCACCTGTAGTAACGGCCCTCACCTGTAGTAACGGCCCTCACCTGTAGTAACGGCCCTCACCTGTAGTAACGGCCCTCACCTGTAGTAACGGCCCTCACCTGTAGTAACGGCCCTCACCTGTAGTAACGGCCCTCACCTGTAGTAACGGCCCTCACCTGTAGTAACGGCCCTCACCTGTAGTAACGGCCCTCACCTGTAGTAACGGCCCTCACCTGTAGTAACGGCCCTCACCTGTAGTAACGGCCCTCACCTGTAGTAACGGCCCCTCACCTGTAGTAACGGCCCTCACCTGTAGTAACGGCCCTCACCTGTAGTAACGGCCCTCACCTGTAGTAACGGCCCTCACCTGTAGTAACGGCCCTCACCTGTAGTAACGGCCCTCACCTGTAGTAACGGCCCTCACCTGTAGTAACGGCCCTCACCTGTAGTAACGGCCCTCACCTGTAGTAACGGCCCTCACCTGTAGTAACGGCCCTCACCTGTAGTAACGGCCCTCACCTGTAGTAACGGCCCTCACCTGTAGTAACGGCCCTCACCTGTAGTAACGGCCCTCACCTGTAGTAACGGCCCTCACCTGTAGTAACGGCCCTCACCTGTAGTAACGGCCCTCACCTGTAGTAACGGCCCTCACCTGTAGTACGGCCCTCACCTGTAGTAACGGCCCTCACCTGTAGTAACGGCCCTCACCTGTAGTAACGGCCCTCACCTGTAGTAACGGCCCTCACCTGTAGTAACGGCCCTCACCTGTAGTAACGGCCCTCACCTGTAGTAACGGCCCTCACCTGTAGTAACGGCCCTCACCTGTAGTAACGGCCCTCACCTGTAGTAACGGCCCTCACCTGTAGTAACGGCCCTCACCTGTAAGTAACGGCCCTCACCTGTAGTACCGGCCCTCACCTGTAGTACGGGGCCCTCACCTGTATAACGGCCCTCACCTGTAGTAACGGCCCTCACCTGTAGTAACGGCCCTCACCTGTAGTAACGGCCCTCACCTGTAGTAACGGCCCTCACCTGTAGTAACGGCCCTCACCTGTAGTAACGGCCCCTCACCTGTAGTAACGGCCCTCACCTGTAGTAACGGCCCTCCACCTGTAGTAACGGCCCTTATCACCTGTAGTAACGGCCCTCACCTGTAGTAACGGCCCTCACCTGTAGTAACGGCCCTCACCTGTAGTAACGGCCCTCACCTGTAGTAACGGCCCTCACCTGTAGTAACGGCCCTCAACCTGTAGTAACGGCCCTCACCTGTAGTAACGGCCCTCACCTGTAGTAACGGCCCTCACCTGTAGTAACGGCCCTCACCTGTAGTAACGGCCCTCACCTGTAGTAACGGCCCTCACCTGTAGTAACGGCCCTCACCTGTAGTAACGGCCCTCACCTGTAGTAACGGCCCTCACCTGTAGTAACGGCCCTCACCTGTAGTAACGGCCCTCACCTGTAGTAACGGCCCTCACCTGTACGTAACGGCCCTCACCTGTAGTAACGGCCCTCACCTGTAGTAACGGCCCTCACCTGTAGGTAACGGCCCTCACCTGTAGTAACGGCCCTCACCTGTAGTAACGGCCCTCACCTGTAGTAACGGCCCTCACCTGTAGTAACGGCCCTCACCTGTAGTACCGGCCCTCACCTGTAGTAACGGCCCTCACCTGTAGTAACGGCCCTCACCTGTAGTAACGGCCCTCACCTGTAGTAACGGCCCTCACCTGTAGTAACGGCCCTCACCTGTAGTAACGGCCCTCACCTGTAGTAACGGGCCCTCACCTGTAGTAACGGCCCTCACCTGTAGTAACGGCCCTCACCTGTAGTAACGGCCCTCACCTGTAGTAACGGCCCTCACCTGTAGTAACGGCCCTCACCTGTAGTAACGGCCCTCACCTGTAGTAACGGCCCTCCACCTGTAGTAACGGCCCTCACCTGTAGTAACGGCCCTCACCTGTAGTAACGGCCCTCACCTGTAGTAACGGCCCTCACCTGTAGTAACGGCCCTCACCTGTAGTAACGGCCCTCACCTGTAGTAACGGCCCTCACCTGTAGTAACGGCCCTCACCTGTAGTAACGGCCCTCACCTGTAGTAACGGCCCTCACCTGTAGTAACGGCCCTCACCTGTAGTAACGGCCCTCACCTGTAGTAACGGCCCTCACCTGTAGTAACGGCCCTCACCTGTAGTAACGGCCCTCACCTGTAGTAACGGCCCTCACCTGTAGTAACGGCCCTCACCTGTAGTAACGGCCCTCACCTGTAGTAACGGCCCTCACCTGTAGTAACGGCCCTCACCTGTAGTAACGGCCCTCACCTGTAGTAACGGCCCTCACCTGTAGTAACGGCCCTCACCTGTAGTAACGGCCCTCACCTGTAGTAACGGCCCTCACCTGTAGTAACGGCCCTCACCTGTAGTAACGGCCCTCACCTGTAGTAACGGCCCTCACCTGTAGTAACGGCCCTCACCTGTAGTAACGGCCCTCACCTGTAGTAACGGCCCCTCACCTGTAGTAACGGCCCTCACCTGTAGTAACGGCCCCTCACCTGTAGTAACGGCCCTCACCTGTAGTAACGGCCTCACCTGTAGTAACGGCCCTCACCTGTAGTAACGGCCCTCACCTGTAGTAACGGCCCTCACCTGTAGTAACGGCCCTCACCTGTAGTAACGGCCCTCACCTGTAGTAACGGCCCTCACCTGTAGTAACGGCCCTCACCTGTAGTAACGGCCCTCACCTGTAGTAACGGCCCTCACCTGTAGTAACGGCCCTCACCTGTAGTAACGGCCCTCACCTGTAGTAACGGCCCTCACCTGTAGTAACGGCCCTCACCTGTAGTAACGGCCCTCACCTGTAGTAACGGCCCTCACCTGTAAGTAACGGCCCTCACCTGTAGTAACGGCCCTCACCTGTAGTAACGGCCCTCACCTGTAGTAACGGCCCTCACCTGTAGTAACGGCCCTCACCTGTAGTAACGGCCCTCACCTGTAGTAACGGCCCTCACCTGTAGTAACGGCCCTCACCTGTAGTAACGGCCCTCACCTGTAGTAACGGCCCTCACCTGTAGTAACGGCCCTCACCTGTAGTAACGGCCCTCACCTGTAGTAACGGCCCTCACCTGTAGTAACGGCCCTCACCTGTAGTAACGGCCCTCACCTGTAGTAACGGCCCTCACCTGTAGTAACGGCCCCTTCACCTGTAGTAACGGCCCTCACCTGTAGTAACGGCCCTCACCTGTAGTAACGGCCCTCACCTGTAGTAACGGCCCTCACCTGTAGTAACGGCCCTCACCTGTAGTAACGGCCCTCACCTGTAGTAACGGCCCTCACCTGTAGTAACGGCCCTCACCTGTAGTAACGGCCCTCACCTGTAGTAACGGCCCTCACCTGTAGTAACGGCCCTCACCTGTAGTAACGGCCCTCACCTGTAGTAACGGCCCTCACCTGTAGTAACGGCCCTCACCTGTAGTAACGGCCCTCACCTGTAGTAACGGCCCTCACCTGTAGTAACGGCCCTCACCTGTAGTAACGGCCCTCACCTGTAGTAACGGCCCTCACCTGTAGTAACGGCCCTCACCTGTAGTAACGGCCCTCACCTGTAGTAACGGCCCTCACCTGTAGTAACGGCCCTCACCTGTAGTAACGGCCCTCACCTGTAGTAACGGCCCTCACCTGTAGTAACGGCCCTCACCTGTAGTAACGGCCCTCACCTGTAGTAACGGCCCTCACCTGTAGTAACGGCCCTCACCTGTAGTAACGGCCCTCACCTGTAGTACGGCCCTCACCTGTAGTAACGGCCCTCACCTGTAGTAACGGCCCTCACCTGTAGTAACGGCCCTCACCTGTAGTAACGGCCCTCACCTGTAGTAACGGCCCTCACCTGTAGTAACGGCCCTCACCTGTAGTAACGGCCCTCACCTGTAGTAACGGCCCTCACCTGTAGTAACGGCCCTCACCTGTAGTAACGGCCCTCACCTGTAGTAACGGCCCTCACCTGTAGTAACGGCCCTCACCTGTAGTAACGGCCCTCACCTGTAGTAACGGCCCTCACCTGTAGTAACGGCCCTCACCTGTAGTAACGGCCCTCACCTGTAGTAACGGCCCTCACCTGTAGTAACGGCCCTCACCTGTAGTAACGGCCCTCACCTGTAGTAACGGCCCTCACCTGTAGTAACGGCCCTCACCTGTAGTAACGGCCCTCACCTGTAGTAACGGCCCCTCACCTGTAGTAACGGCCCTCACCTGTAGTAACGGCCCTCACCTGTAGTAACGGCCCTCACCTGTAGTAACGGCCCTCACCTGTAGTAACGGCCCTCACCTGTAGTAACGGCCCTCACCTGTAGTAACGGCCCTCACCTGTAGTAACGGCCCTCACCTGTAGTAACGGCCCTCACCTGTAGTAACGGCCCTCACCTGTAGTAACGGCCCTCACCTGTAGTAACGGCCCTCACCTGTAGTAACGGCCCTCACCTGTAGTAACGGCCCTCACCTGTAGTAACGGCCCTCACCTGTAGTAACGGCCCTCACCTGTAGTAACGGCCCTCACCTGTAGTAACGGCCCTCACCTGTAGTAACGGCCCTCACCTGTAGTAACGGCCCTCACCTGTAGTAACGGCCCTCACCTGTAGTAACGGCCCTCACCTGTAGTAACGGCCCTCACCTGTAGTAACGGCCCTCACCTGTAGTAACGGCCCTCACCTGTAGTAACGGCCCTCACCTGTAGTAACGGCCCTCACCTGTAGTAACGGCCCTCACCTGTAGTAACGGCCCTCACCTGTAGTAACGGCCCTCACCTGTAGTAACGGCCCTCACCTGTAGTAACGGCCCTCACCTGTAGTAACGGCCCTCACCTGTAGTAACGGCCCTCACCTGTAGTAACGGCCCTCACCTGTAGTAACGGCCCTCACCTGTAGTAACGGCCCTCACCTGTAGTAACGGCCCTCACCTGTAGTAACGGCCCTCACCTGTAGTAACGGCCCTCACCTGTAGTAACGGCCCTCACCTGTAGTAACGGCCCTCACCTGTAGTAACGGCCCTCACCTGTAGTAACGGCCCTCACCTGTAGTAACGGCCCTCACCTGTAGTAACGGCCCTCACCTGTAGTAACGGCCCTCACCTGTAGTAACGGCCCTCACCTGTAGTAACGGCCCTCACCTGTAGTAACGGCCCTCACCTGTAGTAACGGCCCTCACCTGTAGTAACGGCCCTCACCTGTAGTAACGGCCCTCACCTGTAGTAACGGCCCTCACCTGTAGTAACGGCCCTCACCTGTAGTAACGGCCCTCACCTGTAGTAACGGCCCTCACCTGTAGTAACGGCCCTCACCTGTAGTAACGGCCCTCACCTGTAGTAACGGCCCTCACCTGTAGTAACGGCCCTCACCTGTAGTAACGGCCCTCACCTGTAGTAACGGCCCTCACCTGTAGTAACGGCCCTCACCTGTAGTAACGGCCCTCACCTGTAGTAACGGCCCTCACCTGTAGTAACGGCCCTCACCTGTAGTAACGGCCCTCACCTGTAGTAACGGCCCTCACCTGTAGTAACGGCCCTCACCTGTAGTAACGGCCCTCACCTGTAGTAACGGCCCTCACCTGTAGTAACGGCCCTCACCTGTAGTAACGGCCCTCACCTGTAGTAACGGCCCTCACCTGTAGTAACGGCCCTCACCTGTAGTAACGGCCCTCACCTGTAGTAACGGCCCTCACCTGTAGTAACGGCCCTCACCTGTAGTAACGGCCCTCACCTGTAGTAACGGCCCTCACCTGTAGTAACGGCCCTCACCTGTAGTAACGGCCCTCACCTGTAGTAACGGCCCTCACCTGTAGTAACGGCCCTCACCTGTAGTAACGGCCCTCACCTGTAGTAACGGCCCTCACCTGTAGTAACGGCCCTCACCTGTAGTAACGGCCCTCACCTGTAGTAACGGCCCTCACCTGTAGTAACGGCCCTCACCTGTAGTAACGGCCCTCACCTGTAGTAACGGCCCTCACCTGTAGTAACGGCCCTCACCTGTAGTAACGGCCCTCACCTGTAGTAACGGCCCTCACCTGTAGTAACGGCCCTCACCTGTAGTAACGGCCCTCACCTGTAGTAACGGCCCTCACCTGTAGTAACGGCCCTCACCTGTAGTAACGGCCCTCACCTGTAGTAACGGCCCTCACCTGTAGTAACGGCCCTCACCTGTAGTAACGGCCCTCACCTGTAGTAACGGCCCTCACCTGTAGTAACGGCCCTCACCTGTAGTAACGGCCCTCACCTGTAGTAACGGCCCTCACCTGTAGTAACGGCCCTCACCTGTAGTAACGGCCCTCACCTGTAGTAACGGCCCTCACCTGTAGTAACGGCCCTCACCTGTAGTAACGGCCCTCACCTGTAGTAACGGCCCTCACCTGTAGTAACGGCCCTCACCTGTAGTAACGGCCCTCACCTGTAGTAACGGCCCTCACCTGTAGTAACGGCCCTCACCTGTAGTAACGGCCCTCACCTGTAGTAACGGCCCTCACCTGTAGTAACGGCCCTCACCTGTAGTAACGGCCCTCACCTGTAGTAACGGCCCTCACCTGTAGTAACGGCCCTCACCTGTAGTAACGGCCCTCACCTGTAGTAACGGCCCTCACCTGTAGTAACGGCCCTCACCTGTAGTAACGGCCCTCACCTGTAGTAACGGCCCTCACCTGTAGTAACGGCCCTCACCTGTAGTAACGGCCCTCACCTGTAGTAACGGCCCTCACCTGTAGTAACGGCCCTCACCTGTAGTAACGGCCCCTCACCTGTAGTAACGGCCCTCACCTGTAGTAACGGCCCTCACCTGTAGTAACGGCCCTCACCTGTAGTAACGGCCCTCACCTGTAGTAACGGCCCTCACCTGTAGTAACGGCCCTCACCTGTAGTAACGGCCCTCACCTGTAGTAACGGCCCTCACCTGTAGTAACGGCCCTCACCCATGTAGGGGGTCCTCAGCACCATGGGCTGGTCTCGCAGGTAGAGGAAGGCTCCTCCGTACACCGTGTCCACATTGGGGAGAGCCACGTCTGCGTGGTGTGAGGTATGAGGGCGGAAGAGATGATGAGACTATGTCAAAAGAAGCAATAAAGGATTCAAAAGCATGAGAGCAGCGGCGATGCTGGCATTAAACGCATAGTTCAAACGCACACACCAGATGGAGATTTCAACTCACTGGTGGTGCCGACAACAGCGGTGGTGTTGGCGAAGGAAAGAGTCGCATCAAAAGTCACTCTGAAACGAATGATGCATGAGAGGGAGGTCGCAAAGAATAGGCGTGACGTCGTGACTCACTGGTGGTGCCGACGACAGCGGTGGTGTTGGCATCAAAGAATAATTCAACAGAGAGTTGAACTCACTGGTGGTGCCGACAACAGCGGTGATGTTGGCGAAGGAGAAGGCGTTGAGGGCAGCACGGGTGGCCTGCTGGCGGAAGAAGGTGACGAGAGGAGACCCCCACACGAACGCCTCCTGCCCCACCGTGAAGTACCGCACCGCACCCCCCTCCGTGCCATTGCCAGCAGCCCCAGTGACGTTCTGCAACACCCCCCCCTCCGTGCCATTGCTAGCAGCACTGCTGTTCCCCCCAGGCGTTGTGCTGCTGCTGGGAGCTGTGGCGTTACTGGTTCCAGTGAAGTTACCACCTCCCACGCCGTAACCACCTCCAGCAGGATACAAGTTACTGCTGTTGCTGCTGCTGCTGCTGGTAGCACCGGCGTTTGACTCGTCTCCCATGCCCGAGCCACCCAACGGCTCCTGAAGCCCCCGCCTCCCAGCTCTCCCCGTTTCCAAGAGACCACGTACCACCATCCCAGCAACTCGTGCCACCCCATGCTGCTGCGTTGACCCCATGCCCCTCTGTGTAGGCCCGAATGGCTGTAGGGATGCAGAGGAGGAGACGCTGACAGCAATCACCATCATCACCAGCAGCAGTGAGACAGCAAGCACAGAGCCCAGAAGCAGTTGCGACTTGGCCCGAAGATTGGCCCAGGCTGGATGGTTCACAGTGGAGGGGTTTTCTCGCTGACCGTTCACGTTCTCGCTCGATGGTTCTTCTCGCCATGGCTGCACAAGTCCCTCTAACGTTTCCTCACATGTGGTTGTCATTTTGGGTGACATCTCGCTGCTGGCGTCGCCAGCTCCTGTTGAAGGGGAGCTACTTGATACGAGAGTGGGAAGGGACAGAGGAGCCGTTGTCCTGGGGAGCTAAAGCACCAGAGGTCTACGCGTCCGCTTAAAATCACTTCACCACGACTTGGCAACACAGTCAGCAGTAGCTGGCGCTGCTGGTGCTTCTGGCGTGCAAGCTTGACTCTTGACCTTGCAGGGTGTGCTCGAGAATTCTCAAAAACACGCAGTGGAAGGTGGAACCTAGGTCCGTGACTGGCGCAAGATGTTAGGGGTTTGAGCTGTTCCTCCTCCTAAGAAGAATGACCTGTGACCTGTGACTCGTGCGGAATACTACTTGGTCCACGAGCCCACTTCAAGTGAGCAGCAGCACCGCGCAGCAGTAACTCACAGAATTACTCAGAATTTTTGAGACGTCTCATTACTCAAAAAAACTCTCCTAGGAATGGTCCGTCAACCGTGAGCAGCAGCACCACGGAAGGTGGTTTCGTTGATTGTCGCAGTGCGATGGCGGAATGACAACGAATGTTGTTGCATCGGTGGTGTGTCGCCGTGACACTGGTGAGAGCGTGGCGTGGGTTGTAACGTGCACGCTGTCTGCGCGCTGCAGACAGCTGATCGCCGTGAGATGGTGGAGCAATGGCGACACGTCGAAAGCTGACGAGTGTCGTTGACGCATTCCGAGCGTCCTGTGACAACGGTCGCCATAACTGCGATCACCATATCAGGAAGAAAAAAAAGCGCACGCGATCGTTCCTGCTCGTCACCCTACATTGCTTTCAGATGCTGACGCCAGCTCAGTGTCTTCGATTGTGCCGCCCGCTGCGGTTCGAGGCGTGATGGCGAGCATTACAAGGTATCCGACAGACTAGGCTGCCGCGGACAAATCTAGGCCAAGCACTGCCTGGCTAACGTGCCTGTGACGAGAAAAGCCGGACTGGCGACTATTATGCTCCTAACAACCATACGAACCGTTCTGATACGATAACGTTAGCCTAAAAAACGAACATAAGCTCACTGAACCGTACAGAAGTTCTACTTCTCACACCTGGTTGTGAAGGATCCAAAGCAATTCTTCTTCCGAGGCCGTGTTCGGATTGACGGTGTGCACAGCTGACTTCCACCAGTTAAGTAAATCGTCGGGTTGAAAAACTTGTTAAATACCCCTATATAAGCTAAGCGTGACCTCTACGGTTTTTCGTCCCACGTTCTTCCCACAATTTCTGTCTTTGTTGAAGGCATTCACTGTAGAAAAACGTGACGATGTAACACCAGCGAGACACTTGGCTAGTGCACACTTCTTTGGTCATAATATTCCGCATCCTTCGTCTTGAGGGTCCAAGACTGGGGTTTCACGACTTAGTTATGTTCTGTCCGAAAATACTGAGCCCTACACGCGATGAGGATGATGTGTTACGGCTGACTAGCAGAGCACTGTCGTGTGCGCAAGGAAGCTTGATTATTTTCCGCGCAGGAAAATCGTAACTGAAAATAAAAAATAAAAAAACAAGAACAAAATAGCAATAAGACGAGCAGACAGTTTACGGGTATGGCGTCTGGACGCACGTCAATGGGTCTAGGAGGGAGGAGAGATGCGAGCAAATTAACTAAGGACGGTAAAGACGGCTCGGGTAGTAAAGCAGCCGCCGACGTCAGAATCTTGACAACAGAAGCTATACCTCCCGCTAAGCGCAAGAAGTACAAGGAGAGAGTGAAAGGACCGAACGCGTCTTTAACTACCGGCGACGGCTTTTCGGCGATCTTGGCTCCCGAGTCGGCTATGCTTACGCGGCTCCAGGCCGAGGAGCGACAGATGGATATCGTCCTATCGCGCGTGAAGGTGGAGCTTTCCGAGTCCATCCACGTCATGCCACGTGTCACGCGAAACCTCCGGCTTTACGTCTTTAATACCCACTCGTTCCAGGATCGCGCAGTGCAGAGCGGAATAAAATCGGATGTAGATGGGTCGATCGTAGCCGATGATGTGCCTCGCTGGACTTTAAGAGTCGTAGCTCGAATGGTGGGAGAAGACGAGGAGCAATTCGGTACTCAGACAGGTGATTCCCAAGGAGAAAGGACTCCCCTGAGCACTAAGCGCGTCGGATGCACCGATAAGGAGCGTTCTTCAGCAATTTCCGCGATATTAGCAGATGCAGAGTCTCGCGGATCGGATTCAGGCGTTGGAGAATCAGGCTTGAGCCAGGCTTTGCTAGGCTCAGGAGTTTTCAAGGTTCGGGATGCCGTGGCTGGACCATTGGCTCGGCACGTCCAGCGGATCGAGGCTCGGCTCGACCCGAAGCTGTTCCCTCCACCCAACAACGCGGTGACCCTATGGGATGCAGACAGGGACGGGATTCTCCGACCAGACGCATCAATGGTGGAGATGCAGCGAGAGGGGACAAGCGAATCTTTGGTGGAGCTTCGTGTAGAGCTGAAGCAGGGGGAGGAAGTGTACAGAGTGGGAGAGCGGTTGGGAGCGGTGGTGGGGATGAGTGTGGCGACCAGGCTGCAAGTCTTGGAGGCTGTCTGGAATCATATTAAGGCGAACAAGCTACAGGTGAGTGATATTCTGTGACAGCTCTTATTCCATCTCGTTTGTGGTTTCACGACGCCATCTCTTGTGTCGCTTAACAGCTCTTCATTGTCTCAAAAATAATGCTTGCAAGCGTCACAATTCCTTCTGGTTCCATCTACTGCTGATGTAGGGTCTGGTTCCCCCCATTCTTGCTGTTTTCTCTCCCTTACCATCCACATTCCTCATTTTGCTGTTGTTTCTCCCTTACACTCCCCATTCCCCAATTTTGTGTTGTTTCTCCCACAGGACTCCTCGGATCCTTCCTCCTTCACCTGCGATGCCACCCTCCAAGCCCTCTTCAAACAGGACAAGCTCAAAATTTCCTCCCTACCCATCCACATCTCCCCATTTCTCTCTCCTCCACCTCCTCTCACCATCACCCACCGCATCTCCCTCGCCACCTGCCCCACACACTCCGCCACACTCCCTTCTTTAGATCCTCCCTTTCATCCACTGGGCCCACCCACCACCCTCCCTTCATATGAGACCCTGCCCCCTGTTTCGGCTGACACCTGCGTGGATGTGACTGTAACAGAAGCTCCTGCTCTTGCAGCAGAGACAGCCCGTGTGATTGCAGCGATGGGTCAGCAGCCGGAGATTGATGCTATTGATGCAGCCATGGCAAAAGATGCTGAGCTTTTAGCTAAGCACCGGCGGCGTCGTGCCTTTTTCCTAGCGTTTTCACACTCTCCTGGGGAGTTTATCAGGGACTTGATGGTTTCACAGCAAAGAGATCTGGATCAGATGCAGCAGGGAGGACTGGAAGGTGCTGGAGGTGCACAGGCATTTGGTCCTGAGACTGCTGACCAAGATGCAGAGTTTTATGCTCTCCCGTGGTGAGTACTCTCTGCTGGAACAAATGCTGTTTTGTTTTCTTCCATTGGCCAGTGTGTGGTGTGGTGCCTCACTGCTTTGCAGGTGCTTCTCTCACTCACTGCTATTGAGCTTCTGAAAAAATCTGCTCGCTTACTCAAACTTGTGTACCAATTTGTGTTTTCTTGGCTGCTTTCCTGTGTGCAGGGTGGATGATGCCCTTCTGAGGTACCTGAATCGCCATGCCATGGGTACTGAAGGCTTTGCATTGTAAGGTTGACGGTTCCTTTCCGACACCTTGCATCGCATCACCATGTGACGATTAGCAGTTGTGTGTGGGTGGGACCTTGTATTCATGCTCTAATCCTTTTAGGCAGCCAAATAGGTGTTCCCCCACCCCATACATAATCGTATCAAATTCAATGGAGCCATGTCATCAATAAAACCGTTTTTTCTTTGCTGTCCTTCTGGCCACATTTGTTAACTGGTGAGTAATCTGTCACACTTTTATGTCTAAACGAATGCTGTTGCAGAAATTTTATTGCATAATGATTGGTTTCACAAATGTCTTTGTACCGAAGCGATCTCATATCGCGTGCATCCCTCAACGAACTCAACGAGGTTGGTCATTTTCCCGCCTCTTGAGAAATCCATTTCCAACCGCACTGCCGTTGTGCGCCTGACGAGGCGACGCGAGGGAAATCTCGCTACAGTACCCTTCCGCCTCCATTGCCATCCCCACCCAGTCCTCGAAATCTCCACCATACTGCTTCTTCATTGACAACGCTACCATCAGCATCATAGCGCAAGCCTGGTATAGAAAGCGGCGGACGGCCTTGTCAAATGGTTGAATATGGTGGCGACTGATCATATGCTTGCACACCACCCAATTGTCTTCCACGAAAAGTGGGATGAGCATTTCCAGGCAAGGACTGAGATTAGACTGGCTATGGCGTGGGAATCGACGCAGGGCTCGAAGAAGCTGGGTAGCTAAGGCGGTCAAAGGAGACGAAACATAACGTCCACCTTCGTTATCGTTTCGGCTCCAGATTGTCGAAATCACCGCGGACACGCGCAGTCACGGAACATCCGTCAGAGGAAAAGGCATTCGATATTATGCCCGGTGTATATGCAGTCGGACTCTCATTTCCCTCAAGTAAGGGATTGCCTTCGCGATCATAGTGACGTGTGCGCCATCGAACGAAGAGTGCTCTTGGATCCTCCGTACTATCCCTTCGTTTCTAGCCTTCGCCGTGTGATCATCATGATGTGTCGGTATCATATGCGGTGGTCGCACTGCGGCCTGCGATACATCGCATCCACTCATGTGCCTTGGTTTTCGAAGCTCATGCCTATCGCATTACTCTCAACGTTATTGCGTTTCATGGTACCGCTTATCGCGCTCCTCGCAGTCATCGCCGTCTGATGATAGCGTCTCCCGTCAGGTGCTTCTCGGTGATGATGACGTCGACGATCGCACCGCCGTTGCCGCCAACAGCAGAACGAATTCCAGTCGCTTCATGGGATCAATAATCTCGAACAAACTTTTGAAGAAGGAACCTCGGCTGCAACTTCAGCTGCTCTCGAGTGTTTAACGATGCCGCTAACTCGGCGGCGACTGAAACGGGTCGAGCGCCTCGATTTTACCTCAAGTTCCACTGGCAGCACAGCACGCGACTCGTAGAGGAACGGTTTGACTCCCTGTTTTACATCGACTAAGAATCCAGCCTGGTCGGCATATTTCCATACAGTGATCGTGATCTGCAGAGCTATTGAAAGGTTGGTTATTGTAAGGTTGGGGAGCTACTGAAGGCCAGAGGAAGGTTCTTACTAGAGCCAGTAATCTTCACCTATTCATTCAGGTCCTGTGATCCCAGAGTATTGGCATTTCGGCAACTTGACAATCAGCCTTTTCTCACCGTTCCCTGTCAGAGCGGGCTTTAAGTGCGTTACACACTCAGACGAGCACAACAGTAACAACTCCCACGGTATTTGAGGTTGCATACTCTTGGGCCAGATTGCCGCTTCTTTGACAGGCAGTGACGAGTCCTTGGCACGAGCAACAGCACCTTGAGAGCAGACCGGACAACTCCTCCTCATCAGAACTCTGGACTCTTGTCTTTTGAGATTTTCAAAAGCCAATCCAGTGACAGGGGACCGCACAGCTCCTATCATCAGCATCTCTGGTCCCTGGTGACTTTTGAGAATTCTCAAAGGTTAATCCAGCTAGAAATAAGATCGGACATTATCAGCATCTCTGGTCTCTGGTGCTCCACCAGCAGCAGGCAACTCCATGACACCATCTGCCATCATGAACAGTGTCTCAGACCTGATATCCACGGTCCCTTTGCGACTAGGAAAAGAGGTCACGGGGCAAGGATTACAGCCAAGTTCGCTTAAGTCACGCCTGCCTACAGTCACAGCGCTGCCTGTCGCTCTGCTGTCACTGCTGCTGCTGGTGATTCTCCCCATCTGCGCCTTCTCTGCTTCTGTGGAACCTGTTCGGGGCGGACTGCAGCAGAGGGGTGGAGGATTGATGGATGGGGTTAGAGTAGGGAGAGGGGGACGAGGGCTTCAGCAGGGGCCTGGTGTGCCAGGATCTTTTCCCGGGGAGATGAGCAGCGGTGGTGCTGCCAGTGATGGCACTAGCGCCAGTGCTGCTGGTACCGTTGGTCCTGCAAGTAACAGCAGTGGGAACAGCAGTGGTGTTGGCATCAGTGGCACTGGTAACACCACAGTCTCCCCCAGCATCGTCCCTCCTAGCAGTGGTGACGGTGCTACCTCTGGTCCTACCAGTAACAGCAGTGGGAACAGCAGTGGTGGCAGCATCAGTGGCACCGGTAACACCACAGTCCCCCTCGGCATCATCCCTCCAGGCAGTGAAAATGGAAGTGCTGCTGGTAACCCCACTGCTGCTGGTAACCCCACTGGAGCTGGTAACTTCACTGGGGCTGCTGGCAATGGCACGGAGGGGGGTGCAGTGCGGTACTTCACGGTGGGGCAGGAGGCGTTCGTGTGGGGGTCTCCTCTCGTCACCTTCTTCCGCCAGCAGGCCACCCGTGCTGCCCTCAACGCCTTCTCCTACGCCAACACCACCGCTGTCGTCGGCACCACCAGTGAGTTCAACTCTCCGTTGAATCATTCTTTGATGCCAACACCACCGCTGTCGTCGACACCACCAGTGAGTCACGGCGTCACGCCTATTCTTTGCGACCTCCCTCTCATGAATCATTTGTTTCAGAGTTGACTTTTGATGCGACTGTTTCCTTCGCCAACACCACCGCTGTTGTCGGCACCTCCAGTGGCTTATGCATCCTTCTGTGTCCTTCGAATGATGCGGAGGATGACGCACACCCCTCTCAACACTACAACGCCTCTCTCTCCTCCCTTCTTTTCCCCTTCGAACCACCCAGCAGTGGCTCTCCCCAATGTGGACACGGTGTATGGAGGAGCCTTCCTCTCCTCCATCCACCTTTCGCTTCTTTTTTGCATCACTCTCATCGTCTCTCCCCCCCTGCCACCCCACCCCACCCAGACGTGGCGCTCCCCAATGTGGACACGGTGTATGGGGGAGGCTGAAACACATCTCCCCTTCTTCTTTTCCCCCACCTCCCTTCTCCCTTCCAGACGTGGCACTCCCCAATGTGGACACGGTGTATGGAGGGGCCTTCCTCTACCTGCGAGACCAGCCCATGGTGTTCCAAACCCCCGACATGGGCCAAGGCCGCTACTACAGGTGAGGGACGCAGTCATATAGGTGGTGTTGAACGTTGCTACAGCTACAGGTGAGGACGGTGGTGTCAGGCTCCTCTGTGGGACCTATGGCCCAGACCAGGCCACTGACTGGACGTCTAACCCTCGTTTCCTTACACCAATCTGTTCCGTAGGCTCCTCCTCTTGTTCTGTTCGCCCTACCGCAGATCCCCCCTCGTGGTGGCAGCATTGGATTCCTCCTACGGCCCGGCATTCAGTGTTAATGGCATCTTTCCAGCTCTCCTCCATCTCAATTCGCTCTTCCCTCCCTTGTATTGGCAGCATTGGATTCTTCCAAACCTATGGTCCGGCATTCAGTGTGAATGGCAGCCGAGCCAACGGGCCAGGCTGGGCCCGGAACTGACCGGCTAGTATGGCTTGTGAGGCGACTTCAAGATTCTGTTTATCTCGATCCGCCCACCCATTCTCGCTCTCCTTCTCTGGATGCAGCATCGGGTTCTTCCAAACCTATGGCCCGGCTTATAGTGTGAACGGCAGCCGAGCCAACGGGCCAGGCCCCAACACGTTCACTCTAGTCGGGCCCAACTGGGCCGGAGAGCTGCCTGGTGACCTTGCACCTACCGTCATACGGGTGAGTGCGATTACCAGTATTCCCAATAACGGCGTCGTTTCATTGACCCTTGCTCCCAACTCGTTCACTCTAGTTGGGCCCAACTGGGCTGGGGAGCTGCCTGGTGACCTAGCGCCCACGTTGATACGAGTGAGTGACATGTGTGGGAGTGATGTGTTCGTGAATGGGTTTTTTATGAAGTTCTGTCTGTTGGGGTTGTATTCGCTAGGCCGGTGTTTGGGTGACTGACTTAAGGCAATCATTGGTGTTTATGGCAGTCGCCACAGATGCGCTGACCATGCATTGTGAATCATTGTGCAAACCCTCCTCCATCCCTTTCCCCACCCTCTCCCCCTTACTTCCCCCCTACCCACAGTCCCCCACGGACGACGTTCTCCTGCTGATGCGAGCGGTCGTGCAAAACTTCCCTGATTTCTTTACCTTCTCTCCCTTACCCCCGTCTCCCCGTACCCACAGTCTCCTACAGACGACGCTCTCCTGCTGATGCGAGTGGTTATGCCAAACTTCCCTGATTTTTTTACCCTCCCTCCCATTCCCCTGTCCCCCATTTCCCACAGTCCCCTACGAACGACGCGCTCCTGCTGATGCGAGTGGTCGTGTCAGAAAACGTGTCCAACGACATTGCTACAGTGCTCGACCTCTACAGTCAAGTCTCGCTACAGTCACTCTCAGAGGCACTAGGCGGGTCTGCAGTTCCGCCCCTCCCCAATCCGCCCCTCCCCAGCTCCAACCTTTCCGAGGCTCTCCAGGTCAGCAGCAACTGGCCTTCTCTTTCCAAGCCATGCTTTCCCAAGCTTGCTGCACTAGTAGGAACACCCTCCCCAATCCCCACCTCCCCAGCTCCAACCTCTCCTACGCCCTCCAGGTCAGCAGCACCCGCCCTTGTGCTCCCTTCCCTAGTGTGAGTTCTGCTCCCTAGGTGAGCAGTGGCCGTGCAGGTGATCAGCCGCGATTTGACCCCCAACTTTCCTTCCTTCCCTTGTTCATCTGCATCCTTCCTCAACCATCCCATTCCAAGCCAGATTTCTAGCTTGTTGCTCCTTTTGTCCGCTCCAGTCTAAATATTTTTTAGAATTCTCAAAAAACCATCCCATTCCAAGCCAGATTTTTGGCTTGTTGTTCCTTTTTTCCGCTCCAGTCTAATGAAGGAACCATGATTCCACCTTCCCATCTCCCTCCATCCTACTCGTGTGTGATATGTCAAGTTTTGAGTCCCACCTTCCCATCTCCCTCCATCCTACTCGTGTGTGATATGTCAAGTTTTGAGTCGACTCAAAACTCGACTTTCCGCTCCAGTCTAAAGAAGGAACCATTCCACCTTCCCGTCTCCGTCCATCCTACTCGCCCTGCAGCGCATGACTCTCATTGGCGAGGGCCTTCAGCGGGACCCGCCCTTCAACAACAGCGCCAACAACCGCGTCGTGCGCATGGTGAGGCCACTGGTAGCACCATGCTGATTCTGATTCTGATGCTGGTGCAGCACGGAGAGAGGTTTTGGGGCATGGATACGGTTATTGAAAGAGTGACCTTTACAGGTTCAGGAGTGGGCAGTGAGAAGGTAGCTCCTGCGGATGCCGCCACCAGCAAGTATTGCTTTGACTCCCCAACCCCTGTACAGGGTGACACACTTGTCTCTGCCCATCCATCCACCTCCCTCCCCTCATTCTCTCAACCGGTGACCACTAACGTCACTCAGTAGTACTGCCAGACGTTTGGAGTGCCCACCGGCCGGCGTCCACCAGCGTCACCGAGCAGTACGGCTTATGGTGTCGCTCTCCTCTCAAGCGGTCCTTTGTATTAATGCGGGTACTTTGCATTGGTACCAAACGGTACTCTGCCCAACCCCCTCTCTCCCTTTCTCACCCTCCCCCCACTGCAGCTGGCGTCCATCAACGTCTCCCAGCAGTACGGATTCGACCCCTACAGCATGACACACATCTCTTATGATTCTCAAGCCTTGTCCCACCAACACTGCTTTGTTCAACCCCCCACTTCCCCCTCCCTTCCCTCTATCCCTCCTATCAGCTCGCCTCTATCAACGTCACCCAGCAGTATGGATTCGACCCCTACAGCGTGACACAGCAGCAGGCAGCAGCGCTGGAGGCAGCGAGGCAGACAACCGACACACTCATTACAGCAGCGAATGTGGTCATTCAGATCAACGAATCTCTCATTCAAAGGTGAGTGCAAGGATGTTACAGCACTACGGCTTCGAACCTGCAGCGTGACACAGCAGCAGGCAGCAGCATTGGAGGCAGCGAGGCAGACAACCGACACGCTCATCACGGCAGCCAATGTTGTCATTCAAATCAACGAATCACTTATTCAAAGGTGAGTGCCCGGGTGGGTCAGCCCTATAGCTTCAATTCGACCCCTACAGCGTGACACCGCAGCAGGCAGCAGCATTGAAGGCAGCGAGGCAGACAACAGACACACTCATCAGGGCATTGAATGCTGTCATTCCGATCAACAATTCACTCATCCAAGGGTGAGTACTGAGACGTCTCAAAAGGCAGCACGACAAACTCCCTCACCGGGGCATCGAATGATGTCATTCTGATCGACTATTCACTCATCCAAGGGTGAGTACTGAGACGTCTCAAAAGGCAGCACGGCAGATCACAGACTCACTCATCCCAGCAGCGAATGCTGTCTGTCTTTATGATTAAAGATTAAATTGTCCTGCCGACAGCATTCGCTGCCTGGTAACAGCATTCTCAGCGAGTGCCCAGTTGGCTCCTTCCGATACATCATCTTAGCAGCAGAAGATGCGCTGAGACATCAGCTGAATTAGTGAAAACAGGTAAACGGCATTCCATACCCGTGCATTACCCATAAACTTACAGTGGAATTTCGGGGTTACAAGCTAAGCTAGTATTTTTTTCTCTCCATCCGATCCTGTCACTTCCCCATCCCTGTCCTTTTTTCCCAGTGAGACCTTCTGGGCATCCTCTCGCACTCTCCTTGGCCATTTTTTAGAATTTTCAAAACTTCAACATCGATTTCCTCTATCAAGCCACCCTTACTGCCATCCTTCCCATCGCCTGTGCTAACCCCTTTCTTTCTCTTATCCATCCATCTGCCCCATCTTCCCAGTAAGAACTTCTGGGCCTCGTCGCGCACCCTCCTCGGCCATGACTTCAACACGGAGTTGCTCCTCTACCGAGCCACGCCCTCACCATCTTTTCTATCCCCTGTGCTCACCTCTGGGTTTCCTCCACTCCACCCATTCGTGTGACTCCTCCCAGTGAGAGCTCGTCTCGCACCCTCCTCGGCCATGACTTCAACACGGAGTTCCTCCTCTATCGAGCTACGCCCTTACCATCCACCCCATCCCCTTCTGGTTCCTCTGTGTGCTTCTGTCTCTACTTCTCCCAGTGACAACTTCTGGGCGCCATCGCGCACCCTCCTCGGCCATGACTTCAACACGGAGTTCCTCCTCTATCGAGCTACGCCCTTACCATCCATCCACCCCATCCCCTTCTGGTTCCTCTGTGTGCTTCTGTCTCTACTTCTCCCAGTGGCAACTTCTGGGCGCCATCGCGCACGCTCCTAGGCCATGGCTTCAACACCTAGTTCCTCTACCAAGCCATAGCCTTGCCACTCTTCTCATCCTCTTCTGCTCTGTGTGCTTTCCTCTCCAACCACCCCTGTCCACTTCTTCCCAGTGACAACTTCTGGGCATCGTCTCGCTCCCTCCTCGACCATGACTTCAACACGGAGTTTCTCTACCGAGCCACGCTCACAGCCCCGGGCGGCATTGGCGGGCTGCCGCCCACAGAAGTGGTTTACTTCCTCACCTTCCTCGCTGTGGTGAGCTGCCACCCTTCCCTCTCTGCTTTTCATTGGGCCACTTTCACTTGCAATTGAGAAAGGCATTGCGGGCTGTTACCCACAGAAGTGGTCTACTTCCTCCTTCCTTCCTTCCTTTCTGACTATCCTTCGTCTTCCCCCTTCCTCCAGGTCACGTGGCAGCCCAACAACCTTCTGCTACAAATGCAACCAACACCACCACTCCTCCCACCACTCCGACTTGGTTTGCTTCCAACTCAGATCTCTTTTTATCTTGCCTCCCTGCCCATTTCATCCCCTCCTTTTCCTCCGCCCTCCAGGTCACCCCATCTGTGGCAGCCCAACAACCTTCTGCTACAAATGCAACCAACACCACCACTCCTCCCACCACTCCGACTTGGTTTGCTTCCAACTCAGATCTCTTTTTATCTTGCCTCCCTGCCCATTTCATCCCCTCCTTTTCCTCCGCCCTCCAGGTCACCCCATCTGTGGCAGCCCAACAACCTTCTGCTACAAATGCAACCAACACCACCACTCCTCCCACCATCCCATCTACCTTTTCTCCCAACGCCACAGCCTCTCCCAACGCTACAGCACCTCCCAACGCCACCACTCCTCCCGGCATTCCTATGAATCCCCCCTCCCCACCGAGCAACATCACAGCAGCACGCAACGTCACAGCTCCTCCCATTAACCCCATCGACCCTCCAGACAGTACCACAGTCCGCAGCAACAGCACTCTGAGCAACATCCGCGCTGAAAACACCACCACCACAGCTAGCAGCAACACCACAGCTAGCAGCAATGCTACTGGAACCGAGTCTCCTCCCCAGCCTCCCAGTCTCGCTTCCCCAGCTGCAAACTACTCAACCACCTTGCAACCTCAGCCGCCCTCCATCTTCCCCTCCTCCATGCCCTCCCTTCGTCCCCTCCGCCCATTCACCCCTCTCCAAGGCTCCCGTTGCTTCCGCCTGCGCCTCACCCCTCCCCCGGTCGACTCCTTCTGGTCTGTCACCATCTATAACGCTTCTACTCTCAATCTCCTGGAGGGGGTCAGCAAATTTGGCGTGGGCGACCGTACTCCGGGCCTGATTGTGAGTCTCTCTTGCTTCCCTATCCCTTATCTCGATTCCCTCTAACCTGTCGTTTGGCACACTGCTTCTGCCTCACCCCTCCCCCGGTCGACTCCTTCTGGTCTGTCACCATTTACAACGCTTCCAACCTCAATCTCCTGGAGGGAGTCACTAAGTTTGGCGTGGGTGACCGCACGCCAGGCCTGATTGTGAGTCTCTCTTGCTCACATCCCTCCTCGCCATTCGCTCTGGTCTGTCACTTGGCACACTGCTGGCACAATGCTTTCTTCCTCACCCCTCCCCCGGTCGACTCCTTCTGGTCTGTCACCATACCATCTATAACGCGTCCAATCTCAAACTTCTGGAAGGAGTCGGCGTGGGCGACCACACACCAGGACTTCTGGTGAGTCTCTCTTGCACTCTTCTTGCATTCTCCTTCTTCTTCTGTCTCTTGGAGGGAGTGGTGTGAGCGACCGCACACCAGGACTGATTGTGAGTCTTTCTTGCGTGCACATGCCTGATCTGGTCGACTCCTTCTGGTCTGTCACCATTTACGACGCGTCCAACCTCAATCTCCTGGAGGGTGTTACTAAGTCTGGTTTGGGCGACTGCATGCCGGAACTGCTGGTACGTTAATCTAAGTTGCCACCCCACCCCACACGGATCCCCCCTGTCCGTCACTACTTACAATGCTTACAAACCACGTGTGATTCGAGTCTACTCAAAACACATCTATCACCCTATACAATGCTTCCATCCTCGTTCCCTATGTGGGCTCCGATCCGTCGTTTCTCCTTCCGTCGTTGCTCCTCACTGAGCAACCTGTCCTCCTCCCTTTCCATCTTCCCCCCACCTGCCCTCACCCTAATCCCTTCCCCCTATGGTACCCCTATGCCTCCAGCCCTTCGCTGGTCATACACCCTCATGGTCATACACCCTCATGGTCATACACCCTCATGGTCATACACCCTCATGGTCATACACCCTCATGGTCATACACCCTCATGGTCATACACCCTCATGGTCATACATCCCTGATGGCATCGTGTTCACTTGATTCAAACACACACACAATCCTCTTGCTTCCTCCGACTGACCCCCATGCTGCTCTGTCTCGCTCACGCCAGTACAATCCGGATGGCACTCTCACCATCTACATTCAATCCACTTCGCCCGGCCAATCGCTTGAAGCCAACTGGATCCCTACTGTTAACTCGGTACTTCTGCTTTTGCCTGCTAGTTGCTTGATTCTTGCTCATTCTTTCTTCTCCTTCCCTCATGTTTCTTTAGTTCTGTATTGTTGCACCTCATAATTTCTCGCACTCATCTCAGCTTCGAGAGTATATTTCTCCAAGCCCGTTCCTGGTTTCTCGCTCGTATGCTCTTCTGACATCTCATACCCTCCTGTGTCGTTGCACCTTTGCCTGCAGACCAATAGTGCGGCCGTGGTGAGGGCCTATGGCCCCTCTCCCAAGATACTCAATGGAACATATGAACCGGAAGCGATCCAGCTCAGCCCTACATGCGATGCCTTGTAAAGTGATACTTGAGAGTGTGCTGTCAATTGCGCTGTTGAGAGCTTATGGCCCCTCTCCTCTGATTCTGAATGGAACGTAGGTACCGTATGAACCAGAGGCGATCCAGCTCAGCCCTACATGCGATGCCTTGTAAAGTGATACTTGAGAGTGTGCTGTCAATTGCGCTGTTGAGAGCTTATGGCCCCTCTCCTCTGATTCTGAATGGAACGTAGGTACCGTATGAGCCAGAGGCGATCCAGCTCAGCCCTACATGCGATGCCTTGTAAAGTGATACTTGAGAGTGTGCTGTCAATTGCGCTGTTGAGAGCTTATGGCCCCTCTCCTCTGATTCTGAATGGAACGTAGGTACCGTATGAGCCAGAGGCGATCCAGCTCAGCCCTACATGCGATGCCTTGTAAAGTGATGCTTGAGAATGTGCTGATGAGAGCTTATGGCCCCTCTCCTCTGATTCTGAATGGAACGTCTGAACCAGAGGTGATCCAGCTCAGCTCCACATGCGAAGCCTAGCCAATCAATGCTATAGAATGTCGTATATTGTTGCACCATTGACAGCCAGTGTACGGCCCCTCTCACTATATAACATATAAACCAGAAGCTATCCAGCTCAGCGCTGTACTTGCGAGGCCTAGCATTACCGGTATATACAATGTCCCAGCGTTTGACAATTTCCCATGATCCATCCCATGTCGTTGCACCATTGCCTACAGCCTTTCTCCCTACATTCTCAGTGCGAGGCTTAGCAAATCAATGCTCGAGAATTTATACCAAGCGCAATTACCAGATGTTGAGTCAGTCAGCAGTACTCTGGTGCATACAGTGTGTGGGGAGGGGAAAGGTCGGCAAATTGGTGCCTTTTTTCTTTCTCCTGCTATGCCTCACTGCTGTTTTAGTAAGGTCATATCGTATGCTGAGCTGGTACAGTTTATTGCTTCAGTCCCAGCGTCTGAATCTACAATAGAGGCAAGCAATCTTGGAACCTTCATAACAATATTGAATTCACAGTTGAGGCCACCGTTGAACCGAAGTGTAGCAGGCAGCGTCTCTGGCAACTGTATTCCAACACTGCTTAGTAAGCCGAGTTAAGGTAGACAGCTACACCAACGAGCGCTGCTACAATGCCCACCACCAGCACAGGGAGCGAGTCGCTGATAGGGAGAGGACGGGGACAGCGGGGGGATGGGGATAGGGAGAGGACGGGGACAGGGGGGGGATGGGGATAGGGAGAGGACGGGGACAGGGGAGGGATGGGGATAGGGAGAGGATGGGTACAGGGGAGGGATGGGGATAGGGAGAGGATGGGGAGGATGGGAATTGGGGGAAAACGGGGGAGGGGGAGTGTGAGGGTGGGAGAGCACGTGGGGGTGGGGGGAGGGAGAACAGTGCAGTGTGGGTGTGGGGATAAGGAGGAATGAGGAGGTAATCAGGAACAAGGGGTCAGGTAGCGTTTAGAGACATCTCAAAACACTTCTTCAATCAGGTAGCAGGGAGGTAGAGGAAGAGAAGGGCACTGATGGGACAGCACAGGCATTAAGGTCTGAATTACGGTAGCACGATAATGATCAGAGCGGTACTGATGAGACCAGAAGACAGGACGCCGCAGCAACGGGGGGAGCAGGGATGGAGGCGCGAAGCAGAGAGAGGATGGATTGGGGGAGAGGGACGGGGGACGGTGGGCAAGGGGAGAGGGGCAGGGACGGGGCGGCGGAGGGGGGGGGGGCAGTGGAGAGAGGGCAGGGAGAAGAGAAAGGAAAGGAAGGCGAGGAGGCAGGGAGGAAGAAGGGAAGGTTAGGATGGGGGCTGGTGAGGGAATGGAAGAGGGGTCGGGTGTACTAGGGGGAGAGAAAGGAGGGTGGGCCTGAATCCCTCTTGATACCCAAAACCTGAACTTTTCTGCACCATTTGAGAGGCTTGGTTGACAGTTCTTCCATCCTCACTCCCTCCCCCACATTCCCCCACTTCTTCTGTCCTTGACAAGCTTTTTTCCTTTTCCCCCTCACCCCCTCGTCTCTCCCTCCCATCACTTCTTCCCCCTTCCCCCCCTTTCCTCCCCCCTCCCTCCCCTATCGACCCACCCCCTTGCGCCCCTTCCACACCGTCAGGTCGTGGGCGTTGCGCCCAGCTCAGTCCCTCCCCGCTTCCCCCACTCCCCTCCGCCCCCCTTCTTTCCCCCCCCCCCCCCCGACACCCCCCCCAAATCACCCGCCGCCTCCCCTGCTCCGCAGCTGCGCCTTGCGCTCCTTGCGCGCCTTCCGCACTGCCAGGTCGTTGGCGTTGGCGCCACCTCCGCAGCCCACCTGTCCTCTTTTGACAGCTACTGCCAGGTCGTTGGCGTTGGCGCCCAGTCCCCCACCTCACGCACGTGCCCCTTCACCGTCCCTTCCGCGCATCCCCCATCCTCTCCCTCCCCCCATCCCCACCCCCCCACCTCTCGCCTGTCAACTCACCCGCCTCCGCCGCCCTGCAGCTCCGCCTTGCGCGCCTTCCGCACGGCCAGGTCGTTGGCGTTGCGCGCGACGGGCGCATTGTACGGCTTGAAGCGCCGCTTGGGGGCGGAGCACACTGGGGGAAGGTGGAGAGGGGAAAGGCGCGGGGCGGCCAGGGGGAAAGGAAGGAAAGAGTGGTGAGAGCAGTTGGATTTGAGGCGAGGGGCGCAGTGTACGGCTTGAAGCGGCGCTTGAGGGCGGAGCACATTTTGTGGGGGGGAACGGGGAAAACGGGGAAGGAGGGGGAGAGTGCGGAGAACAGTTGAATTTGAGGCCACGGGCGCAGTGTACGGCGGGGGGGGGGGGGGGAGAGGGGGGGCCGGGGGGAATAGCGGGGGCGCAGGCGGGGAAGGGGGCGGGAAGTGGGGAAGAAGGGACGGAGGAGGGGAGGGGAGGGGAGAGGGAGCGGGGTGGGAGACGGGTGAGATCTTTTAGCGGGTGCAAGGGGCAACTTTCCCGTCCTTTTAAGCGCAAGACGAGAGTACTGGAGATGTGCGGAAGGTACTAGAGAGAAGGAGATGCGCGCGCTTTACTGCTCTCTGTGTCACTTTCGAGGAAAAAAACTCAACAGTGACACAAAGAATGTAACAAGGGCGTTGCGGAGGGGAGAGGGGTATTTTGGCCACTCTGGTATCTGAAAACAATAATGCAACTTACGACGACAGGAGAGCTGGGGTGACGGAAGCACAATGATTGAGTTATCGATTAGCAGTATCGCGTATAGACAGCTTCGGCAGCGCAACAGGCGCTCAACACGGAACTTAAACCGCACGCTTTGTGGTCAATATCGTGTATGGAATTGGTTAATATATTAAATGGTTTCGAAAGGGGGCGGAAACGCACGTGGGCTCCACAAAAGGTCGCATTTTGGGCACTAATAGGAGTCTAATTCTTCGAGGCGCCTCACCTGGGCACTTGTAGGTGTCTGGAAGCTTCTCGAAGGGCGACCGCGAGTTGTAGATGTATCTGCGGATCGTCGGAGCGAGAGAGACGCGCGCAGGGAGGGAGACAGGGTCGCATGTGGAAGGGCGGGGGGAAGAGGGGTGGGGCGGGGGGAGGGGGGAAGCGACATGCGGATGCGAATTCCACGCTATTTGAGACGAAGAAAATAAAAATCTGAACGTAATCTGAGTCGCCTCGAGGCGGCGGCACGGCAACAAATTAGCGCAAGCGCTCACCCGCAGTCCCGGCAGATGTACGCGCTCGCCATAGTCACACGCGGCGGCCCAGAGGCGCCGCCCGTTAGAATCAACGGTGCCGCGCCAGACACGCTGACAGCCGCCGACGAGATCGCGCCGCGGGACGAGCGGAGCCCCACGCTGCCTGCGAGAAGCGGCGACGCGGATTTCGGCTTGGTGGCAGCGGGAGACGCGGCGGCGGCGACGGCGTAAGGAGCCGACGCGAGGGAGTGAGTGAGGGGGACTGCGCAAGCCATGGCTGATTCTAATGCAGCCTGAGGGTGGTTAACGAGATGACGTTGCGCAGGTTTCCGCTTTAAGCGAATTCGGATGTAAGAGGATGCGATACGTTCCTGGCGTGCGTGCGAGAAGGCTCTTGGGGACTGCTGAGTTTGGTTGTGTAGAAAAATAGAGCAAAGCTGCCGCACGGTAGTCTGTCTAACAATGTGGGCACGCGGCTCGCACAATGCAGCAGAATGGAGCGAAGCTGGCGTGCGGTAGCGGGCTTCTATTCTCCGTAAACGTCACTAACGCTTTGAAGCTGATTAGTGCCTCGGTGTGTGTTTCTGGTCCTAGTTTTGCCTACTCTTGTCATGCCCGCGGGTTCTAAAACCAGATCGAGAGGAGGCGTTCAAGAAGACGTCTCGCGAAGCAAAACGATCCCCAATTTTTTTCGATTTACACAGGCTGCGAATAGCGATAGCTGTACCTCGGCTTGAACACGCACTTCTCAAACTCATGTGGCACTTATTTTGAGACTTGCTATTGCTAGTACGTCGGCTTGAACACGCACTTCTCCAACTCATTTTAGAATGGATGTTGGATATGAACGAAGGGTGAGTATTCTCCAACGGAAGCGCCCTTCCTGAATCGAACGGTCATTAATTTGAGGTAGTGGTTTTCTTGCACGGTTGATGGATTTTGGATGTGAATGGATGACGAGGCGTGGTGACGGTGTGTGGCTGTCCAGATTCTATCAACGCGGATGGATCCGTCCACACGATCACAAAGTTGACTGGATGCCGCGTGGCGGGATGTGTGCTGGAGCCATGTGGCATGTGCCTGACAGGTTCTTCGTATCCACGCTAAAAGGTTTGTCTAAGTGATGGAAATGATTCAGAGATTCTCCACTCTCAAAGGTTCACATATTCATAGCTTCCTCACTCTCCCCAGAAATACTTGGAACCATTATTTTGTTCTTGACAAACTAGTCAGTCCGTCGCATCCACGATCCAGAGACCTGTCTGAGCCTGTGCATGTCACCGTCAGCGACTATTTCGGCAATCTCAGGGCGAGTCGCACGACACATATCATCCCCTTGCAAGGCTTTTCGTCTCTGGTTGCTATTGGACCAAATTTCAAATCACGCTTCGTAAATGACATATGACTGGAGCATCAACCACTCGTACATTTGCATCAAACAGAACTGGTAACCAGACCATTCTCGCCAGTCGTCATTTGACGTTTATGTTCTATTCGCCCCCTGTGCTCGTTCTTTCCTGTTTCCCAAATTCCGGAACTCCCCATCCATCTCAAACATCTCAGCTCAGAGGCAAATAAAAAAAAGCACTGCTCATTAGTAGCTCCACTTTCTCCTGTTCCTCATTTCGGCGTCCCTTCACGATTAATCAGCCCATTTTTAGTTTCTCCCTCCGCAGCCATTCCTGTGGTTCCATTCGGCGCGCGGGCATCGTCAAGGCGCGGCGCGCTGAAACCCGGCGCCAATGTCATCCGCTGTAGTCGATAACCCCGACGGCCCCGCTCTCGCGTCGCAATCTTCACAAATTTTGGCGTCGAATCTTCCGCACAGCCCCGTCGGAAAATCAGGACCTGTCTTCGGCGAGTTGACGGCCGTCAACTGGCGGAAATGGGCGGCTAGCCGGCTGCAGCAGACGTCTGACGTTAGCACGGCTCGCGCCGAGCAGAACTTCGAGGCGCGACATCTTGTCAGATTGCCACACGAACCGGTAGTAGCCGATCCGTCAACTCACTTTCTGTCACAAGACACGTCAGCAGTTGTTAATCCGCTTACACCTCATGCCCGCGAAGCTCGCGGAAGTTACGCTCCCAAAAATCACGGCGCCTTCCAAAATGAACAGAGCGCCGGCCCCCTGTGTAAGCGCAAAGGGGAGGCGCTTTCCGTCTGCAGTGCCACGTGGCAGCCTCTCCTTCCAGGGCTACCAGATGACGTGGCGGAGTTGTGCCTCATCCGGCTTCCGCGAGCGTTCCTACAGCAATGCAGGTACGGCATGCGTGCGTGTGCGTGTGTCTGGTCGATCAGAATTTTGAGTTTGGAATGAGAGGGAGAGGGAGAGGGCGATCGAGTGTGCATGGGTGGGTGGGTTGGTGGGTGGGTGCGTTTTTTTAGAGAGTCCTGTTTCCGTTACTTTGGTTCCACCTTTGTTGCAACTTTGTTGAACCCGAGCTGCACCTATGTTTTGGAAGGGCAGGGGACGATGTTAGTTACTGTATTACCTGCCCCTTCTTGCTCGTCTCCCTCTCCTCCTCCTCCCCCAATCCCTTTATTCGCCCCCCGCTGCCTCATCACCGTATCCTTTATTCCCAGGCAAGTGAACCAGGCATGGAAAGAGTTTCTAGACAGCCCCCGCTGCCTGCGCCTTCGAACAGCAGCCAATCGCCTCGAGCCGTGGCTGTTCGTCCGGGCAGTCGGGCAGCCGAGAAAACATTTCGAGTGGCACGCATTCGCAGAGAGCGCTGGATGGCGGAAACTCCCTCACCCACGTGGCACTAGCCAATGGGAAGCCTCGGGAGTGGGGTGTGTGGGTCTTGACAGGTGTCTCTACATGATTGGAGGAACAGGGGCTGACCGCAAAATTCCATTGGCTGACACTTTCAGGTGAGGGGCAAAGAAAAGGTTTTGCACGAGTCAGGTGTGATTTGTGTGTGCGTGTTTGTGTTAACAAAAAGCTGAGGCTATGACTGGATTTGAAGTGACACACTGCTTTGCTCACCCATGTAAGCAAGGTGACTTCTGAGTCGGCTCGAAGGTCACTTTGGGTTAACAATAAGCTGAGGTAATGATTGGATCTGAAGTGACACACTGCTCTGCTCACCCATGTAAGCTGAGTTGGTTGTTTATGTGCATTGCATAACGCCCTCCGTGCTTGTTTAACAGATCTTGTTTTTTGTTCAGCTTTTTGGTCACTGAATTATGCCGTGACTCCCTCCCCTCCCACATCTTCGCTTGTTTTCTCTTCTTCCTTTTTCTTTTTTTATCTCTGGCATCATTTTATATGTGCTGTAGCACGCCTGCCATTCCTATTCGTCCCCCCACTCCCCCCACCCTCCTCACACCCCCCTCTCCATCTCCCCATCCGCAATTTCAGGTACGACCCTCAAACTGCCCGCTGGACCCAGTTGGCCAACCTCATCACTCCCCGCAGCTTTTTTGGCTCCTGGGCTGCCCGTGGAAAAATAATAGTGGCAGGAGGCAATGCAGCAGAGCTCGAGGAGATCAAATCAGCTGAAGTCTACCAACCAGAGACTGACACGTGGCAGTCCATCCCACCGCTGCCTTTGGCGTTTTCTAGCTTTGGGGCGGCGAGTTTGGGAGAGACCCTCTTTCTGACGGAAGGGTGGCAGTGGCCGTTTCACTTCTCGCCCCGTGGGTTCTCCTGTCCTCTTTCTAAGCTCATCCAGGAAACGGAAAGGGAGGGGCTTAGAGGTCAAAGGAGACACGGGGGTGCTTTGATTGGCCGGGGACTGGGAGAAGGAGAGGGACGAGGAGGAGAGGGGGGAGAGGGGGGAGAGGGGGGTAGACGGGAAGCAAGCAGTGCAGGAGGAGAAATCATAGGACCAGAGGGCATGGGAGTGGGGCAGGGCAGGGCGGAAGGGCAAAACATGGGACAAGGCGTGGGGGAGGGCGTGGGGCAAGGCGTGGGGGAGGGCGTGGGGCAGGGCGTGGGGCAAGGCGTGGGGCAGGGCGTGGGGCAAGGCGTGGGGCAGGGCGTGGGGCAGGGCGTGGGGCAGGGCGTGGGGCAGGGCGTGGGGCAGGGCGTGGGGCAGGGCGTGGGGCAGGGCGTGGGGCGGAGTGGAATTGCAGCAGTGTGGGAGCCTGTGCCTGAAGGCATGGCGGAGGGGCAGGGCAGGGCGGAAGGGCAAGGCGTGGGGCGGAGTGGCGTTGCAGCAGTGTGGGAGCCGATGCCTGAAGGCATGGCGGAGGGATGGACAGGCGTGAGTGCTGTGGTGCATGACATGCTTGTGACCCTGGTGCACGAGGGGAAGACTCGCAGGTGCGTTCTAGGGCATGTGAGGTGCCTTTTCACGCTGTGGTGTGCAGAAAGCTTGCCCGGGAATGGTACCCTAAGTGCCTCCGATTGGGTAAGAACATGCCCACGAGTGTGTGCGGTGGTGCATGACATGCTTGTGCTCCTTGTGGGTGATTTTTGAGATTCTCAAAAATCACTCCCTGGTGCAGGAGTTGAAGACTCGCAGGTGCGGGGTGGGGGCATTCAAGGCGGTGTTGTGCGGTACTGGTGGGTGACATCAGGGGTGTGGTCCTGTTCAGGTTAGGGCGCGGACTGGAGTGAGTGCTGTGGTGCACGGCACACTTGTCACTCTGGTGCATGATGGGAAGACTCGAAGGTGCGTGCCAATGGCATGTGAGGTGGTGGTGTGCGGTGATGTGTGGTGCATGGAGGTGCGTTGAGTCATGGCACCAGTGTGGGTACCGTGCTGGGCTGGGTGGTGGCTTGTGAGGTTTGTTGTTGGGTGAGAGCATGGGCAGGAGGGTATGCCATGGTGCATGGCATGCTTATGACTCTCATGGGTCGCTTTTGAGAGTCTCAAGGGCGACTCAGACTTAGCAGGAGAAGGTGAGGTGCAGTGGTGCATGGCCTGCTTGTGACTCTTTGGAAAGGGGTGGAGGTTTGTGAGACGTCTCAAAACTCATTCTCATGGGAAAGGGTGAAGGTTTTGAGGCGTCCTCTCTCTCATGGAAAGGGGTGGAGGTTTGTGAGACGTCTCAAAACTCACCTTCATGGAAAGCGGTGGAGGTTGAGTTGTTTCAGGTGAAGGTTCGGTTTGCTTCCCCTTTCCCAATGATCTGCCCATTTGTTCGAAATTTTGTCCTCTCCTTCTCACCACCGCATCTTTGTTTTCCTCGTCTCACTTCTTTTCAAACCCTCTCCCTTCAATCACCACCTCCCCCATTCCCCCCTTCCTCTCTTCCCCCATCCTTCCCATTACTTCCTGTGATCCCTTGCCGCCAGGCTCTTTTCCTACTGCCCAAATACTGACAAGTGGCAGCTGGTCATTGGCCCTCCTTTGCCCCTCTTCCTCCACCCACCCCTGCGCATGGCCGCGGATGGTAACAATCGTCTTTTTGTGGTAGGCCGGGGTTTGGAGGTGGTGACGGGGACGATAAGCAAGGAAGGTCTGCGGGGAACATGCAGGAAGGGCAGAAGTTTTTTGGATGGAGAGCAGGAGGGTTGGGAGACATTAGGCAGTGAAAACAGTGAGGTTGAAATGCAACGGCCAGTTGAAGAGAAAGAGGAGAGGGCAAGTAACAATGCATACAAAAAGCAAGAGCTCAAGGTTGATTGGTTGCATCTGGGGGGGGATTTGGCCCTTTCCAAACTTGTTTCAGATGCTCTTCTTGTGGTGGTGATGTGATGTGAAATAAGTGCAAGTGTCACAACATGGCAATGTTGGACTTTATACCCCATTTGCGAACCGAGTCTATGTGGAGTATATTGGATTGCGGTTGGTTGCCGCCGTGGCGTGGCTAGCCTGGTGTGGGAATGCGGTACGGAAGCCTACCGTCAGCTCCCCGAACTGAGTCCCGAACCGACGGCAAAGCAAGCAATGAACCGAAAAGGAGAAAAGACAATTGCCCAGCAGCTTCTCTTGCCATCCAGGAGCGTGTCGCGCCTCTCCCACACGCGTAAAAGCATCTCCATCCCGCCACCACCAGTTTCGCCAAACTGCAGCCGACTAATTTGCCATCAGAATCACGGAAACGTCATCTTTCATTGACATCGACAAACTGCAAGCCGACAGGCGCGCCGTTCATGCAAGCTTGCGGGAGTAGCTTTTACATGTTTCGGGCAGCTCTACAGCGCCGCAACCACTATCTAATCGACGCAGGCCATACCACACCCGTTGCATTGCCTCGGGAAAATGGTGTCTGGAATGTGAACCCACGATTTTTCCGAAAGCAGTAGTGTTCGAGTTCACACAGGATGAAATGTGATTTGTTTTCAATAACCAGGTAGCCAAGTTTTTCAATGACCAGCATGCCAAGTTCTGGACACGGGCGCTGTTCTGGTTCGGGCTGGGATTCGGGCAGAATTTCAGAAAGAAACGTACGGGCTTGACACATGGCTGTGTCCCTATCTGCTACCTCCACGTTACACACACTCGCGCTGCCCGTGGCAAACAGAATCCGAGCCTTGACAAAGGCATGGCAGCAATTCTGGCTGGTCTGGGAGTCTGGGGTTTCCTTTCTTTCCCAACTCGCTGCACGGAGTCAGAATGCTTTTGTTTCTTCAACCCGCTACAGTAGATCACCGCTGCGACCTCTTCCCCCTCCTTCCCTTCCGTTCCGTAGAGTCACTCACAATTTTCACGGTGCGCCTGCCGTTTCGGAACGCCGTGGGCAAGCGAAATCGCGTGCGAAGCCGCTTGTCCATCCACCGACGAAATTCTGAACCACTCCGGAAGGAGAGAGTCGGCGCGTCAACCAATCAAGCTCCAAACGACAGTCTGTCAACTGCAACTACAAAATCCCTCCACATGTTCTACCTTCCCATCCGAAAGTTTCAAGTCTTTTTGCCTTCCAAGTTCCAACTCGACTTCATCCACCAGTCCTCCCTCACATCCATTCTAGGTGAAGGGAGAAGCTTTCCACCTTCATCCGACTCCAGTTGTAACTCCTCTCCGACACCACTTTCTTGAGCTTTTGTCTCATTTCCGCACCTTGCCACAGTCTCCGCCGTCCATCTCCATCTCCAACCGCATTCCCGCCCAAGCTCCGCTGTCCATTCCGCATCACTCGCTACCATCGTAAACCACATCATCACCACTCCATCATGGGTGCTACTGATGCTGCTACTCAGCAAACCGTTGCCGTTTCTGCCTCGGTCTCCGAGCCTTGGGAAGACGCGATGCGGGCTGAGCTGGCCGCGTGGTTCCAAAATCCCGACTGGGTCGACGAGACGCCTTCGATGACGGTTTCCGTCGGCTCTAACGCTCTCTGTCAACTCGACGGAGTCGCGACCGTCGGCCTTCCTCCAGACGCCGTCTTCTCCATCGTATGCGACCCGCACAACAGCCGCGTCTTTAAGAACATCAAGTCTGTTAAGAACGAGCGGGTTATTAGTGACAATAACGGGGTGAAGGAACTCGAGATGGACATGGTGTTCGCCTTCCAGCTGCCCTTCTTTACAGGCACATTCGACGCGCACATGCGCATGGAGCACGACCGCCCGAACCGCAAAATGTCCTTCGAACTAACGCGCCCCGGTCTCATGCGCAAGTTCGAGGGCTTCTGGCAGGTCGAGCCGCTCGTTGTCCCCGCTTCCGCCACTTCTGCCTCCGCCGCCGCCTCCGCCTCCGCCGCTTCCGCCACCTCCGCCACTTCCACCATTTTCGCAACTTCCTCCGCTTCCACCGATTCCGACACCGCTTCCGCTCCGTCCTCCCCGCTCTCCGATACCTTCCATCCGGCCAGCGACTGGGATAGCAGCAGCGCCTGCAGCAGCCCAGAGCGTGATTCCGCCGCAGATCTCGCTGCGAAGACGACGACGACGAGCGCGACGACTCCGGCCGACGGCGCGCGCGTGGCATCGCGGCTCGTGCTGCATCAGGTGGTGCAGCCGTCCGTCGCGCCGCCCGACCTTTTCAAGCGGTGCATCCACATCGTTCTGCAGATGGCTACTAAAGACGTCCTTAAAGTTTTCCAGCGCGAAGCCGCGGCGATTAGGAACAGCAAGGGGCAGGAGCAGGAGATGCAGGGAGGAGAGAACAAGAAGAAGCAAGGAGCTGACGTAAAGGCCGCTGCTGCTGCGGGGGCCATGGCTGGCGCGGTTGCCGGCGCGGTTGCGGGAGCTGCTGCTGGCGTCGCTGTCGCGAAGAACGCGGAATCCATCTGGCTCGCGTCGCGCGTCTATAAGCTCGTGAAGGGCAAGGCTTAAGGCGATGAGAAGGGATTAGGAACAAGAACAAGAAGAAATTTCTATGTGCTGGTTGCTTGAGTTGCGTATGAAGGGAGAAGCGTGGTAACGAGAAGCAGAGTGGACAGGGGAACAAGGTCGGCTCTTGCTGGTGCTGCTGCTTCTGACGCCATTTCCCAGAATCGCTGCCGGAATTAGTTGTTTGAAAGTTGCTGGGTAACGTAACCCTGGCGTAGTTGCCAGGGATAATGTAGTGGGTAATTACCGTAGCTGGATCTGGTTTGATGGGGGGCATAAAGTTTGAGTAGGGTTCAAGGCTTTGGGATGCCTCTAGACATAATGGCTCCCCAAACCTTTGAACCCTGACTTATGAAATGCATGCTGTCTTCTTGGATAAGGAGATTTGTCCATATCTTTGCTACAACAATTGGATGTATCATAATGTGCAAATGAGAATGCTTACTAAAAGAGCAGGCAACCACGGTTATCAATTTGTTTTGCAAGTGTGGAGTAGGCAACTAACTTTAGCCTCTTGAAATGAAAATGTTTGCCATTACAAAGTAGGCAACTATTTAGATCCCCCTTCCTGTTAACCAAGCTCTCTTGCCTTGTCCTGCAATTACATAATCCTAGAACAGATTTTTTTTACAGCTAAACCCCACCCCCATCTTCTCTCCAAAGTCAGTCACACAACTACCCCCATTCCCAACCCAAACCGACCCTTCACCAGTCTACCCCACGTGACTCCAGCCACAAGCACTTGCCATTTCAGCCTGAAAGGATAGGCGGCGCGGCACTGCCGCTTACTGTTCCACAGAACTCCTGCCACACCCCCTCGTAGTAACTGCAAGCACTGGCCTGATTTGAACTGGTACAGCCCGCTGCAGCGGCCGGTGCAGTTCGAGGGGTCCAGATGGGTGAGAAGCGGTGCTGTTAGCTCTGCCACCCCTGTCATATCCTACTCATCTGCCCAACCATGCCTATCCCTGGCCTTCCCACACCACCCCTGCTGCTACTGCTCCTCCAACAACCCCTGCTGATGCTGCTCTCACCCCAGGGCAGCTCCCACATCCGTGGGAGCGCCCACACCCCAACCCCTGATGCTGCTGCGCTCACCATAGGCAGCTCCCATATCCTTACCATAACCCACCTGTTTCCCCCACCGCTCTCTGCCCAACCAACCCAAATACCAACGATGCACCTTCTCCTGCTGCTCCTCCTCCTCCCCCTCCTGCTGCTGCTGCTGTCATCACCCCAGAGCAGCAAGTGCCTTGTTGAGGCGGTTGAGGCTCGTGGCAACAGCACGGTTGGAAGGGTCAAGGCGGGAGAGCAGGCGCAGGTCTGCCACCCGCGGCTAGTAATCCCCTCAACCCACGCTTCCCCGTCCTTCCCCTGACACACCCCTTATCTCCCAAAGCTCTCAGCCTAAACATTCCCAAACCCAACCCTGCACCTGCTGCTATTGCCCCTCTCCTCCAGCCCCTGCTGCTGCTGTCATCACCCCAGAGCAGCAAGTGCCTTGTTGAGGCGGTTAAGGCTCGTGGCAATGGCGCGGTTGGAGGGGTCAAGGCGGGAGAGCAGGCGCAGGTCTGCCACGCCCAGCTTGTACTTCTCCATCGCCTCGTACAGACACGCCCTCTGCATCAACACTGCCGTGTTCTCTGGTTCAATCTCCAGTACCTGAGTGGGTAAGGGTAGGCCAGACAGAGAGAAGTGAGAGAAGGTCAGCCAGCCACCCCCACTTGTACTCCTCCATCGCCTCGTACAGACACGCCCTCTGCATTTACTGCCTCGAGCTCGTGTCTTGAGTCAACTCTAAATGAGCCGTGTTTTGAGTCGACTTAAACACGGCTGTATTTTCTGCTCTCTGATCCCCTGTGGGGGTGGGTAAGGGGCACTGAATTGAAGGGAGAGCAGGCGCAGGTCAGGTCAGGCTCTCCCAGCTTCTACTCCTTCATTGCCTCGTAGGGTTTTTTCTTTAGAATTCTAAAAAAAAACCCTGCAGCATCATCATGTGGGGAGGGAGGGGGAAGGGAGACAGGGAAAGAGCGGAGATGGAATCACTAAGGCTCACACACTTGGACCCCATCCGGCAGTGTGTGAGCAGAGGGGCCAATTGCAGCCCATCGTCCTCTGCTCTCCCCCCTCCCTCTCTCCCTTCCCACCCCACTTCTCACCTTGCTGCAGTCAGCAAGGTGCCTTCTTCATCCCCCCCCCCCTCCCCCCTCCTGTTGTAGCACGACCCCCGCGCAGTCAGCACCGCCACCAGCCCCCCCCCTCTCTCCGCCGGTTGCTCCGCCCACACCAGCCACTTGATCGCATCCGCACCCATGCACCATCCACCCATGCACCTTCCACCCATGCACCATCCACCCATGCACCTTCCACCCATGCACCTTCCACCCATGCACCTCCCACCCATGCACCATCCACCCATGCACCATCCACCCATGCACCTTCCACCCATGCACCATCCACCCATGCACCTTCCACCCATGCACCTCCCATACTCACCTTGGTACAATCTGCAACGGCTTTCTTCATCTCGCCAGCCTCCTTGTAACATGACGCCCGCGCACTCAACACCGCCACCAGACCCTCTCCCCCCGCCGCCCCCCCTCTCTCCGCCAGCTGCTCCGCCCACACCAGCCACTTGATCGCGTCCGCGAACTGCCCCCCTTTGTAGAACTCCGTCCCCTTATTGAGCGCTGCATTATAAGTGACTCCCGCTGGCGGCGGCCCGATGCCGTCTAGCTCTACAGTGGTTTCTGTGGAGGCGGAAGCAGAAGCGTCCCCGAAGCTTCCCCAATCACCGGCGTCTTGGTTCCCAAAATCAACACCACCTGCGCTCGCTCCAAAGAAACTGCTGCTGCTGTCACTGCTGGCCGCTGCAAAACCGCCAGCAGAACCAGCACCGGCACCAGCACCAGCACCACCACCAGAGCCACCAGCAGCAGCAGAGGGCTTGGGGTTGAAAAGCATGTCTACAAGCGGGTCGAATGAGCCTGCTGACGCTGCTGCAGCAGATGGCTGGGAGCTGCTGGGGGGCTGCGAGCTGCTGGGGGGCTGCGAGCTCCCGAAGTTGGATGAGAAGGCGGCGAACGGATCAGCAGCCGCGGCGGCAGAAGCAGCAGAGGCAGCAGGAGGGGGAGCAGCAGAGGAGGCAGCGGCGCGTGGGGCAGGGAACGAGGCGGAGAAGTTTGCAAACGGGTCTGCTGCAGACGCGGATGCGGCTCTGGCTCCTCCTCCCCCTGCCATGCCGCCGCCGCCGCTGCTGCTGCTACTGTTCATGTTGCCAGTGTTACCACCACCGCTGCCACTGCTACTGGTGGCGGTGGCGAAAGGGTCCGGCCAGGAAGCAGCAAACGGATCGGCAGAGGCAGCAGAGGAAGCAGAAGTGGCAGCAGACGCGGCAGATGGGGCAGAGGCGCGCAGTGAAGGGCCTCCAACGCCGCTGCCCCTCATGGGCTGACCGCCTAACCCACCACCACCGCCACCACCACCGCCACTGCCAATCCCACTACCCATTCCGAATCCTGCACCTCCACCTGCTCCCACTCCGGATCCTGATCCTGATCCTGATCCTATACCAAATCCACTGCCTGAACCACCTGCTCCTCCTGACGAGCCAGCTTTGGGAACGGAGCTCCGTAAATCGCCCATACCAAACGGATCAAATCCTCCCCCTCCCCCTCCCCCTCCACTTCCCCCAAATCTACCTCCCCCAGATGCCCCTCCCGCGCTGTCCCTGGCGGCGCCTCCATACGCTGACGTGGACGATGACGTGGACGCCCCGGGTCGCGCGGAGGCAGTGGCACTGCTCCACAGGCTGGCAAACACGTCATCCGCCTTGCTGGCAGCTGCAGCTGCTGCTGACGCACCAGATGACGACAGCGAGGAGTTAAGAGGCTTGGCATTCATTCCCCCCATTCCCATCCCCATCCCCATCCCCATCCCCATCCCCATCCCCATCCCCATCCCCCCATACCCGCTTCCCCCCCTCCCCCCACTGCCAATTCCGGACTGCCCCAGAGGGATCCAGCTGGGTCCTCCTCCGCTTCCCCCTTGCTTCTGCGCCTGCGCGCCTGGGGCGCTCGGCGCATAGGAGCTGGCGGAGGCGGGGGGCGCGCGCGCTGCTCCCCCTCCGCCTCCGCCTGTGGACCACGAGGTGGCGCCCTGCGCGTAACCGCCCCCCCCGCCTGGTCGCCCTCCGCCACCCTGAGCGGAAGGGGGAAAGATTGGGCGGAGGGTGCGGAGGGGTGCGGTGGGGGGCGGAGGGGGGGCGGGAGGGGGGCGGAAGAGGGCGGAGGAGCGCGGAAGGGGCGGAGAGCAGGAGAAACGGGGGTGAGCGAAGCATGAGAGGCGCTAGAAGACAGACGGGATACTGCTGTTGACCTCTCCCTTTGAGACAACGACTTCTGAGACGCCTCAAGAATCGCTTGCTGCCTCCCCTGCTGCTAGTCGTGGTTCTGGTTACCAGTAACCCGGTTACTCATTTGCTCTGCAGTTGCCTGACTCACCGAGCCGCCGAGCTTCTGGTCCTTGAGACTGCCGCCTGCCGCTCCCCATTGACCTCCGAGCGAGCAGAAGAAAACAAGCAGTGCGAAAGCGACCGGGTTACCAACGACCGGACAACTAATCTGTTCCGTAGTTGACCGACTCACCAAACCGCCGCCGAGCTTCTGGTCCTTGAGACTGCCGCCTGCCGTTCCCAACCGACCTCCGCCCCCTCCGATGCCGGATCCAGACGACACCCCGAGATCGAAGTCGAATTGGAAATTCTGAAACGCAGATGCATAGTGAGAGTGAAGATCGCGAGGTTTAGCGGAACGGGGGGAATGAACAGGCGAAGGGACATAAATTCAAAGACGAACTTACGTGGGGCCTACATACTTCGCGACTCGCGCACCGCGTAAGTAATGCGCAATGAGAGCATGAACCAGGATGTTAGCGTACGCGGTATGTTATTATACAGCTCACGTTAAAAAAATGAACATGTATGTACCATGTTTGAACAGTATGTGCATTCCAATACGATTGGTGGCCGTTGTGACAAATGGTTGAACTGTCTGTGCAAGACCCGCAAATTTTGAACCTTAAAAAAAAAGGCTTCAGTCCGTCATCGCCGATTCCGATACATTGAGCATAACTACGATCGTCGGCAGCTTGAAACCCGTTCTACTTGAACGAGGCGACTTTTGAAAGGCTAAAAAAATCAGCTGAAACGAGCGTCGCACCTTGAAAGTCGTCGCCGCATTGACCATGTTGGCCTTGCGACTGTCGCTCGCACCGCCGTTCATGCCGCCGGAGCACAAGCACTGCCTTTCTCAACCGGTTTCAGCCCGTTTCTACCGGTATGGCGCAGAGAAAACCAGAAGGTCTTGGCCAGAGTCCGCCTTAATCTCTGTTGTGAGGCACCTACGGACAACTCTGATGAAATCGAGGAGGCGAAACTCTGCAGAAACCTAAAGCTCCGACAGCAGTCGAACAAAACAAATCTACGCAACAAGTGGAACCAACTAGCCACAGCAGGAAGGTTGTGCCGCAAATAGTAGATCGCTAAAGGTGGGTAGCTAGCTGCTTGGGTGGTAGGTAGCTTGATACTTCCGTAAGCCTGTCCTAAAATGTTCCAAAATGATGGGAGATTTACTGGGAGTGCGTTGGAAAGCAGGATTTTACTCGCTACCATGGTAGCATTGAGTTGCCTCACAACACACTGCGAAGAGAATGGCTGGCGAGGGATGGTAACCACGCCGGTCAAGCTCGTCAGTCGGCTTCTTTGGTCCTCGGTGCGACTCTGCCGAAATCGCAGGGTGAAGTCAGACCCACCCAACAAGAAGTTGGCAATAGCGAGGGGCTTACAACGACCAAGCAGCCGAACCGCAACCGTGAAAACGGCATGAGGGCGGGTCCAGCGCGTACGTTTTCCGTACATTACAGTTCATCCAGTACGGTAATCTGTACTGCGTCACGGTTCAAAACGGCGCAATTTTAAAACCGCTGTGCACCGCCTGATATCTTTTCAAACCACGACGAATGAGCTGTATAGGACCTGAAAACGTACGCGCTGGACCCGCCCTAAGGTACAACTACAAGAAATTGTTGAAAATATGTGTAAGGGTAAGAGAAATTAACTGCTAGTGCACATTTCTTCCTGTATTGCTTTATATCCACTAAATGACTGGATGGACTGGACACCCGTGCAGAATAGGACATGATGCTTGTAAACGTGCAATGTAGTAAACAAATGTTACAAGCAGTTTATGTGTATCCATGCAACAGTCTTTCTGTGTCTGTACTACATCTCCAACTAGAGACTACAGCAGGAGAAATCTGTGCTAGGCAAAGCACCCAATACAGTACAACCGGCCCACGCCACAAGCTACACTTGGTGTCCCAAACAAGCATGCATTACTAGCGTGTGCTGCAAGCACACAGTCCCCTATCTGTGGACAGATGACAAATTAATGAAAGCTAGGCGAATGATGGAAGTGGTAAAGTTAAAACCCTAAGACGGCTGTAGCTGTGCCGGCCAGCTCGCGAAGTTGGCAATCCAACTGACATGAACGGCTATTCCAGCTTACCGGTACGTATATGCAATGTCCAGCTGTCACACATGGCAATTCCGCTGCCCTAGAGCTGGCAACTCGGCAAGGCAGGGTAAGGGACTCAACAGAGACACCTTGGAAGAATGTTGAAGCCAATGACAAACACTATCCGTCAGATCAGGGCCAGTGCCACTGCACCCCACGCTGACTACCGTAGTCTCGGCAGACACCAGTGCAGCAGCTGCTGCTGTCTGCCTGTCCTCACCCCAGCTGCTGCAGCCCACTCTTCCCTCTGAACAGCCCCTTTTCCCTTACACTGCCATCACTATTCACTGTGCCCATCTGTCGGCCGTCCACCTGTCATATGCCTGCCTGCCGTGTACCTGCCTGCCGTGTACCTGCCTGCCGTGTACCTGCCTGTCGTCACCCCTGCTGCTGCAGTCTGCTCTTCCCTCTAAACAACCCCTTGAGTAGCCCTCACCCATTCCGTACACTGACATCACTGTTCACATCACAGTGACCATCTGCCTCCCATCTGCCTCCCATCTGCCTCCCATCTGCCTGTCATCTGCCTGTCATATGCCTGTCACATGCCTGTCATATGCCTGTCATATGCGTGCCTGCCATCACCCCTGCGGTTCACTGTGCATATCTGCCTGACCTCACCCCTGCTGCTGCAGTACACTCTTCCATCTAAGCAACTCCTTGACCAACCCTCTGCCATCCCCCCCACTGTAACCACTCTTCACTGGTCACATATGCCTCACTGCAATCACCCCTGCTGCTGCAGCCCGCTCTTCCCTCGAAACAGCCCTTTGAGCAGCCCTCGCTTCTTCTCACTTGACGACCGCCTCTCATCCCCCTCGCCCCTCGGCGACTGGCCGCCATCCACACCTGCTCCTCCTCCCCCTTCCCCCCCTCCCCCTCCTCCCACCCCTCCTCCCGCTCCTCCCCCTAGATTACTCGGCAACGACCCTTGCCGTAGCGCTTGATTCCCCCCCACTCCTCCCCCCCCTCCTCCCCCCACGCCAGCAGCAGCAGACATCTTCCTCCCCCCATCCTGCGCCACCACCTCACTCTGAATCGACCAGCTCGCCCGCTCCCCCTGCGCCGCTCCCCCCAGCGCCCCCACTCTCCCCACTCCGCCCCCCACTCTCCCCGACCCTCCCCCCGCGCCCCCCGGTCCCACACCCCCATCTGTATCCGGCTCCAGGAGAAAACCCAGAACCTCTGCCACGTAATCATCGGGAATCTCATCTACTACATCGCTGCCGGCCGAGCCCAGGTTCACGTACCGCCCGTTCTTGCACAGCAGGGCGGCCTTCATCGTCGCTTTCTGAAACGGCTCGCTGTCGCCGGCCAGGCAGAGCACAGGCATGGGGAGCGAGCCGAGCAGGGCAGCGTGGTCGACCACTGCCATGGCTCGGGTGAGCCAAGGGCGGCGTTCATACGTCTGTAGCATGTCTATGAGCGTGCGTACCTGTTGTTGTTAGTGGGGGTAGGGGCAGGGGAAGGGGAGGGCGAGGGAAAGAGGGAGAGCAGGGGTTACACACAGCAGCAGGGGCATGGGGAGGAAGAGAGCAACAGGCAGAGCACGGGCACGGGGAGCGAGCCCAGGATGGCGGTGTGGTGCACTCCACTACTGCCATGACTCGAGTCAACCAGGCGCGGTGGGAGAGGGAGAAGGTGGGGGGAGCGAGCCAGGGCCTGTGCTGTGTCAGTCAGACAGAGCACGGGCACGGGGAGCGAGCCCAGGATGGCGGTGTGGTGCACTACTGCCATGACTCGACTCAACCAGGAGAGAGGCTTGTAGGTCTGTGGCATGTCTATCAGCGTGCGCACCTGGTGGTGGTGGGGTGCGGAGGGGCAGGGGAGGGGGAGACAACTGGGGAGGGCACGGGTCAGACAGCAGAGGCAGGGGCAGGGAGAGAGCAGGCAGAGAACAGCAGGGGCATGGGCAGGGAGCGGAGGTATCGGTTCTCGAGGGACGAGTGCCCTTGAGATCCACATCGTAGCATGCCCACACCCCACAGGCCCCCAGGCACCCCACAGGCCACCGCACGCACAGCACCACACAGCACCACACAGCACCCCGCACAGCACCACACAGCACCCCGCACAGCACCACACAGCACCCCGCATAGCATGGTGCGGACCTTGAAGGCAGCACAGCATGGGCACGCCCCAAAGCACCACCCCCAGAAGCCCCAGCGGCCAGACACCCCACACACCCCACAGCACCGCACCGCACCCTATGCATCCCACCTTATCCTGCTCGCCTCACCTTTAGCTGCCAAGGCACGGGGTAGGGGCATCTCTTTTCCAAAAAGGTCGCCACAGTGCCTTCTAGGTCCCCGTCATAATCGGGAGGCTCTTCCCTCAGCACGTCCCCTCGCTCCATGAAGCCCAGCATGGGCACGCCCCACAGCACCACTCCCAGGCGCCCCAGCAGCCGGCCACCCCACAGCACCCCACAACACTCTACAAAACCCACCTCCAGACCTCCTGTCGTTACCTTGAGCTGCCAGGGCACGGGGTACGGGTATCTCTTTTCCAAAAAGGTCGCCACAGTGCCTTCCAAGTCCCCGTCATAATCGGGAGGCTCTTCCCTCAGCACGTCCCCTCGCTCCATGAACCCCAGCATGGGCACGCCCCACAGCACCACTCGCCGCACCACCTGGGGGAGGTCTGACGCGATTTGCAGCGCCACTGTCGCTCCTGTTTGGTGTCCAATCTGTGGGGAGTGGGTGGGTGGGTAATCGTCGAAGAACAATGAAATACAGAGGTGGAGACCGGTGGGGAGTGGTGAGAAGCCCCCCCTCGCTCCATGAAGCCCAGCATGGCCACGCCCCACAGCACCACTCGCCGCACCACCTGGGGGAGGTCTGACGCGATTTGAAGCGCCACCGTCGCCCCTGTTTGGTGCCCGATCTGTGTGGGTAGAGGGAAGGGGTGGAGAGCGGTAAGAAGGGTTGCAGAACGTGAGAGAAGGTCCCTTATGGTCGCTCCATGAACCCCAGCATGGGCACGCCCCACAGCACCACTCGCCGCACCACCTGGGGGAGGTCTGATGCGATCTGTAGCGCCACTGTTGCTACCGTCTGGTGCCCGATCTGTGGGGGTTGGGGGAAATGGTGGGGAACAGTGAGATATTGAGGTTGAGAAATGTTGGGAGTGGTGAGAAAGGTTGCAGAACGTGACAAGGCTCCCTCGCTCCATGAATCCCAGCATTAGCACGCCCCACAGCACCACCTGTGGTAAATCTGATCAGAGGCAATCTGCAGCGCCACTGTCGCCCCTGTTTGGTGCCCGATCTGTGGGGGTAGAGGGAAGGGGTGGGGAGCGGTGAGAAGGGTTTCAGCACGTGAGTGAAGGTCCCCGTGGCCGCTCCTAGCATGAACACGCCCCACAGCACCACCCGCTGCACCACCTGGGGGAGGTCTGACGCGATCTGGAGTGCCACTGTTGCTCCCGTCTGGTGCCCGATCTGTGGGGGACGAGTTTTGAGTCGACTCAAAACACGACTCATTACACGCGGATTCTGTGCGGGTGGGGTGAGGAACAGAACAGGGTGTGGACGGAGGGACAGGTTTGGGAAACAGCACCACCCACCGCACCACCCACCGCACCACCCACCGCACCACCTGGGCGAGGTCTGACGCGATTTGCAGCGCCACTGTCGGCCCCGTCTGGTGCCCGATCTGTGTGGATACGGTGGGTGGGTGGGGGTGGGGGTGGGTGGATGGGGGTGGGTGAAGGTGGATGGGGTTGGGTGGGGGTGGATAGGGGTGGGTGGGTGGGTGGGTGGGTGGGTGGGTGGGTGGGTGGGTGGGTGGGTGGGTGGGTGGGTGGGTGAAGGTAACATGGGGCGACACGGTGTAGCGGGGAAGGGGGGTTGGTTTGGGTGGGGGAATGAAAAAGCCTCCCGAGCGGGCAAGTCGTTTGAAAGGTTTTCTTATTCTTTTCCTGCCGCAGTCAGGCCGGCGGGGTGCGATGTGTACGTATACTTCTTTTGACCAAGCTGGTCCGTTGTTATGTATTCATCCAGGTCATGCTGTGTTGGGGGTTTGTACTGACTCCAACTAGCCAAACGATGCTCCTCATTCCCCCTCCCCCTTTCCCCCTCCCCCTTTCCCCCTCCCCCTTTCCCCCTCCCCCCTTCCCCTCCCCTTCTCCCTACATTCAAAGGGCAATGCCCCGCACTCGGCCCTCTTCCCCCCTCTCCACACCCCCCATTGAATCACCCACCCTCTCTCCGTACCCCCCTTCCCCCCATCTGTCCTTTCTCTTTCCCTTATCTCCCTCCCCGACCATGGCCTGCCACCCCCACCCTCCGTTCGATGCTTACCAGGTCGATGGTGCTGGTGAATCTCAGCCCTTGGATCGCCTGCAGCACGATCTCCGCCACGTCAGCGATCGTCAGCTCCATGGACGAACGGCTGGATTCGCCGCAGTTGGGCAGATCGACGGCCACGGCGTGCAGCCCCCGGGCGGCAAAGCGCTTGAGCGCGGAGGAGAACATGGAGGAGGATTGCGGGGCGGCATGCAGGAGCAGCACGGACGGCATGCCTTGTCCACATCTGCGCGTCGGGAAAGGTGGGGGGAAGGGGTGTCGAGGGGATGACGAGCGCGGGAGAGACCGGGGGAAGGGGGAAAGGAAAGTTGGGGGAAAGAAAGAGCAACATCAAGTGAGGACCACGGGGGAAAAACGAGACGCGCGGAGGAGATTTGGGGGGGAAAGGGGGAGGGGTGTGGGGACAGGGGAAGGGGTGGGGGAGGAGGGAGGGGGGATAAATGGTAACGGGGTACACGAATTCTAAAAAAACAACCGGCGGAGAGAGAGGAGGGGAGGGGTGGGGAGGGGGGGGGGATGTTGGAAGGGAGAGGAGGGGAAGAGTGCGGGTGTGAGTGGCTGCTGGAACGTCACGTTGAAAACCCTAGAGCGTCAGCATGTTTTTGAGAATTCTCAAAAACACCCTAGAGCGTCGGCATGTTATCTATATCCCATTGTCGCGATAGCGTATCTGCACCACCTGTAGCAGTGGCATACCTGATGCCGCATTCCTCCGCGTTACCTCTCCAGCGGTAGTTCGCTTTGACCGTAAAGTGGAGATAACTGTTGAGTCGACTCAAAGGTCACTACTTTAGCTTACGTGTGTAGTGTTTGTGGCCGTGATATGGGGTGACTATTGATTCGACTCTGAAATTACCTTAATAGTTCACCTGCGGTAGTGTATCTAGCCGTATTCATAGCATAGCAATAGTGTGCTTCTTTTTGTTTTTTTCCAGTTAACTCACCTGCGGAAGTGAATCTGGCCGTAATCCGTATCCACATAACCCTTAACGACGTCGAAACCTCTTGCGCTCCCCATCGGCTCTTCCCCGCCGTCGATGCCCAACGCCGACTCTCCGCCGTCGATTTACAACGCCAAGTTCTCGCCGTCGATAGTCGACGCTGACGGCGAATCTCCGCCGTCGATAGACGCACGCACAACGTCGATGAGGATTCACCAGCCAGCAAGTCAAGACCTTCGTCTGTACGCGCTACTATAAGGCAGCGTGTGGGCCTGCCGCAAGATCCCACGCACTGGGAGGAGGTTGATGATGATAGCGCGACCCGACCTTGGTAAAAATGGCGCGCCTTTCAGAATACTATAGAAGCTTCCGATCACGAGGTGACCTTTGAGTCGACTCAAAAGTCACCTCGATGATGACAAGCGCGACCCGACTTTGATGAAGATTGGGTGAGTCTCAGAATACTATACAGATACGCCAGATAACGCTACGTCGAGGAACGACAAAGAAGATTGGCGAAGAAAGGTGGTCCGACCTACTGGAAAGAACAAAAAGTAAAAAAAGGAATTTATTTCTGAACGCGCGATCGCACTCCGCGATATTGTTGATCAACAAAATCCGTTACTAAGAAATGAATGCCGAACGAAAAGCTCTGCTGTTCTTCGGCTCTAGTTACCGATGTGGCTGTCGAGTTGAGATTTCAGATTCTATTCCCCTCAATGTGGCGTCGCTGTAACGGCTCGCTTCCCGTGCTGCTCTGAAATGTGGACATTATTCCTAGCGCGATCGGGTTGGACTGAGGCGTAGTCTAGCTCTTGACGTCGCAATTTGGTGCTCTACGTCCTGCTCGTCCTGCGCGAGACTTGGAAAATGCAATGCCCGAGGATCGCAAAATGTCCGACTTCTGAGCTGACTAAAAATGCGTGGTTTCGGCAAATGGAGCAAGCAACACGTCCGCTTCGCGCATGGAAAAGGAGTTGCAAGTGCAATCAACCGGACTGCATGCCATTCGGGAGCCTCAACCCTAAAATTTTAGGGTTGAGGCTCCCTCGGATGGCATGCCTTCCGAGTGGGTTTTAGTTTTTTTCTTGCCCGCGGTCAGCTTGCTGACTCGATTTTACTGCCTGCTGACGCAGGCAGTGCAATATATATTCCGTTAAAATTTGGTTCTTGAGTACACAAGATGCCCAGCCCCTGCGCGCGAAATTGCCCTGCACGCGGCAGAAACTCTGTACACGTGTATTTTGCGCCAGCCAGTTGCACCCCATGTACAAGCACCTCAACCAATACGAACCACAGAAATCGAAGCTTGACCGAGGAGACTGTCGGCAAGTTACAAAAAAATTTATAAGCCGTTTTTGCTAAGTGCGAATTGACGAAAGCCTAGCGAAATGCAAGAATCACTTGAGCCCTCTTTACAAGGCAACCTTGGGTTAGTCAAACGGGTATCATGTGTAACTCGAAAAGTCACCTCGAAAAGGGCGCGCTTGTACAACCATGGCAGTTGGTTTGTTCGGATCAGGAAGAATGACATCGAAGGGCTGATTGCACGAGGAAAGGAAACAATCATCCCCAATCCGCCGACGGGAAGACAGGAGGATGCAAGGGAGCAATCATGCGAAGGATGCAGGTCGTTACACCGCAAATAAGGACACTTGCAATTACAGTACGCTTCGAAATGAGAGCCAGGAACGTGCAAGGAGAAGCGTGGTCGAAAAGTTGGGACTGATGCGACATAAGCAGCAGGGAAGCAATCATCAGCAGGAGGAAGAATGACGGGAAGGCGAGGCAAATGGATGAATGCAGCCTACTGGTGGCAATGAGGTCGTGTCCGTAGGGATGACATGTCAAAGTGGGCAGTGTCAATTTGGCATTTTGACACTCAGCCAACATTGTTGGCAGGGTGTCAAGAAATTGCAGGTTGCCAGCCAATACAAATCGTCGAACACTTTTGAAATTGGCGCAGTCAAACCTTCAAACGACAGAAGATTGTCGCAGGTGCCTATCTCACGACCAGATGTTGGCCAATCAGCACACAATATGTCTTTTGAATCGTTCGCTGCCTAGCAGATCCACACCTGACAAATTTTCAAACCAATGAAATTGAGTCGTTGATGTTCGTACATGCGCTTTGACTTGACAGTTCAGCTACAAAGTTTGACACTCTTATTCAAATGCGCTTCGGGTTGACCCGCTCTCACTTGACATGTCAACCCTACGGACACGAACTGAATGTTGCGAAACAACCACTAATGCTGCTGCTGCTCTGTGACTGTGACTGGGACAAAAAAACAGCCACCAAAAACAACTGGACTGTACACTCAAGTTTCAGTTATCTTTGCATCCGCATGATTATATTCATACCATTTACGCCTTCAACATTCAGGCATCTCATACATGCACTCGCGTTACAGGCTGATGCACGTTATATCGACACTGTTACATCCGTCGTTGCTGGTTGCAAGCAACATGTGGAGGGCAGCGTGAGAAAACACCAATTTCCAGCAAAATCCCACTACGGTGTAGATGCCGAACACAATAGATGGAAACCACTGAAAAACGTGTCCGAAGAAGGGCATCACGTGTATTCCGACAAGTTCGTCAGCCTGATTGGGTCTTCACAACACAGCATGTGATTTGTTGTGGTATCCCCTGCTGAATTTCAAATTCAGGGCATTGGGTTACTTCTCTGACGGTAGAGCAGCAATCATGAAGGGAAAGCAGCCGCCGGAAGCCGGAATCCGCTGGCAAGTTCGTGATAACTATGATATCGAGGGCAGGGAGAACATTCTGTAACTAGTTTTTATAAGTTTTTTTAGGCAGTCCGCAGAAGGAAAGGGCGCACACGACGACAACATCGGGAGTTCGCCGAAGGACGAGCCAATGATTCGGCGACAAGATACATCATCATCGCCCAACCAACCTCGTTGTCCTCCGTCCGTCACCAGCAGCCGCACGCAACCCTTGGCGCGATTCCATCGAAGTGTACGATGATGAGAGTGTGGGATGGGAAGTTGTCTGATGCGGCAATCGCGGGGTTCGTTAGTGGTCCCACGCTTCCATTCGAGAGAATAAAATATCAGGCAAATTTATACTACAATTGCTAAATGATGTTACTGTATTTCTATTTAATCAAACAACCTCTCCCCCGTAGCAAATGCACAGAAGATTGCGGCACTTAGCACACACAGGCCAGCTGGCGTAACAAACGCAAGCCACCATCCGAATTCAATATCCGTAGCCCATGCTTGGAGAATTAACCCTGTTGCTGCCACCCCTACGATGCCCGCCAATGTCCCAGCAGTATTGGAGATACCCATAACGGGGCCTGCATACCTTGGTGCAATATCCATGTGGTTCACTGAGAAGCCTGCTCGTGCAAATGCACAAGCACCCAGAGTTATGGTTGAGCATAAAATAGCTCCCGTGACCGACGAAAGAACCGGCATCAGGCACAGTGCCAAAGCCCCAATAAGAAACCCAACCGTATTCAGAACCTTCCGGGTAGCTGCGATTGACAGGTATTGCGACGTGATAAGGAAATCCGCAGCTACGCCACCAACGTTGGAAAATATCATCATAATGTAATACGGGAGGGATTTGCCGATGCCGATGCTTTGGAGCGATGTGTGTAGCGCTTGCTCGAAGTAGGAAGGAAGCCAGTTCATAAGCACGTAAAGTGCGTAATGAAAAGTGTAGTTATTAATAACTATAGCCCAGATGGCCCAGCTGCCCATCATGGCTCCCCAAGGAATAACCTTACTGCTGCTACAGCTGCTGCTGCTTCCACCACTCCCAACCGCACTGTCTTTCACATCATCATCCTGTAGGAGATCGTGCTTACTTCCAGGCAAACGGGGAGACAGCGGGTTCCCATCACTAGCACTGCCACCACCACCACCACCGCTCCCTCTTCCCATCCCCCCTCCTCCAGGCGGATCCTTTGAAAACAGCCGCACCCACAGCACCACCCACATCAACCCCAGCCCAGCTGACCACCGAAACACCGCGGCCGGCCCGCCCCAGGGCGCCTCCCTTGCCGCTACAGCCGGCATGAGAGACATAGCCGCCCCGGCCCCCAGATACATCCCCGACATTGTGAGGCTGACGGCTCGGGATTTTTCATGGGGAGGGATGCAGAGGGCGAGCACTGTGTGGATGGAGGGGAAGATGAAGCCCTGCGTGGCGCCCACTAGGAAGCGGATGAGGAGCAGCGCGAGGAGGGAGGGCGAGGTGAGGGAGGAGGAGGTCGGGTTTGAGGGAGTTAGCAGGGAGAGGGCGGTCCAGGCGAGGAAGGCCACTGTGATCACCCTCCGGCCGCCATAGCGTTGCGCTGCAGAACTACCAGGCACCTGGAAGGAGATTAGGAAGTAAGAGGGGGGCGAAGGAGGAGTGGGAAGGAGTGAGGAGGGAGAGGACGGTCCAGGCGAGGAAGAGAAGGCCACTGTGATGATTCGTCTGCCTCCAAAGCGCTGTGCGGCGGAGCTGCTTTTAAGTCGACTCAAAAGGAGGGGTGGGAAGGAGTGAGGAGGGAGAGAACGGTCCAGGCGAGGAAGAGAAGGCCACTGTGATGACTCGTCTGCCTCCAAAGCGCTGTGCGGCGGAGCTGCCTGGCACCTGGGACGGGAGTGAGTGAGATGGGGGAAGAGAAGGGGGGGGGATGGAAGTGCAAGTTCAAGCACACCAGGCAAGGAAGGCCACGGTGAGGTGATCACGTGATCACCCTCCGGCCTCCAAAACAACGTTGCGCTGCAGAGCTGCCTGAGACCTGGAAGGAAGGAAGTGTGGAAGAATGGGAGGAGAGGGGATGGATGGGTGAGTGGATTCAAGCATTCAGCGCCACGCATTCCTCCCCCAGGCGAGGAAGGCCATGGTGATGGCCCGCCGGCCTCGAAAGCGCTGAGCAGCAGAACTCCCAGGCAGCTGGTGAGGGGAAACGACTTTTGAGGCGCCTCAAAAGTCGCCTCAAAAGGCGCCTCAAAAGTCGCCGGCCTCGAAAGCGCTGAGCAGCAGAACTCCCAGGCAGCTGGTGAGGGGAAACGGGGACGCACGAATGGGAGAAACGGGGGTGGAGAGGGAAGGGAGAGATCAGCAGGTCGACTTCCGGCATTTCCTGTTTCTCACGATTCTCGCAAATTCCGGGCCACGGAAGCAGACGGGGATGGCTCTAGGGCAGCATAGCGGTTGATTAGTGGTGGGACTGCCTCGTCGCTGATGGCGTGTGAACAAGAGGCGAGTGGATGGGAGAAGTGGAGCTAACTGGGAAGAAGGAGAGCGGAGGGGAAGGGAGCAGCGGTTCTTCCTGGGAGGTGATGACGTGTGGAGATGGGATGAGTGTGACGGCTGGGACAGCGTGGGGCAATGAGGAAGAAGGGACAGTGAGCGGCACGGCAGGCACGGTGAAGCCAAACACTCAGTGAAACACACAGCAGAGAATCCGTGAAATTTGAACCCTTACGAATTCGCGACGCAATCACCTGAAACAGGGCGCATTCGCAAGACACCCACCTGGGAAAGGGCGTATCCGTAATAAAACGCCGAGAGCACCCAACCCTTGGTGGCCTGATCCACGTGGTTGCGATTAGCTACTAACGAGTAGGCCACGCTGAAGCCCACGCGTTCGATATAACACACCGTCGTGCATGCTGCAGTCAGCAGCACAACCACGTACCGCTGCGGCATTCGCGCCAGCAAGCGGCGAAACCGCGGAAACCCTAAAAAGCTGAATAACGAGGATGAGGGCTGACGGGTTTGCCAGGGGGTTGAATGGTGGGTTGGCATGCCGGTCGCGGTGGTGCTAACGGTGCTGACAGCGATGACGACGATGACGGTGATGAAGGCGCTCACAATGCTGACGGTGCTAGATGGGACGAAGCGCCTATTCGAAGGCCATACGTGCTGGGTGGGATCGTACCATCGATGACACGGCCAATTATGAGAGTATTACCGCGACGCGCTGCACCGCACTAATTGGTCACTCATTCCGGCATCATTTCACGGTATCGATTATGCTATTGCGGAATGTGATCACAAGAAACGGATCTAGGATAGTGGTCGGGTCGGGAGAAGCCATGTTCTCGAACATTTTTGTAAGGAGTATTTAGTAACGCAAAAATACTGTATGATGTTACACTCGTTATTAGCAGGCCATGGGGAACAGCGCTGACACACCACAGCCCTGTCCCTCGAATTTTGTATCGTCAAGCAGAGGGAACCCTTGTTTCGGGAATGACGGGCCAAATGAAACGTGACGCCAGTAGGGATCATCGGGAACCTCGCAACAGAACCTAGGGTCATCCCGACCGATGTTGGAATGAGCCCGGGATTCTATCGCCGGCGGAATGGTCTCTCGGGAACATTTGTTGCGTTTCAGAAACGCACCGCAACTCCCCCGATGTTGGTGCGTCCATTGTCACCATGTGTGTCTGTCTGGTGCCGTGCCGTGTCACCGCACTGTATCTCTTGGCTATCTCCCTGCCTGCCTTTTTATGACGTTTCCCCGCTCGCTCACCATGGTTTGTCTCCCAATCCAACACATACACAGCGTTTCGTGAGACAAACCTATCCCCCTAGATCAACTAGGTCTACTTGTTTGTCTGTTGACCAGCAAACACGTGTAGGTGCTAGCACGTTCAAGTTCTGACTATTGATGAAGTCTAGATTACGATACTAAGCGCCTGCAGCGGCGTCGGTGCGGTGTAAAAGTAGACAAGCAAGTGTATCTGAGAAGGATGGCAGATTTGAAGACTTCTCAACAGGGCTCCGATAAGAGCCTGTCCTCGGAATACTCGTTACACGACAGTCCACATTCCTCAAATATCCCCGTTAGAAGCGGCAGCGTTATGGTTAGTGAACCCGCATCAGGTCCGCAAAGTCCGGTTCCCCGTACAGCGAGCCTCACATCTCCAACTAAATCACGAAGCCGCCGCTTCATGCTTTCGCTAAGAGGCTCTCGAGATGGTACTCCGAGCGTTCCTGTATCGGTAGATGCTAATAACGGGTCCGGCGTCGCCGCTGCTGGAGCAGCAGCAGCGAATAAAGGCCGACCGAAAGATCGTCGGTGGCTTTTTAGCAAGTCGGCGAGTTCTCGGTCTGCCTCTAGCGAAGTCAATAGCATCAACAGCAGCAGCAGTAGCAGCCAACACGTACACTCCTTTTTTCCCGCGGCTTTTTTTAGCGACGGCGTCGCTAGCAGCAGTATCCCCAGCAGTTACGCCGGCTCGACGACTGGCAGCGCCGCAATTAGCGCCGTGAATAGCGGCGATGCCGTCAGCGCAACGGCCAGCGAGGGTTCCGCGAGCGGGGTGTCCACGCGGGAAAGGGCGCGCAAGAGTAAGAGCAAGGCGCGCTCGTTGCGTGGAGCGACGATGGGCGCGGGGAGCTTCCGCGCGTGCTTCTTTCCGCACAGCGGAATGGTGGCGGGGGACTGGGACCCCGAGGACATGGCCGAGCGCGCGGAGCGCATTCACCGCCTGCGGAGCAGACGGATGAAGGGGGCAGGGGAAGGGGGGACGGCGGAGGAAGTGGCGGAAGATGCGCAAGGGGAACTGGGGAGCGGGGAAGCTGGGGGGAGCTCCGGGAAATCGCCGCGGAAGGGGGGAGTAAGACAAGGCAACGGTAACAAGGACGAAGCAGAAAGGAAAGAGCAGGGAGCAGCTGTTGGCGGTGGAGATCCTAATAGCGCGGAGGTTGATAACGAGGATGACCAAGGCAGCGACGAGGGCATGGCTTTAGACGATGAAATCCGCGAGCCGAGCTCGTTAATGGAAGCAATAGCTCTTAGGCGGTCCCTGCAGCGAGTAAGGGATGAGGAGGACGCAGGGAGGGTTGACTGCGGCGAGAGGGGAAGAGAGGGAATGGAAGGAGAGAGTGGGGGAGGTAACGGGGAGAGGGATGCGCGTGAGGCAAGGGGGGGTGCGATTCAGGGCTTGGGGATTCACGGAGGGGGGCGAAAGGGGGAAGGTGTGGCGGAGGCGGGGAGAGAGGAGGTATGGGGAAGGGAGGGAGAGAGGGAGAAGGAAAGGGTAGGGCATGGGGAGGGGATGGTGTGTGAGAGGAGGCGGAGCAGGAGCGGCAGTGGGAGTGTGAGGAGCAGTCTGTGTAGCATAGAGGAGGATGAGGGGGACAACGCTGATCGTAGCACAGCTCTTTCCACTCATTCTCGAGATGTCTTTTCAAGCCACGCTGCTGCAAGTAGCGCATCTGACACTAACGATTTTCCAGTGGCGAATGATGCGGCATGCATGAACCTGGGAGGAATGGCGGGTGATAAGGAAGGAAAAGAAGGCAGGGAAGGGCAGGTAGGTTCGGAAGGGACGGAAAGGGCGGAAGGGCAGGTGCCACCTGGGGCAGGGCGTATTGCTGAAGGGCGGTTCCCAGACATGCCGCCGGCAGGGCACATGCGGGGCCGAGGAGGGAGTGAAGGAGCGGAGCTGGTCCGCGTTTCACCTGGCAGATCACCTGGCATGTCGCCTGCCTTTTCACCTGGGCATCCGGCTTCGCCAACTCCTGCGTTTTCACCTGGGCACTCACCCTCCGGGACCCCTGCCCGATCACCCCTGCGCCCTCCCCGCCCATCTCGGTCGTCATCTCTCTCAGAAGGAAGGCTGGAAGTGAAGCAAGATGGTCGCTCAGGCAGCCCTGCTGCTGCCCGTACCCAATCCATATCAGCCTCGGCATCAGCCTCGGTATCAGCCTCGGCATCAGCCTCGGTATCAGCCTCGGCATCAGCATCGCTGTCGCCATCCATGTCCCCATCACGCCTCCTAGCAGGCATGCCGTCGCACCCCTCGCCAAATATCCCCGTGTCCAAGTCTGGATTTGATCTCCCCCCTGCCGCCCACTCTTGGGCACCCGCCACCACCTCACACGCCTCCCCTCCTTCCTCCCACTTCCACCTTGCTCCCTCCGTTACACAGCAACAGCAGCAGCAACAGCAGCAGCAGCAGCAGCATCATTCCAAGTCACTTTTAGATGGGGCAAGCACCACTGTAGATCCCATGGTGACTGTAAGGAGGGTTCCCAGGGTCCCGGGGGGCAAGGGGGGCTGGAGGGACGCTGCTGCTGCAGGAGGAGACGATTTTGGGCTTGGAACCTCAGGAGGTTCGGCAGAAACAGGTTCGGCAGCGGGAGGCTCGGGACTCCGAGGCTCGGTTCTGCAATCCCGGTCGTTCCGAGGAGGCTCGGCCGGAGCTGCGATGGCTGCAGCTGCAGCAGCAGCGGCAGCGGCTGTAGCAGGTGGGGGTGGGGCAACGGGTGCTAATAGCCCGTTGCTGCAGGCTAAGAGAAGACAGGCAGGATCAAGTTCTATGAGAGGGAAGAGTTTAGCAGCGTTGGATTTTGAAAGGATGCTGGCGAGTGGGGGAGTCGAGAGGAGAGGGGGCGGTGATGGTGGTGGTGGCGCTGCTGGTGGTGGCTTGGGTGGTGGTATGGGAAGAGGAGTGGATGGAGAGGGGGAGGATTCGGAGTGGGAAGGGAGATTGGAGCTCGAGGAGTGGGAGAGGGCGAGTGGGATTGGAGTGAGGGGGATTGGAAAGAGGGTCATTGGAGTGAGGGAGGCGGGAGTGAGGGAGGATAAGGCAGGAGGTGAAGGGCTTGGGGAGGAGGAGGTTCGAAGACCACCAGGGGACGCACTGTTGCTTCCAGCGGAGGCTGGCCAGTCAGCATTCGAGGGGGCAATTTTTGAGTTGACCCAAAAGGTTGGGGAGGAGGAGGTTCGAAGATCACCAGGGGAAGCAGTGTTGCTTTCAGCGGAGGCTGGCCAATCAGCGTATGACAGGGTGGGTGGGGGACTTGGATGGAGACTCTGGGGGAAAAACGTGATGCAGGGAGTTTGCAAGGGGGAGAGAGGAGTCTGCAAGGGGGAGGGGAGAGTTTGCAAGGGGGAGGGGGGAGTTTGCAAGGGGGAGTGGGGAGTTCGCAAGGGGGAGGGGGGAGTTTGCAAGAGGAAGAGGGGAGTTTGGCAGTGCAGGCGTGTGGAAGCAGAGAGGAGATTTCTTATGGGGCGCCTCAAAAGTCGTCTGCTGCGTGTGAGGGGAGTGAGAGTGGAGGCCGAGAGGGAGGAGGCGAAGTGCAAGGCGTGGTGGAGGAGGGAAGAGGATGAAAAGAGTAGGGAGAGAAGGGAGAGGAGGGAGAGGAGGGAGAGGAGGGAGAAGAAGGAGAAGGAGAGGAAAGAAAGAAGAGAGAAGGACGGAGAGAAGAGGGTGGAAAAAGAAGCAGCGACTGCAGGGATTGGAGGGGAAGAGGGAGGAGCAGGACAGGAAGTGGGGGGGAGTGAGGGAGGGAGAGGGGGGAGTGGGGGAGGGAGAAGGGAGATTGGTGGGAGGGGAAACGGAGAGGGACGGGGACAGGAGTGCGGCAGTGCGTGTATTAAGTGGTAGAAGTGATAGTGTGGGAAGTGGCAGTGTGATAAGTGACAGTATGAGGAGTGATACTATGAGAAGTGAGGATATCAAGAGAAGCAACACGATGAGAAGTGAGACGATGAAACGGAATAGCATGAGAAGTGATAGTATGAGAAGCAACAGTGGCAAAGCTCTAAGGAAGAGCAGGAGTACTAAGGGTGAGGATAGGGTCAAGACAGAGAAGAAGCACAAGGTAAAGAAAGCCACCAGTGGCGATGCTGCTGTTGCTATTAGCCCTAGCAGCAACGCATCAAGGTCTGTAGAGAGGACTGACAGTAACGCAGCAAGCTCTATAACGAGGACAGAGAGCTCTGTAACGAGGACAGAGAGCAATGCGAGTACTAGCTTCGATACAGGAACTTGCGGTAGCATCAGCCCCATGGAAAGCCCTAGCAGTAGCTGGAAGGAGGGTGACACTAGTGGGCGGGAGCTTGGCAGGAGCGCGAGGGAGCGTGGTGGTAGCAGGAGGGAGGGCGGCAGTGGTAAGGGAACAGGGGAGGTTGTGAGTCCCAGCAGTGGTGATGGGAGGAGGATAGGGAAGAGTAGTAGTAGGGGAACGGGGCAGATTGTGAGTCCGAGCAGTGGTGACGGGAGGAGGATGGGGAAGAGTAGCAGCAGACGGAATGGGGTTGCTGGTGGGGATGAGGAGGGCGGAGGTGAGGTTTCATCTAGGAGAAGGAAAGATGGGAGGAGGGAAGGGAGGAAGGAAGGGGAGAAAAGGGATGGGGGAGGGGACGGGAAGGGGAAGGATGCAAAAGGGGAAGGAGAAGAGGGAGGAAGTGGAGAGATTGGAAGAGGAGAAAAGAGGAGGGAAAGAAGAGTGTAACGATCGAAGAGGGCAGAATTGGAGGGGATAGGATTCAAGAGGATAGGGATGAGGTGGAGGGGGGTGGAGAGGCAGAATCATCGGAAGGTGTGATAGAGTGGACCAAGCTAGGAGTCGTGAAAGGGAGGGAGAAGACGAGGGGAGAAAGAGAGAGAGCAGGAGAGGGGGACAAGGAGAGAGAAGGAGAGAGAGAAAGGGAGAGAGAAAACAAGAGTGGGGGAGGCAGAGGAGGGGAGTGTAGCAAGGGAGAGGGAGCAGCAGAGGCAGCCACCACTGAAGCTGGGCTGTCTGGAAAACTCACAGAGGGAGCAACTCCTGCTGCTGCTGTTATGCCTGGTTTGCCTCGAGATTTCACCATGGCAGATTTGGGCGCTTCTCCTGAGACGTCTCAACGGGGTGCTGCTGCTGTCATGCCCGGTTTGCCTCGAGATTTCACCATGGCAGATTTGGGCGCTTCTCCTGAGACGTCTCAACGGGGTGCTGCTGCTGTCATGCCCGGTTTGCCTCGAGATTTCACCTTGGTGGACCTGGGCAAGCCTTTTGAGTCCGCTGAAAAGGGTGCTGCTGCTGCTGCTGTTTCTGTACCGGGTTTACCTCGGGATTTCACTATGGCAGATTTGGGGAAGGCGGGCCAGGAGTGGGGTTAACAGGGTCAAGTGGGTCAACTGGGTCAACGGGTTTTTCAGAGCTAGCAAGTCCAGCAAATTTATCAGGTTCACAACCGGGTCAACGCAGGTCAACAGCATACTGGTCAATGACGGACAGGTCAGCAACGGCAGCGGACAGGTCAGCAACGGACAGGTCAGCAGCGGCACGGACGAGTTTGACTTTGTGAGTCCATTGCTTTCAGTGCGCGTCCCAGTGCGCCCCCTCTCCTCGCTCTCCACCGTATCTAACACCTCAGAACCCCATTCTGAACGCTCAGTACCCCCCCTCCACCGCCACAGGACCTCTTACTGTTCCAGGCGAGGAACTGAGAGGAGGAGTCATGTCCCAAGGGAGGCCAGAGGTGGAAGAAGAAGCGGACGCTCAGGAGGGGATGGGTTCAGAGCTCGTGTTCAAAGGCAAGAAGATTCGAGTGAGAAGCGAGCAGGAGCAATGCGATGCTCACAGTGGCCAGGAGGTGCTGGCCGAGCAGCGCGAGCAGGGCGCGCAGGGCGAGCAGGGCGAGCAGGGCGAGCAGACCTGTGAGGCGCCTCAAAAGCAGGCAGAGCAGGGCAGACAGGATGATGAGCAGGGCGAGGGCGACCCTATGACAGGCGGTCTCCAAGCCCCTCAACACGATCCCCACCTGCCTCCTCTCAACACGGTTCAGCCCACCACTCGCCCACCAGTTCTGGTTTCCAGTTCCGCCCTCTACTCCTCTCAGCCCCTCGGATTCCCCAGGCCCCTCAGGCCCCCCCGGGTTTCGCAGGCTTCTCAGGCTCCTCCCAGCGCTCTTCTCCCCCCACACCCTTTGGCTTCACCGGCACCAGCAGCAGCAGCGGCGGCGGCGGTGGCGGCGGTGGTGGGGGTGGTGTGAGTGGTGTGAGAGATGGGCAGCACTGGGATCATCATGGGCCTTCAGGTGCTGCTGCTGCTGCTGGGGGTGGGTTTCTAGCAGGGGGTGCAGCAGGGAGCAGCAGTAAGTGGCAGTGTGGTCGGGAGTTTGGGCCGATAGGGGCGGCTAGAGTGAGGGCTCAGAGGTGCAGGGAGCACTGGACTCTGCTGTTCATGGATCTGCTCGATCTGATGCTCAAACGGACGGCTGGAGATGAGTCTGTGGACAATGAGGGCGATCTGATGGTGAATCGGACGGCTGGGGATGGGTGTGTGGGTGGGGAGGGGGGTGGTGGTGGTGTAGGGTGGGGGCATGAGGGGAAGCGATGGGAGGGGGGTCAGGATGAGTGGGTGACTGAGGATGCTTGTAAGGGGTATAAGAGGGGTGACGAAGGGGAGGAGGGTAGAGAGGAGGTGTATAGGGAAGGTGGGTTCAGTCTGGCTCGGATGCGGCCTGACAGCTTTGGCGGCAGCAGCGGCAGGCTCGGCAGCAGCAGCGGGAGGCTCGGGTCGATGGTCCGAGCCTCGTCATCAGCTGCGGCACACCGGGACTTCGAGTGGATCTGTGAGAAATTCCGAAGCGCAACGGAGCTCTCTGATAGGCTGAAAGAGCGCCACGTCAGCGAGGCGTTTACTGTAGCACTGGCTGTGTGGTTGAGGTTCTGGGAGCAGTGGGGGGACGGGCCTCCCGATTGGGCAGAGGAGGAGGATGAGGGGGAGGTTCTGCTGGAGGAAGGAGAGGAGGGAGAGGAGGGGGAGGAGGGGGGAGGGGTATGGGGAGGAGCATATGGAAAGGATCCCTTCAGGTGCTTGGTTGAGTAGTGAGGGAAGGGGAGGAGGAGGGGGGAGAGGGGAGGGGGGAGGAGGGGGAGGAGGGAGTATAGGGAGGCAGAGGTCGTTAGGCTGGGTCGATGAGGAGAGGACTGGGATAGGCTCGCCCGAGCCTTGGCTCGTAGAGACAGCTTTGGGCGAGTGAGCCGAACCAACAGCATCAACCGAACCAACAGCATCAACCGGACCAACAGCATCAACCGAACCAGCAGCATCAGCCGAACCTTCAGCCGAACCAGCAGCCGCGGCGGCCTCACAACGGCCCGAGTGAACAGCAGAGGGAGCAGTTTGCGCGAGGGGGGAAGCATGAGGGAGGGAGGGGGACTGCTGCGCCTCTCCTCAACTATCTCCTCCACCACTGCCCCTGAACTAGCAGACTTAGCAGGGTTAGGGTTCGCACGCATTCAAGATGACCTGGCTGAAGCTGCTGGGATGCTGGCAGGGGTGGGGCCGGGGTCTGCTTTTGAGTCGACTCAAAATCTAGCAGGGGTGGGGCCGGGGTCTGGGAGACAGGAGGAGACGTGTGGGGGGGGATGAGGTGGGGAGCGGCCGTAGTGTTAAGTGGGAGGGAAGCTGGGAACGGGAACGGGGGGAAGAGTGGTGGTGGGTTGGCTGGGCCTGTTTCCAGGCCTCAACGGTGGCTCAGCATGGAAGCTGGTGCAGTTGCTGCTGCCGGTGCCTATGGCAGTGGTAGTAGGGGCAGAGGAGCGGGGGAGCGTGAGGGGGACGAGGAGGAGGAGGAGCAGGAGGGGGCGTATGGGAAGTCGCTGACAACAGCAGCAGTGGAAGGGGGCAGCGGACCGCATGGCCTATGCAGGCGACGGGAGGGGGCGAGGGGTGGGCAGAGGCAGAGGCGGGGAGGAAGGGGCGGGGAGAGGGGCAGAGGGGCGGCCTGTGCTGGCAGCACCTGCAGCAAGCGGCGGCGGTGCGTGTGTTTGTGTGGGATCCAGAGGGCAGCATTCAGGAGCAGCTGGTTAGCAATGGCTCTCTGCTCTGACCTGCGCGCTGCTGTCCCTGCTCTCCCTGCTGCTGCTTCTCCGCTGCTACTGCTGCCAGTGCTGGTGCTGAGGGTGCTGATGGGGGTGGGGGTAGCGTCGATTTCGCCAAGGGTCTGCTGACGCACCAATAGCAGGAGCAGCGAATCTCCCCGCAGCTGCACCCCCCAACACCACCAGCAGAGCGGGGATACACAGACCAGTTCCTCGCCTCGCGCTGCCACCACGACAACATCCTCGTTTTTGTCGGCCTCGCTGCAGCGGTGAGCGTGTGGCGCCCCGCTACAGCCGCCCTCATTCTCCTGCGCCTGCTCGACCGCATCGCCTTCTTCGAGCTACAGCTGGAGCGAGAGCAGGCTGTAGCGGCAGCTGTAGCAGCATCCGCAGCTGTTGCTGCCGCCGGCGCTGGTGCTGGTACTGGTGGTGGTGGTTATCAAAGGCTGGGATCGGTTAGGGGAGGAAGTGCAGGTGCAGCAGGGGGGGAGTGGGGAGCTTGAGGGGCTCTCCTCGTGCCGCTGTGCCTGTGTCACGGTCCTTTGCACCTATCGGTCACAACCGCACACCCAGCATGCAGTTAATGCAGCAGCAGCAGCTGATGCTTCTTCAGTTCAACCCAGACGCAGACGAACCTGTTTCTCACAAATCCACCGCTCTGCACCCCTCTCACCGACCCCCCAGCTCGAGCTTCGGCGGCGCCACCTCCGGCAGAGGCTCGGAGAGTTCCGAAGCTGTGAGCGCAATCAGCAGCAGCAGCAACGGCACTACCAGCACTAGCACCACTAGCAGGAGCAGCAGCAGCATGAGTGGGGGCAACAAGTCCAACAGGTCATGGGCTCCCTTACTAGGCACACACCTGCCGGCCTGCCGGGCGTTTGTAGTGTCGTGCCTGTCTGCCATCCTGACTGCCTGTAGCGAGCGGTCCACTGCAGCTGTAGCGGCGTCCACCCCTGCTGTGCAGCGGCTGATGATTTGGCAAGGAGGGGATGGGGAGGGCGGCTGGAGGAGGGCGAGGAAGGCGAGGAGGAGGAGGAGGGTGAGAAGGAGAGGGAAGGTGGGGGGGAGGAGGAAGGGATGGAGAGGCAGAGGGGGAGGAGGGGTGGGGGAGGTGTGAGTAAGGAGCAGCAGAGAAGGGGATGGACCATGCCGAGTCTGGCATCCGGTGTGGATACTTCTGAAGCTGCTGCGTCTGGTGCTGCTGCTTCCGCTCCTCTCGCCCACATGGGAGGAACCTCACCAATCCCAACCCCCCCAACCACTCCCCAGCTCATCCCAGCCGCCCTCCCTCCCGCTCCCGCTCCCCACTCACCCACTCCCCGCTCTCTCACTCCCCACTCTCCTCCACCCACACCCCCCGTAGACCTCAGGTCTGGGAACCATGTCCCTAGCAGCTATGGCAGAGGTAGCACTAGCAGAAGGGCTTGCAGCTGCCACCCACTCGAGCCTGGAGGAACGGTGTGAGGAGCAGGATCGGCTGTACCTACAGCTCAGCCTCGGCCCGGGCCTGCTGGGGATGACCCTGGCGGCGACGATGAGGGAACTTGAGCATATACACCCGGACGACAGCATGGCAATTGCGAGTCTAGCCCAGGAATTAGGGTTAGACGAGGCGGCGTTTCATGCCGCACTGAGGGCCGTTTCCAGTGGGAGGCTCAAGGCTGCTGGGTTCGATCGGGTGATTGGAATGGTGTTTACAGGTAGAGGGGTTGAGTCGGTTACAATGCGGTTTGCTAGGCTGGCTGCTGCGGTGAAAACGGCCCAGTTCTGGGGGTCTGGGGGCCCTGGGGCGGGAGAGGGGGCCCATCTCTCTCCCCTCTCCTCTCCTAATACAGGAGGGAGGAGTGCTGGGGGAGCAGCGCAAGGGGGGAGGAGCGCAGGAGCAAGCAGTAGTAGAGGTGGGGGGACAGGCTCAGACGCTGCCGTCAAGGCAGATCCAGATATTACCTCCCTAGAGCAGCAGCAGCAGCAGCAGCAGCCAAAGCTGCCGCCTCTGATCCTCTCTCCCCTCTTCCACTTCCTCTCCTGCTCTCTCTGGTTCAACAGTTCCCTCAGCTCCCCCTCCCCGTCTCTCTCCGCGGCTGCTCCTGGTTGGGCTGCTGCTGCCTTTGCAGTTGCCTCTAGTTGGGGCTCTGCGCTTGCCTCCCAGGCTAGTTCCGGAGCTGCAGCTGCAGCAGCAGGCTCGGGGAAAGGCTCGGCGACAGGGTCGGTGGGTGGGTTGTGGGCGGCTGGCAGAGCAAGCGCTCCTGGGGTTAGTGCTAGCTTAAGCGGTGCCTCAGGTGGTTCTTCAGGTGGTGCCCCAGGTGGTCCTTCAGGTGCCGGCAACAATGCTGATGGCCTGGTCCCTGGTGGTAGTGTGTCGAACTGGTAGTAAGGGAGGGGAGGAGG